AAATATTTAATGGGAAGTAACTAACACAGTCATGATTTTTTTTCAACATTGCAGTCAATAAAATGTAAAAAAAAAAAAAAAATTTAAATTAAAAAAAAAAATATGGATGTGTGCGTGTGTGATCGCGCTTGCGTGTGTGTATTTGAGTGCGTGTTGAAAAAATTTGATGTATTTACTCAAAGTGTGTTAAATTGTCAGCGAATGCTTCTGCGTGTTTTATACCGATAAACATATCTTTTGGTTAGCATAGGTCTAGTATCCATTAATTAACTTTAGGTTCATTCAAGTTAATTTTTAATTAAAACATAATTGCAACTTTATTTTACAAAAGTATGCTTCTGCAGTGGGACTTAATATTGAATCTGTTTCGTTATAGTGATTAATATTCTATCACCTGGGTAGGATAGCAGAGTCGCATTGGTCGGGAGGCAGTCTAGACCCGAGTTTCGAATTCACGGCTTACAGATTTGTAGTTCAATGTCCTATAGCGGAATTCCTCTCCAAATTAGTATTGACTCATTTGTAGAAAAAAAAAATCGTCTCAGACATGTAATTTACAGCGTCAGTGTACCTTGCCATGTTCGCTTTAGTACTACACTTTTCATCATCGGTTTGTGATGTTACAGATACAGATTAACAATAGTAATATTTCTTTCCTACTTGTAGCCTGCTTTTAGGATTACGTAAATAAATTTGATTTGTTATTTAAAATAAACAGCTTTAAATATGAAGTAATATTTATTCATATAAAAACACACACTCGTTTCGCCAGAATAATGAAATTAGTAATCAAAAAATAAAAATATAGGACTATCCCAATGCACTTTAGAGGCTGTTAAGTTTTTATTTTATTTGTTTACAGACATCACCGGCTCAAGAGGTGTCTCCCATTAGCCAGGCAGGCCTCAACACGGTAAACGCCGACTAACTGGCTTATATATTGGTTTGATATATCGTGTATAAGTCGCTTCTGTCTTTTGGTTCTCACCAGGCTTATCTTCGACCCCACTGAACGCAGGGTAAACTCGTACTCCACCGTCCAGTACCCGGCTCCACAGTGAGAAGCTAATAATTTTTTTTAAAAATACGTCACTCACGACAAATTAATAGGAAATAATGGATAGGAAAATGCATTCTGAATAAAATAACATTACACGTATTTGACGGTATTCGAAAAAGTCGGCACCTCGGCAGTGGCAAGCATGGAACCGTCGCCAAGGGGCTGTCCACAGCACGGCTGTGGTGCTGGGCCTGGTGCCCAAGCGGCTATCAGTATACTTTCTAGTGCACATATTCTCATTGCTCTCGGATGAGTTTTTTTCTTCTGTTTAAACTAGTGTTTCTTTACAGTATAATTTCTGTTATGAGTTTTGAACATTAAATAATATAACTATTAATATTTGTGCAAGGAGCTGGAGAGCCTCATCTTGATATCAAAAGAGCCGCATCGGTTGCCGACTGCTGTTACCAGAAACACATCCGTTTCTTGTGTTTAAACTTAAAGTCGGGAAATACACAATTCAATTAGTCAAGGGTAGTGGTCTTCTTTTTTTTTTTTACTCATGGGAGGTAAGCTGTTTCTTTAAATTAACAAACAGTTAATAATAGTAAATTCCCTTGAAAAAAATACATTTAAAATTATTCATAAAAGGCATTTAAATTAATTAACTCTGAAGTTATACTATATTGGAAGCGTACAATTAATTAAGATAAAAACCTTAAACATTTTTAATATCAGTTTCTTAAAATGTGTTTTTAATGGAGGCTAACTTCGGTTTTATTTTTAAAAGATCTGAAAATTATTGTTTATTTTCCTTGGTTATTTCCCTTGGTTGGTTCTCTTGGTTATTTCCCTTGGTTGGTTCCCTTTGTTGTTTTCCTTGGTTGTTTCCCTTAGTTGAATAAAAGGAATTATAGTTGATTTGTTTTTGGACCGGCAGATGAAGGGATGATGTGGTCAGCACTATGCCCAGCCGCCTTTTTTCTCCCAAATGTGAGTCAGGTACCCATCAGAGCTGAGTGAACTCAGGAAACCCAGCAGACTCACGTCCGCATCGCGAGCGAAACTCGAGACATTCTGTTTAGCAGTGAGGCGCTCTACCAGCCAACCACGCCGTCCTGTAAATTTTTTTTTTTCTCTTAATGTTTTTGTACGACAGTTTTGTAACAAGAATACAAAGGTATAGGCCCTACCTAGCTCAGGTCAAGTCATCGCAAGGGAGATTATCCATGTCACTTGTGTTTACGAGGTTAAGATTCAAGAGTTCTCCATCTTATTTCTGTACAAAATTTTTAAAAAGTGTGATTGTATTCTAAAGTATCTAAAGGACCCATGACTCGTGAGGCGTCCTAACTAATGACACTCTTCGTCTATTGACACATTAGTTTTTGACATCCCTAGGGTGTCGTATTATGTGTATCGTTAGTTCAGTCGACTCCTACATGTGCTTGTCGTTTTTATATGCCAAAAACACCACAACTATTTAGTTAAGTTTTATTTGAATCTGAGAAGGACATACAACTTCTGTGTTCTTAGCTTAGTTCTAATCAGACTGGAGTGGTTTATTAATACAAAGTATCCAAATCCAGATTTGATTTTTTTATCAGCTCTGTTTAGCGTGGCCTAGCGATAGAGCGATAGAAGGCTAACCTGAAAGTCTCGAGTTCGAATATGGGTATAACGTCACTGAGTCCACCCAGCTTTGAAGGGTACCTAACTCAGATTATGGAATTAAAACTCTGTTTTAAAAATACTTTCCTGTCACACAAAGCTAGAAAAAGATTCCTTACTGTTGGCCGTGGTAAAAGAGAAATATTTCTTGCTAATGTATTTCCTGAATTATTCATTGTGTGAAGAAGTATATTTAGAATGTAATATTCATACGCTTCGACTTTATTGCATCAAAATATAGGCCCTACGTTACTATTCAAGTAATTTTTTTTAAAATATGTTCCACATAAATGCCGAACTTTATAATATAATCATGGACATGGTTGGACTTATTAGAGGAAAGTGAAAGAAATCAGCTACAAAAGCATGCACTAGTTACTTAGTTTAATTATAATTGACGCGTTTTGTTGTTTTCTTTTTTCTTTTTAATTCATATTAAAAATTTCGGATATAACAGTAGTACGTATTTAATGACTGACGGCCAATTTTTTAGATAAAGTTCTCCTGTACTTCGCCTAGCCAGTTTTAACTGTCCCCAACTGGAGCCAGATACGCTTTAAAACTGGATGAACTCCGGGCAAACAGAGGTATACTTAGCTCAGGTCACGTCATCGCAAGGGAGGCTATCCATGTCACTTGTGTTTACGAGGTTATGACTCAAGAGTTATCCATCTTATTTCTGTACATAAATCAACATGTCTAGTGTCAAGGGCCTCTGACGTTGAATTGTTGTCCTCTTACCATAAAGTAGTTGTTACAAAACAGCATTCCATTTTTTTAATGTCGCAGAATTATTATTTTTTTCCCTGTTATGTAAAAATGAATTTAAGGGATTTTATTTTTACAGTTATGTAAACAAAACGTAGCAAAGCTAACAGATTATTATCTTAATTCATTCAAATTCTTTGTTTCATAGCTTTGTTTTTTACATTAATTTTAAATTTTTAATTAATTTAAATTTTAAACATGTTGTTATTTTATTTCGCTTTAATTTTTCAACCGCCTACCATGTAAAACTGTTAATGAAGCGATTGTTTTTATATAACAGTTTTATAAAAAGGCGCAGTTTTGCATTTTGCATAAAGTTATTTTGTTTAAATTGTTGATGGCGTATGTTTTTATTCTAATCCTAGCTTATGTTTTTGTAATTTATTTCTACACTTGGATTTCAAAATAATCCAACTTCATTTTGTTATTCAATGTCTAACTTTATTCATGTGCAATATAATCAAAAGTGGTATCTTATCATAAATTATGAGATATCGGTGTACATAGACTGACCACCTCATAAACCATTCAACAATGGCATAACTGGGATAAGTGTAAAGGGACTCTAAGCCCAGTTTCTCCATTTTATAAATATAATTGTGGAAGTGGGTATAAACATGTGTGTTAGTATACAAATATCACTCACTCACCTGTCTTAACACTATTTGGTGTTAAAATGGCAAGTTTTAGTTGTTGTTGTTGTTGTTGTTGTTGTTGTTGTTTTTTGTTTTGTTTTTTTTTTTGTTTTTTTTTTCTATTATAAAGTAACATCAGCGGTAAACAGGTGTTTTCAAAATCTGAATCCTAATGCAATATAGTTTTTTTTTTACTGAGAAGTATATTTTCTAATATTCGAATTACTCCATAATGGCTGGGCATAGTGTTGACCACACTATCCTTTCGTTACTTTCAACAATTTGTATTAACAAGGAGCAGTTTATGGCTTGAGCAATTGTCATTCAGAAAACATCAAAGAAAGATAATTGTGGTGCGGTTAATATCTGTATGAAAACAGTCCCGTTTCGAGGGTGCTGTAAAATATGGTTCATTTTGGCATCTCTTCGGGGGAGGGGCAGTGACCCCCCCCCCCCCCCCCACCTCCTCGAAGCACGTCTACCGCCTTCTCCTCGATAAAAATTAATTTATAATTTTACCAGTAACTGTCAGCCTCAGAAAATTGAGTCCGCCTCCTCGTCCCCTCGAAAGTTTCAAGTGCCCCCCCCCCCCACTCCCCCGAAGAAAAAAGTCTGAAAGAAAAACTGGTGGAGGGCAGCAAGCCTAATCTTCCTCCCCTGAAGTAAGAATAGGGGGGGGGGAGCGTTAAGCAAATTGGCAAGTAAATCTGACATCAGTTAAACACTTCATTAACATGTGTATTAGTTAATTGAGTGAAATAAATCAAACTGGTTATTAATTTTTTGTTCATTTTATTATTTTTAAAACAACGTAACAAAAATTAAAACACGAAACAAATTATTAATTCTTAAAAACCTTAACAGTTCTTATCAATCTTGAAAGATTGCTTTACGTTACATAAAACTCTACCAACAACAAAAAAAAATTTAAATGATTTGGTTGAATTTCATCAGGACATCTAACGTTCTTATACAGTCGTCAGCATTTTAGTTTCTTGTTTGTTTGTTGTTTGTGTACTGCTGTTGCCATGGGAACCACAAGACTGATGATGGCTGCTGAAGTTCCTGAGAGAGTTCTGACGATGGTGACATGTGGGGGTAGGGTGTGATGGGGGTAGGGGGGGGGAGGTCAGGGGGTAGTGTGTTTAAAAAAAAAACAAAGGGACAATTTATAAATATAAATTATTTATTTTAAAGTTCTTATGCGCCCATGGCTCCGCTGAGTAAAAGCGGCGCCATGCCGGTCATGCCTGGGGAGGCTCCCCCGGCTCCGGGCTCGCCTCCGGCTCCACCGGCTCCAGCTCCGCCTTGGCTCATCATCAAAAGTGGGAGCATGCGGCTCATTTCACCACCGCCGTTCATCAGAGACATCAGCATCATGGGGTTGCTCATCAGGGATCCCATACCCCCGGCGCCGCCGCCGCTGGCGCCCTGGTTCATCAGCATCATCATCAGGGGCATCATCTCGCTGCTGCCGCCACCGCGGAGCATCATCATGAGGGGCATCATGGAGCTCATGCCCCCGCCGGCGCCGCCCTGGTTCATCATGGACATCATGAGCATGCTCAGCATGCCACCCTCCATACCGCCGCCTCTCATCAACAGGGGGAGCATACCCATCCCTCCCATTCCGCCCATGCCACCCATTGGCATTTGACCTGTAAAGATATAAATTTCATAATTTATATTACATTTTATAAAGTAAGTTTGTTTCCCTTTCCAGACAGTCAAATCTGGAAGATGAAGCAGAGTTCACCTGGATCTATGAGCTCGGCATAGGAAGGAATATGGAGAGTGTATGGTAACTTTTATTTTAATGGTATGCCCTGACAACCAGATGAACTGATTCCTACAGTTGCCATTGGATGTGCTGTCTCTTTATACAAATCTAAAGGATCGCAGACACAATTTCAAAGCATTACTTTTACAAACATACGTACATATAATAACACAATCACACACACACACGTACATATAGGCCTACATGTGTGAGTGTGCCTGTGTGTGTTGGAATGTATGCATATATATATATATATATATATATATATATATATATATATATATATATATATATATATATATATATATATATATATATATATATATATATATATATATATATATATATATATATATATATATGAAATTAAAAATACGTGTAACCTCCCCCCCCCTCCCTGAGCACCACCCTAGTTATGCCAATGGTAGCAAGTATTAATGTTTTTTTAATGGCGTAATAATTTAAAATAGAACGTGAACTCGTGTAGCTATCTAAAATTTCCAACTTTAAAATGTTTTATTTTTATTATAAATCGTGTAGATGCGTTACGTTTATTTTATTTTAATTGCTTTTGGTACGTGGGGCGGATGTCCCCCTGACCGGAAGTAATTAAACACACTGGATAAATTAGCGTTATCCGAATGTTGATAACTTATATACATAACACTAGATTCTCGCGACCTTCTGCACAAGACCGAGACATTAATCCTAATATAAAACTAGTCCATTAATACACTCAAACGGAAACAAAGGAGACGTTTTAAATTTATTTTAAAATAAATAAAACGGTCGCGTCTGCTTCCATTAAAAAAAAAACTAGGACGCAATGAATATAAATGGGTTATGTAATGCATTATATTTCAAACTGTCTCTTTCCTCCATGACATCTTCCTGTTGTACCCTTCAACCTACGTCACGATCTTGGGCAGACGCTAAACTTTAATTAATGTCTCTTAACTGACTTAACTCGGATGAACTTGTTTTTTTTTTATATAAAATATAAATTGTCTCCCTTTAGTTTATTCTGTATTATTAATGACCATTGTCAAAGCGACCGGTTTTTTGACTTATTGCAGTAAAGTCCTCCTTGTTGAGTGACAGGTTGACGTGCATTTACCTGTGACTACAAAGACAGCGGCGATGTAGCTTAAAGAGGTGTGTCTTGCCGACGGATATCAGGCATTAGGGGTCTAAAACTGAACCAGGAAACGACGCATACATTATCCGAAAACTAAGCATATCATATGAACACCTGACAGTGCATAGAAGGGGAAAAATACTCGGCAGGAACCCTAACCTGGATGCTTTGGTTTTACTAAATACAATGAAAATAAAATATAACTTACATTTTAATTTTTTTTTTCTTTAATTTTTTCACACTTGTTTTACTAACATAATCAGAACGAGCCCAAATCTAAATGCTTTAGTTTTACTAAATACAATGAAAATAAAATATAACTTACATTTTAATTTTTTTTTCTTACATTTTTTCACACTTGTTTTACTAACATAATCTGAACGAGCCCAAATCTGAATGCTTTAGTTTTACTAAATACAATGAAAATAAAATATAACTTACATTTTAATTTTTTTTTTCTTAATGTATTTCACACTTGTTTTACTAACATAATCTGAACGAGCCCAAATCTGAATGCTTTTGTTTTACTAAATACAATACAAATAAAATATAACTTCAATTTTTTTTCCCTTATTTTTTTTACACCTTTTACTAACATAATCTGAAGGCGCTCGGTGAGTTTTACTGTTAAATAATAATCTAAAACAGCCGAAATTTTTTTCGTAATTAAAAACATAATGAATATTTCACATTTATCGCATTTAGACTGAATCCAAAGCAATTAATTACGTTGAATTATCTCATTCAAACTGAATTTTGAGCAATAAATTAAGTTCAATTATCTCAGTTAAACTGAATTCAAAGCAATAAATTTAGTTAAATTATCTCAGTTAAACTGACTTCAAAGCAATAAATTAAACTGAATTTATTTTTATAAGAAGAGGAATCATGATAATGGGACAGGCCAAAGATTGGAAGTACGCTAAGACGGTATTTGTCACCCAAATTAAAACTGGCAATTAATTTTGTCTGAATTGCATTGTGTCGGATAGTAACTGTCTCTACGACATAAAAGTACACAATTCATTTTCCACGAATCGCATTACACTGAACGTTTAACTTTATCTAAGTTGTTGTCAGGCATAAACATTTTATTATTTCCTGTTGGAAGGTGGAGGTGGGGGGGGGGGGGGCGGGGGCTGATGTGTTGAGTTAGTTGCTTATCTAAAAATAGTTACATTTATTCTAGTCGAGACAATGCACGATTAAAAATGAGTGTCTCCAGTTCACAAATATTTATTGTTATTTTATTGTTATTAACTGATGTTGTTGTGTGGTTAGTTTTCATTTTTACGGTGAAATCATATAGAACCATTTTTTTTTTATTTTGGAGAGGGGGGTGGGGGTATTATTATTTTCTACATCTTTAATTTCTCAATCGTATTCCTCGCTACTTAACACCTCCATGCACACACTTCCCCACATCAATCTACACTACTTCACACACTCCAACTCTCCCACATCCCACCACACAACCTCATACCTTCCCACATCAAACAACTCTACGCCCACATCTTTCCACATCACCCTACACCACATTCACATCATCCCACACAAGCTCACACCTTCCCACATAACCCCACTTCCAGTATGTATCAAAACATCTAAAACATTAACCAGACAACATATTTAAAATCAGATACTGAGTCCCAACAGTTATTATATAAGCTGGAGTGAAAACAGCTGATTTAACGCGAGGGAGCCGTGAGTATAAAACACCCCCCTCTTCACTCCCCCCCTCCCCCCCCCTCCCCCCCCCCCCATTCATCCCTTCGTGCCCATACTCATTAGTTAAAGTTGATGTTCCTTGTAACTGGCAAAAAAACAAATCTTAGAAAAAACATGTCGGATTTTGTTCAGTTTGACTGTAGTTGTAAACTAGGGTGTCAAGGGGGAGGTAAAGTTAGGGGAGGTATTCTTTTTTTAAAATATAAGGGAGGTGTTAATTGAAAATCGAACATTGGCAACTATCAATATGCAGTCAAAGATCAGGTGCAGAAGCCATAGACGTCTTGATTGGATCACAGACAGGGCATTGAGATAAACGACAGGGCAATGAGATCAATGACAGTGCATTGAGACCAATGGCATGGCATTTAGATCAATCACAGGTGTTTTGAGATCAACAACGGCACTGAGATCAACAACAGGGCACTGAGATCAACAACAGGGCACTGAGATCAACAACAGGGCACTGAGATCAACAACAGGGCACTGAGATCAACAACAGGGCACTGAGATCAACAACAGGGCACTGTGATCAACAACAGGGCACTGTGATCAACAACAGGGCACTGAGATCAACAACAGGGCACTGTGATCAACGACAGGGCATTGAGATCAACGACAGGGCACTGAGATCAACGACAGGGCATTGAGATCAACGACAGGGCACTGAGATCAACGACAGGGCACTGAGATCAATTATATAAGTGATCATTGATATCACATAGAGGGCGCTAAGATCAACAGGGCGCCGAGATCACAGAAAGGGCACCGACATAACAGAGGGCATAGAGAACTTACCAAAAGCTGTTGCCAGCAAGCAGCAGGCCATGGCGACTGAAAAAATTCGATTCATGTTGGATGGGAGTGTTCTGAAAGGAAACAAATAATATCTTTGTTCAAATAGTTTAAGTGTTCTGAAAGGAAACAAATAATATCTTTGTTCAAATGGTTTAAGTAATTTCTGCTGTTTGAATAGTGATTCTTTCATTCATCAAATCTTAAACGTAAAATTTAAATAGATCAAATAGTAGGCTAGATAGAATTTTCAAATAATTTCTTACATTTCAGAAATTTCAGAATATTTTATTAAAATTTAAATGTACACGCCTATTTTTCGAAAATCCTAACAAAACATTTAAATCCAAACCACTATACATAAAGTATAGGCCTAAAAGCTAATGCACGGGTACCATAGCGGCCATTACAAAAGTTACAGTGATGTGACGTCACCAGATTGTCACAGCACCATGACGTCAGCTATCGTTGCATAACGTCACCAATAAAGTATTCAATGAACAGATTTTTTTTTCGTCAGAAATTAATAATTTTGATGTATAGGAATCGGCAGTGAGACCTTTACTTAAGAATCACATATTGTACAGTAGGCCCAATATATTTACGAAGTTAATGATAAAATAAAACACTTTAGGTCAGTATTAGCTAGTAGATAAAACGATATTTCACAACCCATAAATATTTCTTAATATATAATCCTAACTTTATACGGTCGTTCTATAAAACAGACCTAAATAAAATAAAAAATTATAATAATATAAAAGTTTAATAAGTTAAAATACGAAACAGTTCTCACACACAATAGAGCTCACCTTATCTGGGGTCCTTAGGAGAGGTGGTGCGTTACAGTTCTTTGCTTGTGAAGACCTCTTGGAGGGGAGACAATTTATATACGTGCGTAATTATCGTTCCTGTTCCCCTGACGTCACGACCTGTCCGCCATCCTTATTGCCTGAGTATCGACGTTGAGGAAACTAAAGGAGTGGACATTTATTTTTTTTGGCATGGGTGAAACTGATTACTTCCATGCGATACCTGAAACAAAGAACACGACCTATCTTTCTAAAGTTATTTTTAGCTCTTGAAATGTGTAATTAATCTATTAGTTTCGTGGTTTCTGTCGTGTGATTTTTTTTCCCATGGCTATGACATTTAAAAAACCGGAACGGAATAAAAAATGTAAAACACTGAACTATTTAATATTCGTGGCAAGGCATGGTATTAACAGTATATTTTTTAAGGATTGATTACACTCGTAAATCAAACAAAAATTATTAGCATTGTGTAAATTAAATAACTGATGTTATACAAGAAGGCCTAAATATTTTTTGTTATTTAATTAGTCTTGATGGTCAAACTGTTGAAGTAGCCTACTATTCTATTAAATATCCTTATCAAACTACAATTTTAGCCTCGGATGTTTTTTTGTTTTATTTTGAAAGGACTAATGCTCTAATTGGCAAATGTCACAAGACTAAATAGACAAACAAATTATAAAAACGATCAATGAATTATCGTTAATTATTGCATTAATCTTCTTCTTATTCGTTTTTAAATCTAGAGTTGGAAGAGATTCCCTCTAACTCAATTAAGTATTACTTGTCAACTTGTTATGCACCAAATTTGCCATTGAGTTCGATTTCAGCCTGTTTATTTATTTATTTATTTATTTTTGCTTTTGTCAATTTAATCAGTTAATAATATGTTTATGAGGCGATATTTTTTTAATTTAGAATTTATGCTAATCGCACTTTTAATTTGTTAAATGAAAGGGAAAGGGGGGGGGTTCATTTAACAAATTAAAATTTACTTTTAATTGAAATTTTTTTCTTCTCTTTTTACAATAGCAAACTTTTCGACTTCTTTGTATGTGCCTTTTTTTTTTATTTCTCTGTATTTTGTAAACTTTGACAGTTTGTAATTCAGAAATGGAACCTAATATTATGTTTTTAAAAATTGTCCTGCCATTTTTTGGCGTCACCTTAGGATAAAGAACGGGGTGGTCGCCCCCCTCCTCCCCCACAGCTAGGCCTACGCCGCTGACCCAAATCACACAAACTGGCACTAAAATAAGTTTTCGAATCTACACAAATCCATCAATCGTCGCCATTTAATATCATAAATCGCTTAGGTTTTTTTCTGTAACTGTGGTGTAGTATCAAAGTAATAGGATTATTAGTTGTGTTTAAAAATAATAACTGCAATTCATTTTTGTCATATTCCAGATTTATGTACTTTTTTCTTTTATTTTTTAATTATTGGTTTTCAGTTTTTTCCAACTACCATATCGTAACTTTCCACTCGACTAGTTATATCTTGGAGTAATCGAATCAAATTTAACCGTATCGTGTAAAACAAAGCACAAAAAAACTACATAAAATCGGTAGCCACCATTGTTTCTAGTCACCCCATCTCGTGAGTGACCTGTCAGTTTGATGAATGATCTCCCCTTGACAGGCCAGACACGAAGCTCTGCGCACAGAACGCGGGACGCTATTTCCGTCACGGCGCTTCAAAAATACACAAATAATCGCAAAATTTATTTTTTAAAATCTTCCTTTACACAATTTTTATTAGTACATTTTAAGTGTCAACAACATACCACTGTGTTTTTAACATCATATAGTCAATGTACACTATATTACATAATTATAAATTAGTATAATAAATATTGTTTTAAGTACTATTATTAGGTTATTTTTACATAACACCTACTTAACGTAGAGGACATGTAGAAATAGGGTTCAAAAAGGCCGATGAACCAGCATTCCTTCTATTGTCCGCCAAGTCGGAAAGATGTAGTATACTTGACCTACAGATTTAAAAAGATGGTGAATTGCTAACTTATAACATCGAGGGTGTTTACCATCTCAGTATATATGTAACAGGCTGTAGATAAATATACACAACACTGAGTAGTGGAACTACCACTTAGAAAGATAATAGTGACTCACAGTGCCCATATTTAAAGACCTTCTTGGTAAAAGCCCGATACAAAATACCTACGTGTATGTACAAATAAATTTGTATGTGTAAAAGTTTTGTGTGTATGAATGGGTGCTTATTTATGTAGTATATGATAATATGCTTATTATCTTTTCACGTATTTTTATAAAATTTTACTTTTTTTTGGATTGAGAATATTTGAGTAATGATCGCTTGTCATCTATTGTCAGTAGTATTAAGTAAACCTACAAGACAGAACTATGGTGATGATCGATTGTAATGAATGAAATTAACATCAACGGGTTAAAGGTCAGTATGTTGCAGAGTTTGATGGAAGATGCGACGACCTAATTGTTCAATGGGAGAGGTGTCTACCTAACCTAATTGTTCAATGGGAGAGATGCCGACATAATTGTTCAATGGGAGAGATGACGACCTATCCTAATTGTTCAATGGGAGAGATGCCGACCTACCCTAATTGTTCAATGGGAGGGATGCCGACATAACTGTTCAATGGGAGAGATGAGTCTACCTACCCTTATACTTCAATGGGAGAGATGCCGATCTAATTGTTCAATGGGAGATGTGCCGACCTAATTGTTCAATGGGAGAGAAGCCGACCTAATTGTTCAATGGGAGATGTGCCGACCTAATTGTTCAATGGGAGAGAAGCCGACCTAATTGTTCAATGGGAGAGATGGCGACCTAATTGTTCAATGGGAGAGATGCCGACCTAAATGTTCAATGGGAGAGATGACGACCTACGCTTATAGTTAAATGGAAAAGATGCTGACCAACCCTAAATATGAGTTCACAGACGTCGTAACTTTTTTAGACGGTATGTACATTTAGAAAGATATGTTACAAACGTTGGTTTTATAACGTCTTGGGCCTCCGTATCATGACCCTTAGGATGTGCTTATGTAGCCTATCACTTTAATTTTATTCAGAGTTTGTCGAAATAGCTTCTGCATACATTATTTTAAGCCCTGGGTCTATTAATAACCCCAAGATGATTATGGAAATGTGTATGACCGAGTACAGGTGTTTGTATGTTATACATTTTGTGTTTTGAACATGCGAAATATAATCTATGATCACTATTTTCAGTACGATATACTAGCCAATGTAATTTAATTGTAAAAATGTATACAAGAATCCTCAGTTAAAACAATACCTTTACATTAATATTTTGTTTAAACTCCGCACAGCACTTTGTTCTCAAATATTTATTTTTTTAAATCACCCCCACCCCACACACACACACACACACTAGCAAGCACACACGTACCCACACATATACACCAGACACACCTTACTTTTCACTTTCTGAATACTTTGATTTTGAATTGCTAAACGTACACGCGCACGCACGCGCACGCACACACACACACACACACACACACATATATATATATATATATATATATATAGGCATATATATATATAGGCATATATATATAGGCATATAATGAGTCTTTAGTTGACTTTGGGGCCAACAATTAAATGTAGCCCCCGCGCGCACACACACACACACACACACACACACAAGAAAAGATACAGCTACAGGAAATATCAATCACATGACTTTTATTATACGTTTTTAAAAGTTCCTGATTTTTTTTAGCTATTACAGGATATTCGTAGGCAGATGAATGCCTAGCCCCATAAAATCTATATTTACATACACATAATAGGGCTTGTAAGTCTCGGTCTCTCTCACTTAAAATTCGAAATCTCGTTAGCCAGGGAGAGGTATACATTTTCGAACTAAATTCATGGTTTTGAACTTGATTCACATTGATTTTTTTTAAAAAAAGCATAGCAGCTGTTTTCTTTCTAGGCCTCGCTTCATGATTTTAAAATGCAAGAGTACCCAAAATACAACAATTATAATTTTTGTATGCTTATAATAGAATCAAATGAAGTACCGATATGCTTAGGTTACTAATATTAATATTGTAACAACTAGTTACGTTTCTTTTTTTTTAAATAAAAATTTAACGTAGGACATTTTACAATTTTATTTAAGCTAGCCCAGAGGCATAGTGAGGGTGGGGGAGGGGGGGGGGGGGGGGTTTGCGTACCGCACCGAGTAACGCCATTTAGGGGGTGACACCAAGGCAAAAAAAATTGCAAAATGTCCTGAAGAAAAATGCTTTTTGCAAGTTCCATTAAATATTAATTAAAGTTAAATAGTCTTTTAAATACAAATCGACGATTATTTCAAAAGGGTGGGGGGGGGGGGTGACATCATGACGTAAACGTGCTAAATATAGAGAAAACAATGCTACATTCAACTGTATTATTAACAGACTCTAGATAAACATCGTTACTATTAAGTTTGCAGTGATTAAAGCTTATACACATGTACACTCATATATATATATATATATATATATATATATATATATATATATATATATATATATATATATATATATATATATATATATATATATACTTTTTTTTTTTGGGGGGTGACATTACGGAGTGCCACACCGGGTGACACCCTACCTAGCGACGCCACTAAGCTAGCCTTCATCTAGTACTCTATCATTATCATTGTTAATGACTTTAATTAACTTAACAATAGCGGAAGTAACTTATTTATTTATTTTTTACGAGAAGTAGGTGACCTACTTACAAGCCCTAGAAAACCAACTCAAAAGTTAGATTTGCCCATATTTATAGACTGCTACTACACCTTTCAGCTATTTGTTGTTGAATTGTTTTATTTACTTATTTATTTTTATTTTGTTGTTGTTGTTTTCTTTTTTGTAGGGCTGTATATTTTAAAATGCATTAAGGTAACCTTCAATCAACACAAACTCAAATGTTACTCAACAAAGTAAGCAATTGTTTGTTTTTTTGTTTTGTTGTTGCTTTCGAGTTTTTAGGCGCACGCATAGGGCTATAAATAGATGGCCCGGATAATCCGGGCATAGGCCCAGCCTTGTAAACAAAAGTGCGGTTAGCCAAAGGTTTTTGAAATATTATGCTGACATTTTAGGGCTGTTGTTATTTTCCTTTTTAAACTATTTTGGGAAAGGATTTAAACAATACTTAGCATATTGCTGTAAAATGGAAATTGTGTTTTTTTACCGGTTTAATATATCGTGCGCATCTTACGTAACAAACGTGACATTTTTATCAACATTGAACATTATATAACATTAATAAATAGACCACTCCACCCCAAACGTTATGTAAAAAAATCATAGACTATTCCCTTCCCCTCATCAAACAACGTGTGATGAGGGGAAGGGTTCAGATATTGTGACGTCACACTCACACTTTTGCATTTAAAAAGTAATATTAGAAACATAATTGTAGCCGTTATTTCGCGTTTTTAAAAACTCTGTAAATTGCAATAGAAATTGATTAGTATGCCCTATAATTTTCCGAGCTCAGTCTTCTTCTTGTTCTAGTGTTAGAAGGGATTCCCTACAACACAGTTAAGTATTACGTATCCGCTTGTTATGCGCCATGTTGGCCACTGACTCAGCCTGCTTCATTAGCCTTTGCCCAACCAAGAACACACTGCAAGGCAGTTTGATTTTGGAATTGTCTCTCTTAGAAGAGTTGCTGTCCCCAGTTATCGTTCCTCATCTACACGCGTTCAGTCAATATTTTAGAAATAAATCGATAAAAAAATAAACAGCTATTTCAATGGGGTGGGGGGGGGTTGTAGACTGAGCTCTGACGTCATTTTAGGAGAGGGGGTCTGGCTATTTTGTGACGACGTTTGGTAAAAAATCGTCCAAAAAAGCGTGACGTCATTTATGGATGACCCTTGAGAGAAAATCATTTGTTACGTATACCTACAATGGAAACATTCCTTCTTCTCTTCTTCTTCGTTCTTAATTATTAGTGTTGAAGGGGATCGAGATTTATCTGCCAGTGGGGTTGAACTCGAGACTGTTCTAATTATCAGCCATGAGCTATTTGCCGACTCGACCACGCCTCCAACACAATTAAGCGTTACGTGTCAACTGGTTATGCGCCATTGACTCCGATTTCAGCCTGCTTTTCTTTTTGGATTTGCTTCCATAACCTTTGTCCAACCAAGAACAAACTATAAGTTGTTTAATTTTGGAGTTGTCTCTCCTAGAAGAGTGGCTGTCCCCAGCTAACGAGCCTCATCTGCCCGAGGGTTCGAACTCGAGACTTTTCGGTTTAGCAACCATGAGCTTTACCGACTCGACCACGCCGACCCCCTCCAACCATTCCAAAATGACCGGAAAAAAAATTTAAAACAGTAATGGCAGCGATATGTTACATTGCTCAACATTACAAATCCACCATATCTAACACAATAGTTTAATTAATAGTTCTTTTTATTGTTTTTTTTTTTAAACTGTCAATACGTATTACGATTGTTTGTACGCGTGCTAGTTTAAGAATGTAAAAAAAAATAACGGACACAAAGTTTTCTGTTTCACCGTATTGTGCCAGTATACAACACATGTTGCAGCTTCCCATGACGTAAATCATATTTACGTGTTTGTTTTGTTTTATTTTTTCCAACTTCTGTACGCGTAGTTAACGATCAATTTATCAGTTGGCAGGATTTCTTCTAGACACTTTTCTACGAATAGAATACATGAAACCCAGGGCCACAAGAAGCTTTCGAGAAGAGGTGGGGGGGGGAGGCGACGGACAATTACTAAAGTAGGCCCGTATATATATATATATATATATATATATATATATATATATATATATATATATATATATATATATATATATATATATATATATATATATATATTCTGTATAATTTTTTTCTTTTTCGTCCGAATCCCCCCCCCCCGGCGAAAAGGAATTTATATAGAAAATATAAACATTTTTCAGTGTCCGCCAACTCGCAACATTTAGTCCCCCCCCCCCCCCCCCCCCCCCAGGAAATATCAAGTACCCCCGGAGAAAAAAGTCTGAATGAAACACTGGTGGGCGGTGTTTCAAGGGGGGAGAAGAGATGCCTGAAAGAAATAGTGTCAATAGGACGTCAACCAGTTCACTCACATTAGGAAAAACAAAGGCGGCTGGGCATAGTAGAACTGACCACACTATCCATTCCTATGAGGAGATCACGGAAATGTTACTTCAAAAGTGATATTGATCATCCAGCCCAAAAGACTATCTTAACTTTTTTTTTAAAATTATTTGATGCAATATTGTAACAAAATTATAAACCTAACCTTTAACTTTTTATTTTTAGTGTAATAAATTAATATGTGCACGGAGCGCGACTCCTCATCAGTGTTGGAGATATTAAATCAACCAAAGACCAGACCATCTCTGTTGTTGCTGCTAGGGTAGCTGTGATGTAATAAATTATTGTATACCTGTTTCCGGACTCTTTGTGTGTGTGTGTGTGTGTGAGAGAGAGAGAGAGAGAGGGGGGGGGGGTCTTATCTCGGTACAACTGTAGACAGGAAATCCGCCTTCAGACTGTCGCTATACTCGTTTTATTTATTTTGTTAACGTTATCAAGACATTTTACGGTTTTGGCCAATGTGCAGGCACACAATTTTAATTTTGGCCTACGTCCGGACACATTTTTTTTTTTGGCCTTCGTTGATTATCAAACTCAGAATTAAACATTTGTTCACTTTATTCTATTAACATTTGTTTAATGGATAACTAATATCCTGGTCGTCCATTCATGAACTAACGCAAGTAGAATCTTCCTACTTCGGACAATGGTGGAGTTGGGCCCAAGAGGAATCGTGTAAGAAATATGATAAAGCAAGCATACATGTTAATGTTTGTTGTGTAAGAAATATGGTAAAGCAAGCATACATGTTTGTATTTTTAAACAGGAAGTTAACCTTTCAGACCAAGCGTTTCCACGTTTGTGAACTGGCATATAAATGGACGGTCTAGTCAGTTTCTATTTACTTTACAGAGCTGGGTTGATCCAAGCGCATCCTACTGACTTGTGCCTTAATTCCCCCCCCCCCCCCTGTTGCTAAATTTGCAGGGTAGATTAAACTGATACTATTAAGCAATAAAAATGTGTCTAGAAAGCTGTTGAATATTATACTGAAAAATTGATATTCATCAAGTGCGAGTTTCAGTGATAAGCCTTATAAAAATGGCACTATGATGCGCTCATATGATCAGTGTATACATATGCCTTGTTCGTGATATTCACTACAACAAAACTCAAGGGTTAAAGGTATCCATATAATTTTATTATCTTAGGACAACAAGCAACATGACAACAAAGATTTAAAAACACTTTTTTTGGTTCTGTACAATATGGCAGTGTCAATTACTGTAAATATCTTTTTAGCTAGAAACAAATTTCTCCTATTAATTTCAACTGTGCTTGAAAAGCAATGTTTTAAAAAGTAATTATAAACTAATTTGAAACGTTCTGGTAATTGTTTAGACATTTTTAAAAATTAAGGTTTTTGTTAGAATACTTCAATTCCCAAACAATACTGGTTTGAAGGAGAAAAAAAAATGCATATCTGAATTTTTACAACAGGCTAGAAAAGATGAATTACAGTAAATGCTTGTTCTGGAAACAGAGTTTCATGGACTAGCATTTGGTTCTCTCCAGTGATAAACTAGTTATCTCCCCACTAAAATCTGATCATGTGACACACCTGTCATAACAGTGTCACTGGTACATCAGAGTAGCTCAAGGTTTCCAATATAAACATAGGTTAGCACAAACAAGGGCACTCACTCACTGCATACCATATGTAGTAAAAATACACACAATGCTATCTTCAAGTGCATTGCTTGATACCTAAACAACTGATGAGGCTGGCTTAGTAATGCTAAGGGCTAAAAAAAAATGTCTACTGAACTCAATCCATTAGAGGCATCACAAGTCTGCAGTTGTCCTTCAGTATCAAGTAGTGAGGAAAAAAAAAGATGTCCTTCAGTGGTAAGAAGTAAGAAAAAAAATCTACTCAAATGTTCTGTTTTACAGACAGGCCATAATCCCAAGACTAGCGGAAAAGAAAAATTAAATTACAACAGATGACTACATTTTTAAAGTTAGGATGTTTAACAATAGTAAAAATTGGTCTTCTGAACAGACCAGGTTTAAAAAAAAAATGCATACACCCGTACACGTTTCATTAAAGTGCTTGCTATTGTTAAGTACAAAGTAACTTAGTTACATGGATTTTGAATGAAAACAAAGGTGAATAGTAGCCAATGATTAATATTACCCAAAAAACATTACAACCCACTATTAGGTTATGTTTACACATAAACTAGCCTAAAACCTAAGATTATGAGAGTTTTAATAGTCTTTGCACTGTCTGTAGAAAGAATGGCCAAATGAATCAAGTAATGTACAATTCAGCAGAGTCATGCAGTAGTTAATAAATGACAGGTTAAATGAGAGCTCAAGTGTATCAGTTATTTACAAGATATATCTGAAAATTGTTGAAAACTTTTACCATATTAAAAAAAACGTCAAATTATCCCTCAGAAAAAAAAAAGAAAACAGCAAAAAATATTCCAAGATGAATTCGCAATAATTTCATGGTGACTTGAGAATTATTTGTATTCCTTGTGGTTTTTAAAATCACATGGTAATGCAATATTAAAAAAAAAAAGTTGACAAACAGGTGACGTGTTTTTGTTTTAAGAAGGGGCTGGTGTAACCGTTGTAAAGCTACAGATGTTTGGGACAGGGCGTGGTATCACTAGACCAAATCACAGGGAAATCTTTTGATAAAAGTAAAACCAACATAGAGAATAGAAGTATAAAATGTTGATAAACACAAAGTGGGTTCTGTTTGAAACAACTCGCAGTGGATGATCAATACAACAGTTCTACAACAATTCTACTTACTACACAACATTCTACCAACCCCATCATTTAGCTATTTAGAATAAAAATATACAATTGTTTAGAAAAAGTGGAAAGCCACTGTTTTGATCTGTCGTGGTCATGATATTCTGATTTGACTTGAAGAGATACACCTGTCTCACACCTGTGATTTGATTGACTTTATACATTTAACTTTTACAAACACAATTCACTCCAATTTTTTTTTTATCTAAGCAAAAATAACACTAAAGGCACACAATTTAAAAATGCTTTTAAAAAAAGTAATAAAAAAGGATTAAGATATTATTGCAAGGAAATGTACAGTTTTTTCTGAAAGCACACATAAAAAGTTTTCTAGAATTTATTTTAAAATTAATAAAAACTGTAGCATTGTTTGTTTTTTTATACATTGAAATCAAAATTACCAAGATTTTGCCTATATGCCATTACACTGGAATACTGCATTTTTTTTAAGGTTTAAAATCAAAATTGGGTTTAGTTTAAGTATGGCTTCATAAATAAAAATTATTTCCACACAAAAAATCTTTACATACATCACAAGGAGTGAAAGCATGCTCGTTCAGGATTCAGACAATACATGGAGTTATTGCAGTAACATCAATATGCATTTATCTCAGGACCTTATTTTGACAGCATTGTATTTCATGAAATTTTTAAATAGTTGTTTGACAATTTTAAAAAAAAATGATGGAAAGCAATTATGATACTCTTTAACAGTGTACACATGTTAAAATTAAAAATAAAATATTTTTTTTAATATACTAAAGTTGAGCTTCATTTAAGCGACAGAAACTGCAACAGCATCCAAAACCTGGACAAGCTAAGTCAATTCACTCAACACCTCAGGAATAAAAGCTAAAGGAAATCTGCTTCACTGATGTCTGCACCAGAGACATCAGCAACATCAGGAATCACCCATGATATCTTTCTACCTGCTTCATACAATTCTTTTATTGCAGTCATTACCTGAGAAAAGTGAAACAGTGATTGAATTTATACATACATAATTCAAGAATTTTGGTCAACTTTTTCAGTTGAACGTGCTTTGACAGACACTTGGTTAAATAGCTAAAAAAACAATATGCATTTGAAGAAGCAAGACCTGCACATATGTGATTTAAACCTGAATAATTTTTAAAGAAATCAACAATGAATTTATTGAAATACAGTATACAGGGAGTCTGTGTTAAAATAATACAAAACCTAGAAAAAAAAACACTAACGTCTGTTATTTTTAAAAAGATTTATGCAAACTGATATTTTTAAAACCTTGAAAAATCTTTTTGTTTTTCTTTGATCTATCACTGGTGGTTCACTTCCTACGATTTTTTAAAAATTACGAGCAATAAGTGAAATTAAATCTAATTAAAATGCCTCTGCTGTTGAATCTGGCTTTATTTAAAAAATACAGTGATATTGAAAAAGAAAGTAGTGACTACGTTGAAATTTTTAGCATTTAAAATATTTGTATTGAAATATGAAAATTATTGCTTTGTTCACGTTTTGGGGATCGCTGTCATTTTTATTTATTAGTCAACTATCATGCTATTTTACCTAATACGTAATAAAATTTTGTGCATAATACTTTATATTTTTTTTTTTTTTAAAAAGCTGTGGTTGAAGAATGTGAGGTGACTATAGGAGAAGTAAAATAATTCTGACAGAGGGTTATGTATTGAAGTTAAAAACAAAATATATACCTTGTCCTGGCCCTCATCTTTTAGACGCTGATACTCCTTGTACAACTGCAGAGCAGTACGAGCATCTTCTACTGAGTCATGGGTGTAAGACTGAATATTGATTTCTGAAAGTAGATGCAATTCTCTATGATGATCATTGACTGGCTAACAGCATTAAGAAAATAGTTAAATCAAGTATCAGCTTAAGGCTGAAGGTGATAGGAAAGACACTTACTCAGATAATACCATGCAAGAAACTTGAGTGAAATGTATCGCTGCTTAGGAAGATGAAACAAATCCACAGTATCCATAACTTGAGCTTTAGGTACCTGAGAAGTGTTTAATATGACATTTCATTACACCACTAACCAAACCAACTTGCTCACAATTTCTATTTTAATATGACAACTCATTAAACCACTAACCAAACCAACATGTTCACTATTTCTACTTTAAATTAAATAAGTAAAGTTTCTTTTTGGACAGACAATTGGTCATCTAAATTAAGTAGATTTTATCTGTTATTGCAGCATTAAAAGGATTTGTAACAATCACCGAGCCCAGCTATCTTTTCTTACTCTTACTAGAGGGATATCACTATAAGAGCTGTGTGAGCTCACTAGTGTGCTGGGGAATCTCACCAAGAACCAAACTCTACAGACTTGCGGATAAGCAAAATTACATCACTATAACTTCACAGTGTAGTTAAGTTTAACATAAATTACCAGTATGTTGATAACTCTAAAATCTTTCTTTAAGCCATGGCCAACAAATATAACACCAATGTCGATGAGGTAGCGCAACTTCAGATAGGTGGCCTTCAGTGTGGTCAAGTATTTTGTAGATATACTGGGGTCCAGGTCTCCTGGTTTGATACCAGAGTACTGAGTCAAGTAGTCAACAACCTATGGATTGGAGCAAGATTAAAATTTTAAATTATGCTACACATTCCATACAATTAGAAGAGATACATATATACATTTAAATGTATAAATGTGTATAAACATATATAGAAAATAAAAAAAATAAAACAATGGGTATGTGCTAACCTGTTCCTGAGTGACTATATAATCATCTAAGAAAGGCTCCCCTTTGTTAGGTCCTGACCTGTAGAACAGTTAAAATTTTAAACATGAGAAAAGTGCTAAAACAATTGGAATTATTATATGGGGGAAAAAGTTTCAGATAACTAAAAACAACATTGACATGACATGTAAGAAAGATAATCACCCCCTAAGGCATGTAATTCTTGCTGCTGACATCTGGGTAGGAACCAATGTGGAGCGAGTCCCATCACTTCGTAGTTCAGCTTCTTCCTAAAAAATTAAACAAGTATCTCAATACAAACCATGTCGTGAAATTATTTAAGGGACAAGTGGTTCTAGTAAAGATTTTGTAATGTACAAAAGGTTTGTTATGCTAAACAGCTCACCTCTTTGAGTGAGACAAATTCTGCATCCAGTGCAACAATATCACCACTTTTTGGAAGTTCATCTGGTTGCAATGGCAGGAATGTTAGCTTGTGGCGCTCTGGGTTCAGTAGAGCCGTGTTCTTGCACAACACATCAGGGCTGGACCAGGACTTGACTGAAAGCAAAACACATCTACATTTCAGCACTACATAACACATTTTGAATCAAGTATTTCTTCTTTTCTTTTAAAAAATACTTATGAAATGGAACAAAATCATTGCACCTACAGTGAGTAATGCATGGGTAAGTATTTTTTAACTCACCAGTAAGGTCATGAAGTGGAACAAAATCCCTGCGCGTATAGTGGATAATGCAGGGAACATTCCAGTCAAGCTTGAAGTCCACAGCCTCATCCTAAATGAATCAAGATAAATTTAATAAAAACCTTGCTTTTTGTAGCATCAGCTGGTCATGTATCAATCTCTCCCTAATAAAAAATAAACATACCTTTTCCACAGGGGTGATGCAGAAGTCATTGATCAGATACCACTGGGTGCAGGTAACCCTTTCTTTCCTCTGGTGATATTTTTCACCAACCTTCAGGCAGCAAACTAAATTGCCACCAGAGGAGCTGAGGACATGGCTCACAATGCTGTAGAGCTCATAGTACCTTGTGTCATCATCTTGCTTTAAGGGCAAGGGTTCCTTAAAAAAATGATTTTTGAATTATAACCATGCAGTAATTTTAAATAGAATTTAATAAATTAAAAATCTGCAATGGGTGTGCACACACAAATACAAGTTGGATACCAGCAATTGATAATTTACCTCATCTGAGATCTCAGTGACATCAACACTACCCTCTGGGTTTCTAACAATTTTTAATCCCATAGGAATCCAGCTGGGTCCAAATTCATCATCTTCTTCAGGCTGTTTCTTCTTCATTTCAGCTTCACATCTTGTAAAACAAAAATCTTGTCAATAGATTTCACAGCTATTAGCACTATGTGCTACTTCAATATATTAACATATTGTGGAAAGTTTAATTTATTGCTGAAATTTTGTTGCTTGACATCCAGAACACATTTAAAAAAATTAATTTTAGTCTTAAAGTGTAAAAAGCTAATTAGTTTTGAGGAACAATTTGAACAAAATATTTTTTCTAATTGTATAATATAAGTAAAAAAACAAAAATGTATAAACATACTGCCTGGGACCATCGTGTTGGAAGCGGCAATCAGGTCTGTGACATGCCATTCCAAATCTACATTTGGTAGCAGACTGAGAGGATGGTCTTATGTAAGCCATCGGTGGGGCAGTTTCCTTGTGACGTTGACGGACAACCTAAAAATGAGATTTTTGTTTTTTATTTTTCAGCCATAGGCAAAATAAACTGTTGATAGTATTTATCACAACCTTAAAAAGAAACTTTTTTTTAAAAGTATTCAGCAACAGGCTAAATAAACTTTTGATTGCATTTAATTTAGAACAAACCTGGAACTGAGTTTTCCAGAAGTCAAGATTTTTTTCATTTTCGGTATGACAGTTCATGGCCAAGATGTCTGGCAGATTTTGGATGCTCTTTCTTTGGCACTGTTTGGAACAAACAAGTAAACAGGTTGGTAAGTATGTTAATTTTAATTTTTATATAAATATATTTAAAACAGACTTTGGCAATCATTAGATGAGTGACAGTCAACTGAACAAGGCAGTGAAAATAATCTGTAAAACTAAACAACCAAACACATTCAACACTTGTTTCTTACATGATGCTGATATCTGTTACATGTTGAACACCAAGCTTGAATGTTGGTAGCTGCTGTCATGCTGTGTTGAACAACTTCCCCAAAACTTATAAACAAGGGTGGGGAGTTTGGACCTGTAGAAGAGCAAAATTTATTCATGCATACTAATGTTTTTTTAAAAGAGTATCCAAAATACAGTATGATTAAATAGTGCACAGATAAATCAGCATATAATGCAAAAGTAGAATCAAAATATAAATTTTTGTAACTGATTCAAAGAGAAAGTGCCCTACCCATTGGACGGCAGTCTGGGTACATGAGATTGATATGTGTTCCATCAACAGTTCTCTCGCTGGTTAAGCCACATTTGCACTGTAAAGAGGACTTGATGTTGATGCCCAATAAGTCTCGAATGATTGATCTGGTCATTGGCCTGAAATATTTTTTTAGTCCAGAGGGTTTTAAAATGATTACGTACATTTTAAAAAAAATGGAATTCAATCCCATAACTTCTAATTTAATGCTCAAGTTAAATAATTAAAAATACAAAGGGACTTCAGTATTTTACACTTTAAGGATCTTAATTTCCTGAATACAAAAATTTGTAATTTCAAAATTTTACTACTTACGCCTGTGGTTCATCTGATGTTTCCTCACAATTTTCACTGAAACAAAAGACATGTAAGTGTTAAAGAAGATGCTTAAACTTGAAAAAGGTAAGAAAAAGAGAATTTTATATTATCTGTAAACAAATCCTTACCTAACTTCACTTTCACCCTCTCTGGATCCCTCACTCTCAACAGAATCTGAGCTTTCTGGACCATTTTTCTTTCCTTTCTTCTTTTTACCCGCTAGTTTTTTATCATCAGCGTCCCCTTTCTGCACACTTTGTTTCGATTCAACTCCACCTTCTTGGGACTCTACGCGCACACAAGTTTCCTGTGAATATTCATTTTTAACATTATAAGGTGTTGATTTGTGATTTTATTTCTATAACAGAAAAGAACATTGCATTTGATTTAGTTTTGTAATAAAATATTGTCACTTTAAAACATTTACTAAAATTATAAAAACGCTTATGTTTTTTTAGATACTAGCAATGTTAAAGAGTTCAATGTTTTGAAGTCTTAATTCTTAAACTGAAACATAACTAAATCTGTTAGATTTACAAGAGATAAGCAGCGAGAACAAAAATGACATAAATAATCGCAAACTTTTATAACAGTTCAATGGTCTTTAAAATATACTGAAATAATCTTTATGTAACGTTAACCTATCTATCAGCCAAATAGAAGGAGAACGTCCCCGGATTCTTTTTTCGGGGTCATATGCAAATACCTTACGGCCTAAGTGGATGAACACTTAGCACAACGACCACTAGGGCTCGAATTTAATGTCTAGGGAAGCTAGTGATACTATTGTAATTAACACTCATCCAATCTACATACGACCTTTTAATCAGCGAACTCAGAAGTGGCAGAACACAAGGTTGAACTCAATAAAATATTTAATGTATAAAATATCAAAAACCCAACTTACAAAATGCAGGAAAAAACACTATCACAGATTTCTACACAGTCTAATAATAGCCACAGGCCACACAACACTGTTGTAGCTTCAGGAATTACTTAGCGACAAGTAATATTAAACTAGAAGACTAAATCACTTAAGAAAGCAAGGCACACACAGGTCTTAAGTACTCTCACGTTCAAATGGTCAGAGTCTATAGCCGGACAATATGGACGGCTGCCTGAACAAGGTAAAACGGCCTCGTAGACTGCCAGGTCAAGATAAACTGCCACGTGTTGCGAGTGTGCGGGGCAATTAAAGACTTCTGTGACAGGGGAGGTTATCCTCAACTCATGTCGCCATTGGTTGGGATAATCATCTGATCAGAATCATTCAATCAGATTTTAATGGAAATTTTCTATGTCTCAAACACCTTAATAGTCAGTGGAAAAACCCCAGGTGTTACCCCATCATTCCATATAAGGAATTATACAATGTCAAAATAAAAATGACTCGACCTAAGTAGGTCACATCCCCTCCCTTTTTGGAAGTGACAGATAGGTTCCACAAAAACATACATAGGGAACCAATCTGGCAATGAAATAACAAAAATGTTTTACAAATGTAGGCAATCAAAATCATAATACCAGATGAAAATATCCCTGAACATAAAAGGGAAGTAACTCCAACTTTTACAATTGGTGAAAGGGGAGTAACCCTTCAAAAAGTAATTATACATCAAAATCCCTCAAAAAAGGGTATTACAATATTTTCATGAGAATATTAAAAGTGGTAAACCCGCCAGGGTAAGACCTTTATTTCAATGACTAGCTACAATATCAATTGAGTCATATGAGACATATTATTATAAAAGATTACATATACTCAAAAACCACCTTTAATTAAGGTTCACCTGAAAATAAACAAAATATTCAACAGGATTGGAATTTTGAAAAATTCTAACTCACACCACTCATTTTCATATGAGTGACACTCAAACAAAACCTGTTTATGGTCCTAATGAACCACAAAGCATGTCACATGATCAACGTGTACAACAAGATTTTACATCCTTGACAAACAATCAGCCACAACATTATCACTACCCTTAATGTGTGAAATTTCCAGGTTAAAATTTTGGAAGTATAAGCACCATCTCAATATTCTTTGATTTGTCTGTCCTAACTTAGAGGTAAATTTCAGGGGATCATGGTCAGAAAACACTCTGACTGGATTGGTTGAAGAAGAGACATAGACTTCAAAATGTTGTAATGATAGAACCAAAGCTAAAGCTTCTTTTTCAATAGTAGAATAATTCTTTTGGTTCTCATTTAACTTCCTGGAAAAAAAGGCAATGGGATGGTCAATTCCCATGTTGTCTTCTTGAAATAGGACTGAGCCAATGGCTAAGTTGCTAGCATCAATGGCAAGTTTAAAGGGCTTGCTAAAATTTGGTGCAGCCATAACAGGAGCATTTGATAAAAATGACTTAATGGTTAAAAAGGCTTCTTGACATTTATTGGACCATTCAAACTTAACACCCTTTTTCAATAATGCAGTAAGAGGTTCAGCAATAGCTGAAAAGTTTTGACAGAACCGCCTATAGTAACCAGCCATCCCAAGGAACTTTTTGATATCTTTACAATTTTTGGGAGGTGGTAACCTTACAATAGCATCTACTTTAGCTTCAATGGGCCGAACTTGGTTCGTTCCCACTTGATAACCCAAATAGGTAATTGAAGCTTTACAGAAATCACTTTTATGTAAGTTTACAGTAAAATTAACTTCAGACAATTTTCTAAAAAGGTTAGTCAATTGAACAATATGTTCTTCAAAAGTATTAGAAAATACAACTATATCATCTATGTAGGCCTCACATTGGTCTATGTCAGCAATGACAGAGTTAATGACCCTCTGGAAAGTTTGACCAGCATTTCGCATACCAAAGGGCATGCGTTTGTATCTATAAAAACCATTAGGGGTTACAAAAGCAGATATTTCTTTTGCACGGTCAGATAAGGGGATTTGCCAGTATCCTGAAAGTAAATCAATTTTGGAAATTATCTTAGCTTGACCAACTTTATCAATAACGTCCTCTATCCGAGGTAAGGGATAGGAATCAGCTTTGGTGAGCGCATTCACCTTCCTAAAGTCGGTCACAAACCTGAAAGATCCACCGTCTTTCGGGACTAGGAGACATGGGGAACTCCAGTTGCTGAAACTGGGCTCAATGATATCATTCTTGAGCATATAATCAATTTCATCTTTTATCAAAGCAGCTTTTTCCGGGTTAACTCTATAGGGGTGTTGTTTAATGGGTTTTGCGTCACCAACGTCTACATCATGAGGTGGTACTTTCGCTTCTTTGGGGACATCCCCAAAAATAGAGGGAAATGTCTCAAATAACTGAGACAAACTATGGCTTTCCTCTGTGGACAAATGCATAAGGTGGACATTCAAATTATCTAAAAAGGAAGAATTTACCAATTTTGGGGGTTTCAATTTATCATGTATCACATCATCAGAAACATTTGAACATACAGGTAAAGTAATTTTAGCTGTGGAATGAAAATTGTTACAATTATCATAATACTTTTTCAGTGAGTTGACATGATACACTGTCTGTTTCTTTCTTCTGTCGGGCGTATTGACAACATAGTTCAAATCACTTAATTTTGAATGCACAGTAAAGGGTCCACAATATCTCAAGGATAACGCATTGTTCAGATTAGGTACTAGCACAAGAACTTTGTCGCCTGGATTGAATGTTCGTTTACAAGAACTCTTATCATACTGTTCTTTCATTCTAACTTGGGCCTTTCTTAAGTTTTTGTGAGCCATTTCGCACACGGCTTTCAGTCGAACGTGAAAATCGTCGAAGTTTTCCACTGGATGATCACTGGTACCTGTCCAACGTTCGTGTATCAGCTTCAGGGGGCCACGGACAGAATGTCCAAACACAAGTTGAAAAGGCGAGTAGCCTAAAGAGTCCTGGACACAGTCCCTCGCGGCGAAAATAATCCAAGGAACAGACTCATCCCATTGGGTGTTACTATTAGCGAATGTCCTTAGCATGGTTTTGAGGGTTTGGTGGAACCTCTCAAGTACGCCTTGAGACTGAGGGTGGTAGGCTGAGCTGGTGATGTGGGTAACGCCTAGCTTGGCTAGCGCTTCCTGAAAATGGTGACTGGTGAAGTTGCTGCCTTGGTCTGTTTGCACAATTCTAGGTAATCCAAAGGTAGTGAAGAACCGGGTCATGGCTCTGACTACAGTCTTTGCCTTAATGTTCCGTAAGGGAATCGCCTCGGGAAAACGGGTACTTGAACACATAAAGGTAAGTAGGTACTCGTTGCCCGCCTTGGTTTTAGGCAAGGGACCTACACAGTCCATGACGATTTTAGAAAAAGGTTCTTCTAACACAGGAATCGGACTCAAAGGGGCCTTAGGAATTGTCTGGTTTGGCTTTCCGGCCAACTGACAGTTCGTGCAACTTCTGCAGTAACGCGACACATCATTTCTCATTTTGGGCCAAAAGAACAGTTCTTTGATCTTCGCCGTCGTTTTAGTGACACCTGGGTGCGCTGACATTGGATGGTCATGTGCCAGCTTAAGTATTTCATGCCGATAAGGTGGAGGGATCCACAGCTGGTTTTTACCCAACCATGGTTCGGCCGGTGAGGCAATCACTGGTATAGCGCGACGAAAGAAGAGGCCGTTCTCGGAGAAATATTCTCCATCGTCAGATGATAGAGATTTTTCGACCGTTGCTTTGAGTTCCGCGTCGACTTGTTGAGCTTTAATGATGTCTTCCTGAGATATTCTCAGGGGTAAGCCCAGACTTGTGTTTTCTGGAAGCATAGACTCCAGTTTGGGAGTCGAATTTCTTGACGATGATGGCGGGTGTGGTTCAGACGTTGTGTCAGCCAATTGTTTGGTCTGGCTTCTTGTCACCGCACATGCAGGATACAGTTCATAATCATTATCTGGAACTGTTGACAAAGGGTCTGAAACCGTACAGGGGTATACTTTGCTTCCCGCAAGGTCATTCCCTAGAAGTAGGTGTACTCCTGGGACTGGAATACTATCTATCACACCTAAAATGACCTCACCTTCGACGAGATGATGTTTCAGGGCAAACTTGTGTAGAGGGACGACAGTAGATTTTGTCCCCACTCCCTGGATAATGGAAATCTTTCCGGTGTTCGTCTCTGGTGTAATGTCCATTGAACTTTTCAAAAGGAGGGATTGTGACGCTCCTGTGTCTCTTAGGACGGTGATATTCCGCTGAGACAACGGATCACCTGGTTTGCTAATGATGGCTTCAGCAATAAAAGATGAAAAGTCAACTTTTCTCGATCCCTCGAGATCGGTAGACTCGGAAGAAACTGGATGGTGGCGAGAACAGTCAAAATGTGACTGCACATAATGTGTGGAGACTTGACTACCTTCTTGCGGACACTTAGGGTTAGAGTCCTTTTGAATTCTAGAGTTCATAGTTGAACTGGCTGCTTGAGGGGATAGAGCATAGTGCGCAGAAGTACGCACCACCTCTCTGTTATTCTGAAGACGTTTGTAACAGTCCTTGACAAGATGACCAGGCCTTTTGCAGAACTGGCATACTGCTCGACGATTGAGAGTCGATCTTGGTTTCTCTCTGGACTGTAATGCCTTCACGTGTTGGCCAACAGGAGGATTGCTGCCAAAAAGGGGAAGCACGGGGTTGAGGCGGTTTCCTGACACTGGTGGTTTCTTATGCACCAACATATATGTGTCAGCCGACTCAGCAGCCTTCTGGATGTCAGTTATCTTGTTATCCAGTATGTGTAGTCGTATCTCTTCAGGCAGGGACGATAGGAATTCTTCCCTTAGGATAAGTGACCTGAGTTTCTCAAACTCAGAAACTTCCTCAGAGTGTAGCCACCTTGAGAATATTTTCTCCTTTTCAAAGAGAAATTCCACATATGATTGTGTGGGTAACTTGCGGAGTGTTCGGAATTTTGTCCGATAGGCCTCGGGCGTCAGTGCGTAGGCCTTTAAAATGGCAGTCTTGACCAAACTATAGTTATTTTGAACGTCGTGAGAGAGTGCCTGGTATGTTTTTGCAGCTTTCCCAGTAAGGACAGAACTCAATAAAGCAGTAATGGAGGTTTCGGGCCATTCACAAGTCTTCGCTAAACTCTCAAACGAGTTAAAGAAAACGACCAAATCTGTTTCATCAAATTTAGGAACTAATTTCCCAAATTTGGCAATCACTTGTCCTACCGACAACTTTTTTGGATCTACCAGAGAAGTGACATCACTAACTTGACCAAACTCTAATTCCAACCTCCTCTTATCTAAAGCAATTTTAGCCTCTAACTCCTGTTTCTCTAGAGCACTTTTAGTTTCAAACTCCTTTTTTTTTAATAGAAGCTCCCTCTCTTCTATAGATTTCTCCTCGCGGAGCAACACACTAGCTAACAAACTTTCGTCAAATACTCCTTCATTAATGAAATGAACAACAATTTTATCTCTCAACACCTCTGACTTCTGCGTAACAGAATAATCCAATTTCAATTCCTTAACAACACTAACCAAAACTTTTCTACTCAACTTTTCTACATCTTCAACAGTAGGATTAGCCAAAAACGACTCCATAACACTAACTTTCAAATCACAACAAGCCTAGGTTCACTAAGTTAGCACGGTGAGTTGGGCCGTGTACTTGACCTCTAAATGTAGGACGTGACACGTCTGCTTATTTGACCTAGATACTCTAGCCTGAGCGCGCGTTGTAAGACCACGGCGCTACACTGGATAAAAAAACAACTAGACCAGACTAAACTTAGTATTCAACTGATATAACCAACAACTGGAACGACAGATTAAATCCCGGACGGGCCCCCACTTTGTAACGTTAACCTATCTATCAGCCAAATAGAAGGAGAACGTCCCCGGATTCTTTTTTCGGGGTCATATGCAAATACCTTACGGCCTAAGTGGATGAACACTTAGCACAACGACCACTAGGGCTCGAATTTAATGTCTAGGGAAGCTAGTGATACTATTGTAATTAACACTCATCCAATCTACATACGACCTTTTAATCAGCGAACTCAGAAGTGGCAGAACACAAGGTTGAACTCAATAAAATATTTAATGTATAAAATATCAAAAACCCAACTTACAAAATGCAGGAAAAAACACTATCACAGATTTCTACACAGTCTAATAATAGCCACAGGCCACACAACACTGTTGTAGCTTCAGGAATTACTTAGCGACAAGTAATATTAAACTAGAAGACTAAATCACTTAAGAAAGCAAGGCACACACAGGTCTTAAGTACTCTCACGTTCAAATGGTCAGAGTCTATAGCCGGACAATATGGACGGCTGCCTGAACAAGGTAAAACGGCCTCGTAGACTGCCAGGTCAAGATAAACTGCCACGTGTTGCGAGTGTGCGGGGCAATTAAAGACTTCTGTGACAGGGGAGGTTATCCTCAACTCATGTCGCCATTGGTTGGGATAATCATCTGATCAGAATCATTCAATCAGATTTTAATGGAAATTTTCTATGTCTCAAACACCTTAATAGTCAGTGGAAAAACCCCAGGTGTTACCCCATCATTCCATATAAGGAATTATACAATGTCAAAATAAAAATGACTCGACCTAAGTAGGTCACATTTAACAGAAAATAATGCAAATAGAAGTAGTTAAGAGAATTAAGCTGTGAACTAACCTCATGTATTTGCATAAGTACAAAGCGTTGCCAGCTTTGGATAAGCCTGGGAAAATCAACTCTACCACTGCTTTCATCTGCATCATGCAGTACTAAACCTAAAGCCGACACCTGAGGCATTGTCCTGAAAGCTCGTAGAAAGTTGGTTGCCTAGAAAGAAAAACAATAGGTTTTTGTTTTTTTAAAACATTAAGTAGAAATAAATTTTAATACAATTGAATAATGGATGTCAAAGGAAAAATTAGAAATAAATTTTAATACAATTGAATAATGGATGTCAAAGGAAAAATTAATTATATATTTAATGGATTAAAACTCTTTACAAAGCGCAAAATGTGCTCAAGAATTTTCACAATAATGAGATATAGTACATTCTGTTCTTTATAGTAACAGAGTCTTGCCTGTAGTGATGGTTTTGAACATTTTGTTGGGTGTCCAAAATAAATGACTTGCATGTTTCTTGATCTATTACTAGATTTTATTTTCTACCATATTTTTTTTAAGCTGAGAATATTTTTCCAAAAATATATTTTAATTATAAACAGCATAAATCTATAAGAGTATTGAAAAACTAGTAAGAGTCTAGCAATACCTGACACGTGTTGCCCTTCTGCAGATCCAGCATGTGGAACAAAAATCCAAGCTCACATGACAGACAAAACTCCTTTTCACACACATGGCCAAGTAAGGCACAACGCAAAGGCTCAATGTAGTACAGTACCTGAAGAAATATTTTCAAAGTCAGTGGAGAACTATTTTATTTTAGTTTCCTTGTTTTGGCAAGTCAAAAATATTTACCTGAAGCATTGAATTACAGTAAGCATTTGGAATGTGAGGCTCTAGACCAGCTAAATTAGTTTTGTTGTAATGACGGAAGTCAAAATCTTCAACACCAAGTTTGGAGTATTTTATTTCTACACGCTGATATCTTTTTGGAACTGTCATAAATGGATCTTCTCCTAAAGTAATGAATTAAAATGTGATACAAATGTTCTCAATGAAATAAAATATTAAAATGTTACTCAAAAGTTTAATAAATGATCTTAGCATTGAAAGTTACATACCACGACCCATAGGGGATTCTGGAATGCTTGACTTCCTATCTTTATTTCCTTTATCGTTCAGGTTGTAAGGAATAACATTTCGCTTCTGTTTATTGGTATTTGGTGCATATCCAATGTTCTGATAGACTTTCATTGTCCGCAAGACATCAGCATCTATGGGCAATGGTTTCCTATAATGCCAAAAAAACGTATTATGCAGTATAGATTAGAAAATAACCTCAATGTTGTGATTATTTGTTTAAGCAAACATTGATATTTTCTACTGCTATAAGATCATGTGGATAAATATGATCAAACAAACCTGTAAGTTCTTGCCATCATATGCTCTGGGAAGTCTGAAACCAGTGGACCTTGAGCTGGGTATGGCATTGGAACAGCTGAGTATGCTGCCAATTCATCATTGATATCAATCGGCTCGAGGCTTTCAATCTGAAATTCAATTTGACATTAACAGCCGGACTTTAAACAAACATACTCTCTAATCGTCTAAACGATTTTTAAAATCTGGACTAAAAAATGTAGAAAAAAAGGTTAAGCTTTCCTTACTGGATCAGCAAATTCTGTGGGTTCTGAGTACGGGTTGAACACACTGTTTGGACTAGCTGCAAACAGGTGGACATTTCCTGGAAAAGGAAGGAAGTAAAATCATTGAAACATCTCCTTTCGACTTTCTTATATTAATAATAAGAGGCCATTTGATATCTAAGAAAATGTTCTTAAGAAAATGTTCTTGCCTGAACTGTCTCCAAATCCTAAAGCTTGATATGTTTGTGAAACATCAAAAGCCACAATATATGCTCCATGTGTCTCTACAGGGTAAGACAGACGCGTGTTTGGTGCCCCACCTGTTATGGTTTCAACAAGCTGGAAGCTGCCCATCTAGAAAACAATATACAAATATTTAAGCATACTTTTTAATATTTAAAATGTTAAAGGCATATAATTGTAAACAAACTTACTTGAGAAACTACAACAAGGTGATTTGGTATAGTTGGAACAAATCTTAGGAAAGTTGGATCGATTGAAACTTGGATAGGCGCCATTGCTCTCATCACTCTCATATCATACACCATGAGGAGACGATCAGGAGTCAATGTGTTCATTCTAAATAGACAAAACACATAAAATAGTTTTTTAAACCTGTTATGTAAACCTTATTATGATCAAAGTTAATACAAAAGTAGAATTTTGAAAAGACTCAAAACACCTTTAGAATGCCCGTCCAATGTTTTATGTTTTACATCTCACAATCACAATGTAAGATTGATATCAGATGTGTCAGTGTCTGCAACTTACCTGTTACTGAACCCACAAGTGATCAGCAAGTTGTCATGGATGTCAAAATCAGAGAGACAGCTGCTGTGAGCTTCTAAAGTTTGTTCAGGTCTCATAGTTTTAGCATCATATACAGTGACCTGCAAACAAAATATATCAGGAAATAAAACTGTAAACTCACCAGTTTTACTTTGGTGAGGAAGTGCTTAGTTTAATAAACTTTTTAAAAGGAGTAAAATACTTGGTGAGCTATGGTGGGAGGAAGAATTTTGAACAGATTAGCTACTCTAAAAGAATGTTATATCTTATGGGGAGAAAATCAAAGAATTAAGTACAATGTAGAATATGAATTAGACATGCATAAATATGCATAGATATATGAGGAAATGTAGGAAAATTAATGTCTTCTCACCTTGCCAGTGCTGTCACCACCACAGATGAAACGATCATTGCTTCTAAAAATAGCAATGCCAGCATCTTTCACTTCATACTAGAATACAATGAGAGGATTGTAAGCATGTAAGCTATTTTTAAAATATACAAAGTATACCCAATTTTTTTTTAAATGACAATTTTTTAAAATGGCCACCATTGACAAAAATGTAATAGCATAAAGATTTTTTAGTATGCTAAAATTATTTTATTAGATATGTAATGAATACTTTCTACTATCTGAACATAAAACGTAATATTTGTACAATTAAAATAATAACTTTTTCCCCATATATATTTTATAAACATACCACGTTGCTAAGTCTGTTCTGAATGATGTCAACTTCAAGCACTTGTTTGTTATGACCACCAATTAAAACTGATGTATCCCCTCTCATCATCATGCACTGCATATCATGTAGATGTGCATCCCTAAAAATGAATTATACTTTATGGTGTTAGTCTAGTAAATTTAAATCCTTTTATTTAAAAACTACCATTAGATCTTTGTTTACTCACTTAAATGAAAATACACTTAATCCTCGACGAAGAGTACCCCGCAAAAGATTTGGGGTAAGTGAGAGAACTCCTTGTGGAAAAGAGAGGTTCATGCGAACATCTTCATCAAAACTAACTCTAAAAGCTGAGTATTTCTGGAAGTCAGTCCCATAATATGAAGCAACATAGCCCTGGAAAATAAGCAATGGCCAAAGTTATTTCATTTCCCATTTGATATCTATTAAATTAAAAAAAATTTGGGCTGTGAGGGATCTTTGAATCCAACTAGATTATCAATGCAAAACAAAAATTAATTGAATGTACTCACTCTTTGGTTACCAGCCCACAACAGTTCTTGATGGCCATCAAAGTTTACACACGTTATACTAGCATTAGCAACTTTATCCATTAGCTGACACCCCATAGGACTGAAATTAAACAAATTCCTGAATCTTTAGCCATGTCAAAAAACTGTCCATTAAAGATGGCCCCACTAGAGCCATTTATTTATTGGTTCTTATTAAAACGTCAACATAACTGTAACACTGATTTTTTTCAATAGTAGCAAAATAACCTGACATTTGTCTTGTTAACGTTTTGGTAAGTACCAATTTATTTTTTAAAATATTATATGTAAAAATAAATTATTTTTAGCATACCTGAATTCCCCTTGGTCTTGTAACACAGGATCTCCATACATTTGCATCATATGATGTTGAGAGTAAGCATCTCCTCCACCTAACATGTGACCATCCATTTGATTCATCATGCCATGTTCTCCCATCATACCTTGCATGCCCAGTGCATTGTGGTCAATGTATCCCCCCATTAAATTTTGAGGATCACGGCTGCTGTGGCGGAAATCATGGTGGGAGAACTCTTGCTGATGGTAATCAGCAACAATCTGATTTTGTTGCAGTGAATGGAAATCTTGCTGAGAATGGAAGTCAGCAGTGGCATTTTGATGGGGGTGAAATTCATTGATCATAGCATTGTGGTGCTGGTGGTGCTGCTGATGCTGGTGATGTTGTCGTTGTTGATGTTGGTGTTGTTGGTGCTGCTGACGCTGCTGGTGGCGAAAATCATTCAGATGATGTTGCGTCGAGTGGCTATGGTAGGTATTGTTGTGATGGTGCTGTTGAGATGCATGCTGATGAAAATTCTGTGGTGGCATATTTGTACCTTGGTTAGAATTCTGGAAGTTCTGCTGCATATTTTGTGGTGGTCTTGATGTAATTGGGTTACCCATATGTGGGTGATAACCAGGAGGTAGCGATGAATTTTGCATTGGCCCTGACTGGTAGCCTAACGGCATAGACTGATCCTGTCCTGGCACCATTGAATACCCTGGAGGCATGTGTGGATCTCCTAAAGGGGGATATCCTGGTGGCATTCTGGGAGGAATCGCTGTATTTGGGAACACAGCAGGATCTCTGTGCAAGTTTTGCGATGTGAAGTTTGGAGGCGGAGGTGGCATACTCTGAGTATCCTGATTGTGTGGAGGCCGATATCCAGGCATTCCAGAAAAATCCATTGCAGGGGCTCACTTTTTTTCTCCAATCTGGATTTGATTGGAAAATATTTAAATTGTTATGCACTTAACTAGCATCCATTCACTAAACTGCAAAACAAAAATAGGAGTAAAAAAGAAACATGAGAAAAATTTTTAAAAATTTCTTCAACTGCTGACAAAATAGATAGTAAAACATAGCACTTAAGTTTAAAGATAACCTTTTTAATTATTAAGAATTTTGTGACTGCATAAATTATTAAGACCCTACTTTTAGTTTGAAAATTCCCAGACATGTATATTAATATTTTTATGTGATTTAAGATTGCTGCTTCACAATCACATCTCCCTGAAAGTGGCTTGTTCTATTATTTTAAGTGTTTAGCTTATTAATAAACATTTCAAAACTTACTACCTGTTCAATTTAAAAATTGAAAAGTCACCAATCAAACATATTAAAGCATCCCTCAACCTCATCCCACAGTATACTTAGACTTAATATTACTGGAGCAATAAAAAAATGTATTTATTCTTTCCAAATGATAGAATCTTTTCTGCAAAAACTTAAGCGCTAAAAAAAAAATAGCCCATACTTCCAAAACAATTTTGAATTGCACATTCTAGTAATAATTATCCTTCAAAACAAATGAAAGTTTCCATTATTAGCCTCAATTTTTTTAATATCAATTAAAATGTCCCACATAGACCTAAGCTATAAGCTAATATTTTTTTTTTTTAAAAAGAACTTTACAAAAACAGAATGACTACAGATAATAGTTCAGATGAAATTTCTATTTAATTCATTAGAATAGGGTGGTGTTGAATTCTAATTATGGATTGCTGAAAAGTAGAAAATAAAACAACTAGGCCTAAATAGCGGCAGATGCTACGCCACAGGTCTGCTAGTTTACAATATTGCACTTAAATATTCCTAAACTCAGGAACATCAACACTGTTTTGAATAATGACATTTTATTAACTAGTATGCTAACAAATATTTCAAAAACTTATTTTAGATAGACTCTCTATACTAAAAAATATTTAAAAAATACAATAAAACCAGAGAACAAAAAGTTCCTACAATTACAACAAATCTGTAGGCCCTATGCCCAGTCAGGTGGCACTTTATTTATAGTAGACAAATCTGACAATCTGGATAGTACAAGCAGTAGTATATGTAGCCAATTTATAATAACGCTAATGTTTTTTAGGGCCTAATTCCGTTAAGGATTTTTTAGGGATTAAAAAGCCCAAAAAGCACACCTCTCAGTAGTCGTGAGTAAAAAGCCCAAAAATTAAAAGTAGCCTAATAAAAGTAAAAGTAAGGACTGATAATTTATATTAATTACGGCAAGGCCTAGCTAGAACTATACTGTAGCCAGATCAAATAAACCCACTGCAACCAATGAAAGAAAGTAGAGTAGCATCCTTGGTAGTCCTTGATCTGAAAGTACTGAAACACAAACTGAAACTGAGGAAATAGACAAAACAAGGTTCATGTCATGAGTTTCCAAGTTCAACTGAACTGTTATAAAAACCAACATATTTAATTAATTTCAGTACTGAATGCTAATATTTTATTATTTGAATTTTAAAATAACTTACTAAGTATCTCAAATGCAAGTCTTTGGGAAGATAAATATTTCGAATAGAAATATGTTTATCAAAAATAGTAGAGCAAGAGGGCCAAATTGATCGTTTCCCTCGGCTCATAAACTAAATTCGAAATTATTTTGTGAATAGGCTCTAAAATCTATTTTAACATCAAGCGTGTGATTAATGTTCACTTCTTTATGCTTTTCAGATTCTTTAACTTTGTTATTAGAAAATAAATGAAACAAAATAAAATTAATTCCATTGATTTTTAACCGTGTATTTCTTCAAATCGTATTATTTGCTTTATTTGGTGCATTTATATGCCGTATATGAATTATATATGTTCCAAAACATTTGCTTTTATATTAAGGGCTTTAAGAAAAACGGTTACGCTCACATTGTTTCATCATTTAAAACTACACCTAGATCTATAAACAATCAGTTATCTTTTTCTTTATAGATCTACCATGAATCTTTGAAATTGAATTCACTTTTTAAGAAATTAAATTAAATGGTTTATTTTAATGCTTTTTTACCAAAATTAGTAGGTAAAAATACTTGGACTGACTGTTTTTCTCAAAATAAATTACCTGTAGTGTCTATCTGTGTCGCTGTCTCAAAGTATATATAGGCATATATATATATATATATATATATATATATATATATATATATATATATATATATATATATATATATATATATAGCCTCTCTAAACCAGAGGCGTAGCGAGGGGGGGGGGCGCCGACCTTAGGGGGGGCGCCAAATTGAAAGTTTATTTTTATCTGATTATATATTTTTGTAACTATTGTAAGTCAATGTGTTCAAAAATGTCCGTAAAAATTGAAAACGTTACCCAGTCTTTGTACCTGGCTGCTTAAATTTAACTTCTCAAACTCTAAAATTTGATGTGGACCTTTTGGTTGAAGCGGGCACATGTCGCTATAAGAAAGCGCGTTTGCTAGGACTCGGCAAAATAAATTCGTCAATTATCAATGTATAATCATGCGTATGCCAATATAACTAGGGGTCATCCATAAATAACGTCACGTTGGTTGTTTTTTTTTTAGACAATCTCCCCCCCCCCCCCACGCAGCACTCAGCGCGGCCCGCACTCCCGTCACCGCCTCCAACGAGAGATATTTGAGTGCAGGTAATCTATTTCGAGCAGTGTTTCTTCCAGACTTTTTTTCTCCGGGGGGGGGGGGGGGGGCACTTGATATTTTCGGGGGGGGGGGGGGTTGACATCCATCTCGTTCGGAGGAGGGGGGGGGGGGGAGAAAAAACTCTGATTTCGAGTCTGAAAGTCACTGACTCAACATACTGTGAAAAAAAAAGTAAAATACCCTTTCAACCTTTTCCATGGGCAGGTGAAGTTCACCGTTTTCAGCGGACTCTTTTATTGAAGGGATGGTGCACTATGCATAGCCGCCTTTAGTTTCCATTTTAAGGACTCGGAACGGGATGCAAACCTGGAAACTTTCTGAATAGTAGTAGAGCGGTCTACCATTCGACTATGCCGTCCCCCATTCTGCGACGAAACATGTAAAGTCCATCTGTTTCTGTGACCTAGGCACATGGTTGTCGATGTTATGACCAGCAATCTAAACAACCCCCCCCCCCCGGCATCATTTTAGGTAAACCTATTTTTATTATATAAGTATGCCTAGGGGGTCGTCCATAAATGACGTCACAGTCGTAGGGGGAGGGGGATGTCCGTAATTTTGTGACGGTGTGTGATGAGGGGGAGGGGTTCAGATGGTGCGACGTCACACTTTTGCATTATAAAAATTCAATGCTAGAAAACGAATTTCGCGGTTTAGAAGACTGTTTTAATAAATTGTAATAAGAATTGATTAAAATACTCTATTTTGACACAGTTCAGACCAGATTTTAGAAAAATATCGATGTTTAAAAAAAATTCTACTGCAGTTTTGAGGGGGGTTGTAGGCTGAGGTGTGACGTCATTTTAGGGGGGGGGGGTCTGGCTTTTTGTGACGACGTGTGACGTAGGGGAGGTGGGAGGTAAAAATCGTCCAAAAAACGTGACGTCATTTATGGATGACCCCTAGGAACCGAACTTGAGACTTTTGGCATAGCTTTCGTGCGCTATGCTACGCCGTTCGGAAAGATGCAATTTGAGCAACCTGGGTTACATACAGCACAAAACTTTGTATGTCTAATAAACAATTTTGTTGACGTGTAAAACGTCAGATCTGTTGAGCTTTGGTCACTTATCATGGGTTATGATTCAGTAGCGTAGCGAGGGGGTGGCGGGGGGGACATATACATATGTCCCCGGGCGCCGACCTTATGGGCGCCAAAATGGGTTTGAAAAATAAATGGAAAGGTTGAGGGGGGCGCAAATCAAAATCTTGAGGGAGTTGCAAATCGAAAAGTGGTTTGTTTAAAACAAAATAATTCCTCGTGTGTCACAAATGTTTCGAATAATATCCTGGCTAGACTATTAGTTTTGTTTATTTAATTTTTTAAAAATTTTATAATCATCTTCCTATTTGTGCTTGTTAGAGTGACAATCTATTTAAAATAGGTCTATTGTATTTTGTGTGTGAGCTTTGTTTTTAAAAGTATCGTTATGATACTTTCTTTATAATATTATAGTGTCTATAACTATAATAACTATAACCTAATCGTAAAAAGCTATTCGTGGAAATGATGGTTCAGATGGGTTGGAAAAACAAATCGAAAGTCTGAGGGGGGGGGGTGCAAATCGAAAGTTTGAGGGGGAGGGTGCAAATCGAAAGTCTAAAGGGGGGGGGGGGGTTGCAAATCGAAAGTATGTCCTCGGGCGCCGGGAACAGTGTTTCTTTATGACTTTTTTCTCCGGGGGGGGGGGGGGGGGCTATTGAAATTTTCAGGGGGGGGGGGACACTGTTAAAAGTATATATTTTCTATATAAATTTCATTTCGTTCGGGGGGGGGGCGGTAGAATATTTTGGTTAAAATGACACTGAGCAAATATATTTTCGCTATACCGTCTTATGAAGAGAATGGGACGGCGTGGTGGGACGATAGAGTGCACGACAGCTAGGCCTAACCCGAAAATCTCTAAACTCATTACTAATGGGTATCTGACTCACGTTCAGAGAACGTAAACTGGGCATAGTGACCACACAATCACTTTATATGCCGAGATCACAGAAACGGGGGAGCTCTACTACACCACAAGGACCGAAAGGTTTGAAAGGATAACGTTTGTTTTTTTATGGTGAAAAAATATATTGATGGTTTAGGCCTTGGCCTATTGTAACAATCTGTGAACTATTATCAGAATCGAACGCGACCTAAATAGCATTTACAATCAAGCCATGTGCTAGAAATGTGCGTTGGCTAATGACTAGAACAACGTTCGCAAAACAATGTTTGTATAAATAGGTTTTGACTGAAAATTACTGCTGTGACTGCTTTGCGAATAGTTATATAATTTGGTCTATTTACGTCAGTTGGGCTAAGTTTAACAATCAATACATAAACAAAAAGTAAAAGTTATACGGATAAACGTAAGATTTCTGTTACGATTTAATCTAGTCTAGATAACTATCCTCTCGTTTATCTATCATTTAACTTTACAATACTCTATCAGTAATATTGGTTTTAGATCATGATCTAAAATTAACTAAGGTTTTGAACTTTCTTTTTAGAATCTGATTCTGAAAGTGAGAACTCTCTCTCTCTACTCAGTCTAGCAGCAGCTCTAGCTAGTGTGAGCTAGACTCTAGACTAGATCTTGAAAATCTAGATCTAGAATCTAGTAGAATTTCTAAAATCTAGATCTAGAATCTATTCTAGACTCTAGTAGTAGTACTAGTAGAAAGAAAGAATAAAAGATAGATCTAGGTCTAAAAATAGATTGCTAGATCAACAGCAGATCAGATCTAGGGTGTTGGGAGATTGCGAGACGCGAAAAGCGAAATGGCGAGGTGGGAAAATGCGAGAAGATAATGCGAGACCTACCTACGGAATTAAGGGTAAATAGCGAGAAACTTTTTGCGAAAAAAAAATGTTTTTTTTCATGTTTTTTTCATCTTTATTTACATTATTTTTTTTCTGTTTTAAAATAAACAAGCATTTAGCCATACCCTTTAACACGAGTGTTGTATGTTGTTATTTTTTATCTAGATTTTATTATATAGATATATAGATACTAAGAAGATAGATAGATCGTTGCTGTGCTACTCTAATCGCCCGCTCTCGTTAGCGAGAGGAAAATCCCGGCTAAGTCGGTATTAATTTTAAAAATCTATCCCGCTCATGATTATACAAACGTGAGCTGTGTCATTGTGAATTGGTATAATCTTGTCAGCAGGAGAGATATTCTGCAACGTGTATTTATGGATTTTTGTACTTGCAAAAAGTGTAAAAGTATAAACAATTCAAAAAAGTGCAATTTTTAATTAAGTAATTTTAATTACAAACAAAATTTACAAACAAAATCTCCTGAAACAGTCCTAGCACTACGCAAACATACCTCTTGACACCATCTTTCACACATAGTACATCCAACCCAGTTCATTATACCTTTTGCACTTCTTCTTATCCACATTCACAACATGTCACATTCTCATCACAGTTGACCTCCTCGTTCATCCCACAAACAACACTGGCACCCATGTTCTCATCATCATCATCATCCGCACGCTCAACATCTGTTTTCCGTTTTTTATAATTTGTATTTTTTATCATTTCTGTAATTTTGGCAATGTCTTGCTCATTGTGGTCATCAGCCGAAAGTTTTAACAATGTAAACGAAACGTCTTTGAAGTCTGGACCTAATACCACTAAAAATCGGGTGCGGTAAATTTTTCGCAGAAATCTTCGCATTTCATCACCACCCAGCGTAAGTATCGGGTTGTGGTAAAATGCGAGACTAAAAGTCAAGTGACTGACCGTTTTCGCGCCCTTCTCGCATTTTCCCGCCTCGCCATTTCGCTTTTCGCGTCTCGCTATTTCCCCACACACTCAGATCTAGGTCTAGTTTTAGATCTAGAATATAGAATCTAGATCTAGAGTCTGATCAAGACTAGACATCTAGATTCTACAAATAATCTACACTCACACACTACAGTTAATGAGTTATTTACATATTTACTAATATTTACTATTTAATTTTATTTAGCCTACTGTTTTAAAGTGGTCGAGACTAGTTATGTGAAAAAAGGTGACTCCTTGAATTTTAGTAATTGTTTCACATTTTTAGGAGAATTTATGTTTTAAAATTTACAAAAATGTTTCAAAGTTTCATTTAGGGCCTACATACCTGTTTTTAAGCACTAGTATTAAGTATTAAAACTATTCAGTAGGCCTAATAAATAAGCGATGTTTTCATCAGATGCAACTAAGCTCATTTGAAATTTACTTTAGCAGCCATCTTGTTTAAGTTTTTTTGGTAAAATTATAATGGGAGATTCAGGGGAAGCCACTCTACTTTACAGATGGCTGCTGTTTATATAGCAAATCTTGCTCGCAAACACTGCTGTTTAAAGTTAATTCCTGGCTTTTATTGATATATTTAGCCATTGATTTTGGTTTATTATTCAGTTATCTATAATATTTGCCACAAATATATCACAATATACTATACACTATACATTATACATCTATTAAAGCCTTTACAATGAGGCAACTTTTTTTTACACTACTAGCAGCGGCCAATTTTACGCACCTAAAATGATAGATTACAGAATTAATTATTAGAGGAACTAGGCTAATTATTAACCTAAACTAGACAAAACCATGCAATTAGTAAATTAGGCACTAGCTCTACAACTACAAAATAATATAGCCAGACCTACTCAAAAATGAAAAGTTCAGCATCAAGTGGAATTTCTTTTGTTTTCTCTTCCAGGAAACTAAATTCTTTTATATTCAATTTTAGATGGATGAAATACAAAAGCTTGAATACCTGTCTCTGGTGTCAAAAGTTTGTACAGAGCTTGAAAACCATTTAGGGATTAATGATAAAGACTTAGGTAAGTTTTTAATTTAAAATACTTTAGCTTAAAGTTAAAATGCTACTAATTACGTAGACTTATTATATTTCTGATCCTTAGGCCTACTTACTACTTGACAAAGTATAAATATATGATTTTTTTGTGTATCTTCAATACTAGTGTCTGTAATGAATGCCACAATAATGGATTCTTCTTAAAAAGGGTGTTGGCTTAATAAATTACAACTAATATAACTTGCTCATGTCAAGCTAACCCTTTCCCTAGTGCTGCTTGTCCTGTTAAACCAATACTACTTTTTCTTATTTCTTTATGGCCCCTGGGGAGCAAAGGGCTGCAGCCACACAACTCCACTGGACTCGGTTGTGTGCTGTTCTCTTAAAATGTATCCATGTAAGCATGGCAACCCCTTCAGTTGCCCCTTCTTCTACTGTTCTCCAGGATTTCCATGGCCAATACTACTATTTTACAACCTAATATGCCTATTTTGGAAGACTCCATTATTAGACACTGGTAAAACAAATATGCCTACTCTGTGGGTTTTTATGTTCACATTTATTTTTTGCCATGTATAAATCATGGCCAGTCACTCCTTTAATGACTTGTAAAAATATATTGAATTGTCATAATGAGCTATTTATGTTATTTGCTGCTTGTTTTTGTATAAATTGAAGTATGATTTAATAGTTTAAAAAGAATGAAAGGCTCTGTGTTTTATATTTATAAAACTGCATACATTTGATAAATATAAAAAGTTATTACTTTATTATTACTTACTGAATTACTTTAACCCTTTGAACTTGCACTTTTTTTAAACAGCTGAATATGTAATTGATTTAGCTGACAAAAACAACACATTTGTTACATTTAAGAAAGCCTTGGAGGAAAGAGATGCTCATTTCTCTGTAAGTTGATAAATTAGGCTCTCTATTTTTGTTAACAGTTTTTTTTAAATCCTTTAATCTAATATACATTTTAGTAGTGTTTTCTCTTTTCAAAATAATTTTTATCTCGTTATTAATTATTACAGGAATCTCTCATTGCCAACCTCTTAAGGCTCATCCAAAAGATGAAACCAAAGCCTAAAAGTTTTGAAGAAGCAGAAAAGTATGAAGATCAAAAAGATGATCCTGATTTAAAAAAGAAATTATTTCCTGGTCTTGCCTTACCTAATGACCCACAAGTCAGAGTAAGTTAGAATATTCTTTTTTTTTTTGCTCGGTTTTATGATTCCTTAATTTTTAACTTGAAATTTATTTCATTTTACCAGCCTTAGTCATGGATTGAATCCACCTTTATACATTTTTATAGTAAAAGAATTGGAGGATATACACACCAAAAAACTAGCTAACATAACATTGTTGAATGTATCTATTCATAATATCAGAATACTACTTGACATATATCTATATCTGTGCAATGTTTCTCCTTGTTAGTCACAAGGTGTTGCCTACATACAACATATTAACAAGGGGTACTGGTTTTCAATAGCCCATTACTAATAATAATTAAGTCTTATGGAATTACATTTTTATGCCCATAAAGTATACTGGATAGACAAGGTATTACCAGGGCACAAGTGGCAAGGCAATATAATATGTCTAGGCAGAAATTACAGCTCAGCTGGGTGCATTACACAGATGATATAAAGTAACAGTTAAAATGATAATTTTATAACAAAATCTAATTACTAAAATATTGATTTTAAATACAGAGAGATAAGCCTTATTCAATGTTTTTTGTCAATAGAGCATGTTGATTGGCGACACTAATAGCAGTGATGAAGAGGATACAGGACTGAAAAAAGAACAGATTACACCTGAGTATAAAGAAGAAAAACCTAGCTTTTCAAAAGCAGGAGATGAATCTGTTGCTAATTCCATGATGATGGAACTTGAAGCCCTGCTGGGCAAGGCAAACAAAAAAACTGATGATGCTCCTGTGAAAAAGAGACGCAAAAGCCGCAGTAGGAGTCGAAGCAGAAGTCGAAGCAGAGACAGAAATAGAAGAAGGTGAGAAAAATAATTACATGAAAAAACTAGAACATTAAAAAATTGTAAAAAAGATAATCCTATTGTTTGGGAAAAAAAAATTAAGAAGAAATTACGTATTTTAAATTTCATCATGGTCTAGTTTCTACTTGTGGAGGTGACATATAAATGGTTTTTAGATATGTTACCTTACGGAAAATGCATTTTATTTTTAATTTAAAAAAAAATATTTTCTAAAAAAAAATAACAATAAGACTGCAGATCTATTGAAAAATTTATTGAAGGACATACTCTTCACAATTTTATCATTAGTTTTTTTTTTAGTTATTTATGTCATACTCATATCTATTATTTTGCTTATGTTTGTTTGATTAAGGTCTTAAAATGGAAATAATTTTGTCTATATTTAAAATCTAGGAAAAAACGTTCTCGGAGTAGACATAGATCTCGTAGTAGGTCACGATCTAGCAGTAGATCCAGATCTAGACACAGAAGACATCGTAGAAGCAGATCCAGATCACGAAGCAAAGACAGGGGCAGAAAAACTAAAGACACCTCAGACCGTAACATTAGAGATTCAGACAAAACAAAAGTTAAAGATGCTTACAATGACATCCCTTTGGAGCCTGTTGTTGGATCAGTGAGTACTTTCTCACATATTTACCTACAGATACATAATCATTATAAATAAATTTATTTGTCCATCTTAATTTATGTCTAATTATTAAATAATAACCAACTTCTGGAATAATTTCCATGTTGGGGATAATAGATACATTTTCTGCTCAACATTGTTTTGTTTTTGTTGAGTTTAGTATTTTCATATCACTAATTGTAACATTTGTGTGTCTCTTTAGATTTATGAAGGAAAAATAACTTCCATCCTACCTTTTGGTTGTTTTGTGCAATTGGAGGGACTTCGAAAACGTTGGGAAGGTCTGGTTCACATTTCACAGGTAAATATTCTCATTGGTATTGTAGCAATTAATCAACTTTGTGCAGTTTACTTTTGATAAATCTTTACTAACTGATAAGCTGAGTTGATGTTGTTTTTAGTGTTCAAAAACATACATCTAATTTTTATCACCAGCTAAGGAGAGAAGGTCGTGTTACCAATGTAAGCGATGTGGTCACCAAAGGTCAAAAAGTGAAGGCAAAAGTTTTATCTTTTACTGGCAACAAACCAAGTTTATCCATCAAGGTGGGACGTTGTACAGAATATGTTTCAAATAGAACATTATTTTCTGAACTAAGCTAATATTGTTTTTAGTTAAAGATTCAATTTTTTTGGTACTATTTTTGTTTTTAACTTAACAGTGTAAAATAATTTTTGAAAATTTTTTTATTGTAATTTTTTAAAAGCTTTTTTTTTTTATTAAATTTTTTAAAATACGATTTGATGTACAATTTTATTTATTAAATTTTTTTTGTAATCTATTAATTCCAATGATAGTTAAACTGTATTGATTTCTATATGATCTAGGATGTGGATCAAAGGACAGGAGAAGATCTGAACCCCAGCCGTGTACATGTTGGTGGTGAGGTCAGGGGAGAGGACCTTGATGCCCGTAACCCTGACCGTCCCAGTACACTGCCCTTGGTGGATGCCCCAGAACTGGAGGATGAGAAATCTGAGATGAAAACTTTCAAGCGTCTGTCATCCCCTCAGCGCTGGGAGCTGAAGCAGATGATGGCTGCTAATTGTATAGATGTTACAGCTTTGCCAGACTTTGATGAGGAGACTGGTTTACTGCCTAAGGAAGATGACTCAGGTACATTTTGTGTTTGCTAATAGTAACTTTTAAAAAAAAATAGTGAGATTGATGTAAAGATAATTTACTTTCTACTTAATCCTCTTTGTTCATTGTGGACCATAGAGCCTCAACCATAATCTTTGATTTTATCTGGTCCCCGGGTGTTAATTTTGCAGTCTCCCAATACAATCCTGCTGACTTCAGTTAGGATTAGGATATGTATTTTATTATTTAATCAGATTTTTTTAAAAATCTGTTTCACAAGATTTCACAAATCTGTATGGGTAGAATTTTTTGTCCACTTTATTAGCGTGATGATAAAATTATTTTATAGATGTTTATCTTTGAATTTGCTTTTTCAATTTGTTTTAAAACTTTAACTACTGTACTTTTAGTCTGATTTTCTTTTTAAAAAAAAATATCAACTTCTAGAAAAAATGAATTCTATTTTCAGATGAGGATGTTGAGGTTGAAATGGTTGAGGAAGAACCCCCTTTCCTTCGAGGTCATGGCAGACACTGGGTAGAGTTGAGTCCTGTCAAGATTGTTAAGGTCAGTGTACTTCTATTAACCTAATCACAGTGGATTTCACACTTAAGGTGGTGGAGGAGGGGGGTGGGTGCCAGTAAGTTGGTAAAAGAATGTAAAGAAGGGGAATGGGGTGGGGTTCCAACATAATTTTTTTTTTCTTCAAAATTTTAAAAGTACTAAACTGTGTAAATAACTGAATGCATCCATCGTTTTTCAAATTTCAAAATAATTTTTATGAATTTCAGCATACAATAAATTATACCATAATAAACTGGTCTTTTATGAGACTTAAAACCATCATATGAAAATTATTATAGATTAACAAGAATAAAATAAACTGTGCAATAAACAGGTAAACTGAATAAATTATTCTAAGCTAGGATTTGTCTTTGTTTCAGAACCCTGATGGCTCCCTAGCTCAGTCTGCTATGATGGGCAATGCCCTGCAGAAAGAGCGTAGAGAGATGAAACAAGCTCAGAGAGAGGCAGAGGTCAACTCAGTTCCCACAGTGTTAAATAATGACTGGATTGATCCAATGCCTGAAGGTGATTCTAATTACATTTTGATTTCTTTTACATTGATACTGCAGCTCTTAAATTGTGCAATTGAAAAAAAGTTTCTTTTTCTGATCTTATGTTCCATAGGGCAGATGATGTAGAGTTCAAATGTTTCTAGAATATGAAGGGTTGGTGTGGTTAGCACTATGCTCCATTCTCTTTCCCTAACGTTAGTCAGGTAACCATCAGAGCTGGGTGAAATCAGGGACATCTTGCAGACTCAAATCTGGACAGGATCAGAACTCGAGACTTTTGGGTTACCAGTTAGAAAAGTTAGAAAAAAAGATATATATCTTAAGATTTGGAAACCTTTAAGGCAGATGAATTAGAGTTCTTAGGCCTCAGAATGAAAAAGGATTTTGGGGACAGTGCTATGAATATACTCCCTCATCTCAAGTGAGGTACCCAGTGTCATGGCATATCATACTAGAGTTAGAGTTTGTTATTCAGTGCATTGACTGTTATGATTCTCCATGTCAGATGGTGGTAGAACACTAGCTGCCAATATGCGAGGTGTGGGGATGGCACCGAAAGAGGAGCCAGAGTGGAAGAAGCACATAAGTGGTGGAGCTAAAGCCTCGTATGGCAAGAAAGAGAAGAAATCAATTATTGAACAACGACAAAGCTTGCCAATCTACAAACTAAAAGATGATCTGCTTAAGGTCAGTCACAGAGAATTATATTAAGGTTAATTTTTAACTTTGATAGATCATCCCTAAATATTTGCAACAAACTTGTTCTGTCTTATTCCCCTTTAAATTAGTAGTCTCCCTAAATTATCTCTACTGCGTTCCCTCTAAGCTGCACTGTTGTGCTGCCATGCAGTAGTTGTGAACCCTGCAGTGCAGTCATTTTGTAAAATACATATATCCTTTAGAACACAGCACACACAAAATACTCATTGCACTCTACCTTTTTCCCCTTTAGAGGGAATGTTGACTGCAATAATGAACTCTGCTTAGTTAACCCCCATGCATTTTCTACATACATGGTGTCTAAAAAAGTTAATTAATGTGAGTTTTAAATTTTATTCTTCTATTAGTGATGTCTATAAAGTTTCCCTTTCAAACCTGACGGTCTAAGGGGCAAGTGAAGTAGAGTTAACTTGTTTCTGTGACCTCGGCATATGAAGAGATAGTGTGGTCAGCACTATGCCCAGCCGCCTTTACTTTCCCTAACGTGAGTTAGGTACCCATCAGAGTTGGGTGGACACAGGGATGGTCTACTGACTTGAACCCGGATTCGAACTCGAGACTTACGGGTTAGCAGTCCAGCTCTCTACCGCTAGACCACTCCGTCCCATAGTGATGTCTATAATTTATTCCAATTAAGTTATACAGAAGAATTTATTTGAAATTTTATTGCTACTTTATGTATTCGCTCTCCATTTATTGAAACAAATAAAGACTCCCTTGTTTGTTTTAAAAGTAATACCGTTTGTTGGCATATTTCAGAATTCTACCATATATTCTTAATAAATCTATCCAAACTGATAGCCACAACCATATACTGACTATGTAGGATAAAATTACTTGTATCTATAACACTGAGTGTACTTATTTAAATACATCTTTACACCAGGCTGTGTCAGACAATCAGATACTCATTGTCATTGGAGAGACAGGGTCAGGTAAAACAACACAGATCACGCAGTACCTAGCCGAGGCTGGCTACACCACCAGGGGGAAAATTGGCTGCACACAGCCCAGGAGAGTGGCCGCCATGTCTGTGGCCAAGAGAGTGTCTGAAGAGTTTGGTTGTCGTCTGGGTCAGGAAGTATGTCTGCTTCTTTTTATTTTAAGTATACTGTTGCTAGGTCAAGAAAATTGTCTTTTTTTTAAATTTATTACTAGTATAATTTTACAAAGATATAGGCCTATGCATGATGGAAAACATTTCTGTATTACTCTTTTCAAGATTTTTTTTAGTTTTCAATGATAATTTTCAAGTTTAAATTAAAAACCTCTTCATAATTAAAAATTCATAAAGTAATGGTCAAAATGATTTTTTTAGTGTTGAGTTTCAAATTGTATGTTGCTTTGAATATAATTAATTTTTTTTATGACAACATCTTAACTTTACAATTGTTCTACTTAGGTTGGCTACTTAACTTTACAATTGTTCTACTTAGGTTGGCTACACCATTCGTTTTGAGGACTGCACCAGCGCAGAGACCAAGATCAAGTACATGACTGATGGTATGTTGCTCAGGGAGTGTCTGATTGATGGTGACCTCACTCAGTATGCTGTCATCATGTTGGATGAGGCTCACGAGAGAACCATTCACACAGATGTTTTGTTTGGTCTTCTCAAGCAGGTATTTATTTCATCATGGTACTCTACCTTTATCTAGCAATATCTAGTAGTTTGGAAAGTCTTCTTCTATATATTTACTTCATTCCCTGTAGTTTACATTAGACTTTTATAATTAAACAAATACTGCATAATTGCCTTTCATCTAGTGGTGACCACAACTAGTACCCTGATAATGAGTACTGTGTTGTTTTCTAGATTTTAAATGAACTATGGTCAACTTGTTTTATATTTCAACTTCAACCTGGTAACTCACCATTCACAAGTATTATCTTGCCTTCTCCAAATGTCTTGTCACCTAGATTTTCTAATATTTTTTTAAAGCAAGTGGGTGGGCCTATCTAAATCCTACTATTTCTACTTCTTGTCTCATGTTCTAGACATTGAAAAAAAATCAGGACATAATTAACCTTAACTTAAACAACGTTAAATATTTTATGAGACATTAACATTTTAGATTTATTAAACTAAGTACAAGTAATATTTTTGTGATTTCTATATAGTAATTTAAAGACAGATAACCTCACATCATACTTGTCATTTTTCTGTTGTACAGGCTGTAAAAAAGAGGCAGGAATTGAAGCTTATAGTTACATCTGCAACACTTGACGCTGTCAAATTTTCCCAGTATTTCTATGAAGCTGTGAGTAACTGGGATTTTTAAAGTTTAATGTGCAATAAAATGTGTATCTTAAATTGAGTAATAATATAGAAGCATTGCATTCAAGAAACTTCAGCTACCTTTTCCTTCTAAAGTCATATAACCTGCGTAGGTTCAGATGCACACAACACTTTGTTATATATAATATACATATGCTATATGACCACACATTCATCAATAGGATTGTTATGATCATCTCTATACAATAGTATTCAATCCTGTTTTATAGAAATTTGATCAGTTCTACTATTTGACCAGACTACTAATTTGTTTTAGTGTTATGATTATCTCTATACAATAGTCACTTACTATCTCTATTTTCTTGTATTGCAGTAATTTTATAATTTACTAATAATTGTATATGGACTCTCTCCCACAGCCCATTTTCACAATTCCTGGCCGCACATATCCTGTGGCTATTCTCTACACCAAGGAAGCAGAAACAGATTATTTGGATGCTTCCCTTATAACTGTCATGCAGATCCACTTAACTGAACCTCCAGGTAATTATTTGTGTGGCTCACTAGTTATAAGGTAACATTTTACTACCAAGTAGGGAAGGTAAAAACATGGTAGGTCAATAATTCAACTTGAATTTTTTTATATCAACTGCTTTAGTGACAGTTAAATATTCCCTGATTTACTTCTGGAAAACTAATCAGTGTGTGACAACACTGCATTTTATTTGAAACACCAGATCCTCTTTTTTTTTTTTTTTTTGAAAAGTGGCTATAGTATGTAACTATGTTTTTTCAGGTGATATATTGTTGTTTTTAACTGGTCAAGAGGAAATCGACACAGCTTGTGAAATTCTGTATGAGAGGATGAAAGCCTTAGGACCTGAAGTTCCTGAACTCATTATTCTACCTGTTTACAGTGCTCTCCCTTCTGAGATGCAGACCAGAATCTTTGAGCCAGCTCCCCCTGGTTCTCGTAAGGTTAGTGTGTCATTATCAGTGGTCTAAGCAAAAGACAGGGAAATACACTAATGTTGTATTGTAGAAATCTGCAAGGTTTTCTGAGAAAATAAAAACCATTTTACTTTTTCTTCCACAAAATATCTAGGGTTCTGCACTAAAAATTTGTTATTTCAGTTATAATCGTTAAAACTGACAATACATTTTTAAAAAGTGTTTCATATTTTCTAAATAACATTGCAAATGAAAAGTTACACATATGACCCTTTAGACACCCATTTCCAACCTCAGCATGTATTAAAAAGAAATGTGAAATAGCCTCACTTAATTTTTTTTACAGTAGTAAAATCTGAATTATTTATTTATTTTTAGTTGTTGAAAAGTGTCAAATATCTAACCCTTTAATCTGCAGGTTATTATTGCCACCAACATTGCAGAGACATCATTAACCATTGATGGTATCTACTACGTGGTTGATCCAGGTTTTGTCAAGCAAAATGTTTACAACTCTAAAACTGGGATGGATCAACTTATTGTCACCCCCATCTCACAGGTCAGTCATCACATGCTAGAATATAGATCTAGCTCTTTTTTACTCATTCCACCAGAGAATCAGATGAAGCAATATGGGTTGCCTAAGTATGTTCCCTCTTTTGAAGGAATGTTGGCACTATTTTTGTTACAAACTCAGTTGCAAAAGCTGGTGAATGCATACCAAAGTTAATAAACCTATCAAATGCTAGAAACACTCAAAATTCTCATCTATTAATTAGGTAATTAAAATTAAACAAATGGTATAAAGTAATCAAAGTAATGATTTTTAAAAGATTTGTTTTTAAATTTAATTTGTTTATGGATAACATTAGTTTCTTGTAATTTCAACATAATTGTTGCCAAAAACGACGTTGTGGGTAATGGTTAATATTAATTCCTTGATATTTTAGGCCCAAGCCAAACAGAGGGCAGGCAGAGCAGGACGCACAGGTCCAGGTAAATGCTACAGGTTGTACACAGAGAGAGCCTACAGAGACGAGATGTTGTCCACCAATGTCCCTGAGATCCAGCGTACCAACCTGGCCTCCACTGTTCTCAGTCTTAAGGCCATGGGCATCAACGACCTGCTTTCTTTTGATTTCATGGACGCCCCACCCATGCAGACACTTATATCAGCTATGGAGCAGCTGCATGCCCTTAGTGCGTTAGACGATGAAGGTCTTCTCACTCGGCTCGGCAGAAGGGTATGTTTGTTGTTCATCTTGGTTGAGAGTTTTTTAAATCTTTTGACTGGGTAAAATGGTAGCTTGTGTTTGTTAATCTTTTTTTGTGAAGAGAATTAGATTTACTTTTGACTTTGCTTGTGAGGTGGGAAGGTTTTTTCATTCATTTAAAAAAAAATTTTTAACGTTACCATTTAGTAATTAAAATGTAAACTTTTAATATGAGTCATAATTTAGCTGTTTGAATGCACTGTTTCAGATGGCTGAGTTCCCTCTAGAGCCTATGTTGTCTAAAATGTTGATCATGTCTGTCCATTTGGCATGCAGTGATGAGATATTGACCATTGTCTCCATGCTCAGCGTTCAAAATGTTTTTTACAGACCCAAGGTATGTAACATCGTTAGCTTATATTTTTAAATACTAGAGAGATGGACATAGTGGAGCATGTTGTAATAGACCTTTACTCTAGTGTTCTGCTGACTTGTTTTGTAAGATATGGAGGTGGTGGAATTGTGTTACACTGAAGTTGTTGGATTTAGACTTGTTGGACAGAGTTGTATTAGACTTCTATTTCTCTCATGTAAACTTGACTATGTTGTGTGTGTACCAGTGTTGTAATAGACCTAAATGTTTCTCGTGTAAACTTGACTACGTTGTGTGTGTACCTGTGTTGTAATAGACCTAAATGTCTCTCATGTAAACTTGACTATGTTGTGTGTGTACCAATGTAATAGGCCTATATGTCTCATGTAAACTTGACTCTGTTGTGTGTGTACCAGGACAAACAAGCTGTGGCAGATTCCAAAAAAGCCAAGTTCCACCAAGCTGAGGGGGACCACTTGACTTTACTGGCCGTGTACAATTCCTGGAAGAACAACAAGTTCTCAAGTCCTTGGTGCTATGAAAACTTTGTACAGATAAGAACATTAAAGAGGGCCCAAGATGTCAGGAAACAGATGCTGGGGATCATGGACAGGTTGGTAGTCAATAAGACTTATCAATTGGCTTAGTCTTTGAAATTATTGGTTAAAAATCTTGTTCCACCTAGTGTATAGTTAAAAAAATTTAATTAATACTGGAAAATATCCTAATCAAAAATGTTTTTTATTATTTTTTTTTTCATTTTTAATTATTTATTTAAATTTTACTTTTTATCAATTTTTAAAACACTTTTTATAATTTCTTATTTTAATTATTGTAGCTAGAATTAAGGCTGATAAAAAATAAATTTCAACACATGCATATTGAGGCCACTGTATACTTTTGTAATCAAATATTTGTGTCTGTTGTATCCTTAGACACAAGCTTGATGTTGTGTCCTGCGGAAAAAACACAGTTCGTGTACAGAAAGCCATCTGCAGTGGTTTTTTCCGCAATGCTGCTAAGAAAGATCCTCAAGAAGGCTACAAGACCATTGTTGACAGTCAGGTTGTTTACATTCACCCATCCAGTGCCCTCTTCAACAGGCAGCCAGACTGGTAGGTGTTGTGTTTATAGTTGGTTCTGAGTACTTCATAGTCAAGATATCTGTTGTAGATTTGTTTACTAGTACGTGACTTTAACCTTTTGAAACTGTGGTACAGCTTTTTCGGTCCACGTCTTAAATCTCTGTGCTCCAGCAGACCAATAAAATATTTGGGCCAAGAGCTAAGGGTTCAAAGGGTAAAAACTCTAAAATTCAATATCTACGACTTGTTTGTTTCAACCCTTTTTTTTTCACTTGACCATTACAATTAACTCATATAATTATATCCAGATACATTTTTAAAAAAAGTCATATAATTCTACTGAGATGAACAGAGTAAAATTCTATCTCAGTTTTTTTCAACCAAATATTTTTCTATTGTACAGTTAGAAATAGACTATTAAAAATATTAATAGAATTTTAAAAAGTAATTTTTCCACTTTTGTTTAAAGATAACTCATTAGATTTTTGTTGTTGTCTAAACAGGGTTATCTACCATGAGCTTGTGTTGACCACCAAAGAGTACATGAGAGAAGTCACAGCTATAGACCCCAAATGGCTGGTGGAGTTTGCTCCCAAATTTTTCAAACACTCCGACCCCACCAAACTGAGCAAACAGAAGAAACAACAGAAGATTGAACCATTGTATAACAAATATGAGGAACCTAATTCATGGCGTATCTCTAGGGCATTTAGGAAGTTCCACACTAAAGTTACCTTTTGATTTACTGTACATTCTTATGTATTTTTTGTCACTAATCTTATCTAGTATAGTAAAACAAATTATACTGATATGTAACACTTGCAAGAATTGTAGGTATAAAGCTTTTTGAAACATTTGCAATTAATTTTTAGCATTACTGTAAAAAGTTAAAAAAAGCAAAATGCTTTTTTTTTGTTTTTTTAATACTGGAGATTTTTTAAAAAATAAACAAAGTAAAAAAATTGCTAAAAGTGTATATAATGGAACTCCTTAAAAAATAATTTCATGTTTACTTTTGACAAAGATGTGAGTGTATGTTCAGTACTTTAAAAAATGTGAAATGTATAAAGTGAAACCAGTATAGGCATTGACTATGACAATAAAAAAGTGATAAGAACAAAATGCTCAACAGTTTTTTTTTGGTCTTAATTTTGTGTTTGCAAGACAAATTACAGTCAGTTTTTGTTTGACATAGTTATCTTAAAAACAGTTGATGTGACAATTGGCTAAATCATTTAAATCAAATGAATATGCACATTTCTTTATGGGTAAAATGCAGTTATGGTGTAATCTAAATTCATTTCATTTCCTCTTCTCCCTTCAAGCAATATTACCATAGGTTTTTAAAAGAAAGTCTCACATATTGTTCAGAGGTTAATATTGTGAGAGGTTAATCTAAACCTGATTCAAAATTATATTGTTGTAGGTACCTGTTATAATGGAGAGTAGAACTGAAGTTCTTAAGTAACTTTGATCAAACTTATTGGCTAATTACACAGAAGTGCAATTTTATTTCATCATCTTTAATTAGCAACAAAGTAGTCTCATTGATTTTTTAGTGCAGACTTTTTATTTTACTGTAAAACTTCTCTAAAGTCTTCATGGTATTGTTGCAATGTTAAGTTTCTTTGAAGAATTAATATTATATTTACAATTTTCATAAATAAATTTTAATTTAGGCCTTACTCAAAAAGAAAAAAATGTAATGTAAAAAAAGACAAGTGGCATGGGAAATAAAAATCCGCCTAAAGTGTTAAAAAATTTCTATTAGGCCTACCTAAAAATTTATCATATAGGCTTCTAAAGACAAATGATAGCTTCGCTATAGTTTTTTGTTTTTTAAATGGCAGCTTATTTTATTTAATTTTGATCTGCTTACTTTATTCAAAAACTTTTCAGAATTTTATATTCTAAATCTCAAATTAGAATATTTTTGTTTTAAAAAGGTTACGAATATAATCACCTTTTACTGAAGTCAATATACTATTGATCTAAACAAAAAAACTAAGATAAAATATTAGCTGTTAAAATAGGGTTTTACAGTACCATTATTTTACTTTCTAGTCCTTGCAACTTCGATCAAACTAATTATCGTGCATGGGACATCACCGTGTCTTTTACTTAAGGATAAAAAAATTAGCAATGAATTCTTTTAGCAGACAGAAAATATAGTATCAAGAAAAGAAAGTGATAGAAGAAAATAACAACTGGAATAACAGATTTAGATTTACTGGTATGTGTTTCATGGTGTGTGATTATTTGAAAAAAAAATATCATAACGTTGATGTTATTCAAACGGATGAATTAATGAATTCAATTGTATAGACTAAATGCAACATAAAAGTGGATTGTTATTTTAGACGACTACCTCGCGGTGAATTTTGTTTTAAGAATTTGAACATTGAACTTGATCTTCGTAGAAATGATTGGAAAACGGCGCAGGATTTTCGTGAGTGGATTTTTTCTAACGCTCACTCTTCTGTTCGGGATTTTGTACTTCGAGACGATGTCCCCGGCACGCATTAAGCAGCTTCACGACATAGCCAACAAGAGTTATAAAAAAATGTTGAACGACAGCTTGAAAGGAGCCGCGGCTAAGGGAAAGTCTGCAGAAGGAAATTCGTTGATCTCCTCGCTCGATCAAGCAATCGCCCATGCTTCCAACAATTCTAACAACGCCAAAAAAGATCAAGTCTCAGATCTTGTTCAAAATCTGAAGACGTATCTTGAAGCTAGCAAAAGCGAAGTGTCGCAGCCAAAAGACCCAGCGCCCAGTAAACCCCCTGAGGAAAACAAGCCTGCGGTTGTTGAAGAATACCACAGGGAGCCTGAACCCTATAACCTGAAAGCGGAACCCAACCCTGCTCAGTTTTATGACGTCAGCGTACCCGTACCGGGAGACAACTCTCGTCAGATGACGATTGGTATTTCTAAACACTACCAGCTGAACCGCATAACTCACAGCTGGGCGGAGAAAGATCGCTTCAGCCCTCACGAGAATGCGCTGTTTGCTCTACGCAGGTACCAATCCCCGTGGCTTCTCCAGTTCCGACCGCCAATCCCCATCGATTTCAAAAGTTCCATCTGCAAAGGCTCGCCGCCGTTTTTACTCATTGTAATCCCATCGTCGCCGACGAACCGCATGTCGAGGATGGCCATTAGACAAACATGGGGGAGCGTGGGCAGCAGCGGTGCTTGGCCGCACAGGAAAGTCAACGCCAAGGTGCAGGTGCTGTTCTCTATCGGGCACGAAGTCATCTCCCCCAACCTCCACCACTTGATCCGGCTGGAGAAAGACAAATACCAGGACATTTTGGAGTTCAACATGACTGAAGACTACCGCAAGCTGACGGTCAAGATGCTGGGGATACTACGCTGGGTCAACACAAACTGCCCGGGGGTCGGATTTTTCCTGAAGGCGGACGAAGATTCCTTCATCAACGTGCCTCTGTTTGTTGACTATCTGTTAATAAATCAAAAAAGTTTGTCACGGTCGGTGATGGGAGCGATGTACAACGCTCCCCCTGTCAGACGCTGGGGGAAATGGCGGGTCTCCATTCTGGAATATCCTTTCCAGAGATTTCCTACGTACGCGTCCGGGAGCTCTTATCTCATCGCTGGCAACGCCATTGGGGACATAATAAAAGCGTCGGAGTTTTTCATTCCCATCGCCATTGAGGATGCCTTTATCACTGGGATCTTATCCAAAGCCGCGGGCATCACGAGGTACCACTGCCCCGCCATGGCGATGATGGGCGAGGTCACGTGGAGTAAAGGGGTGCCGCCCATGTGTGATTTCCTGGCCAGTCGTCTGGCCATGACGGACTGCACGGTGGAGATCTTTGACCGGATATGGCTGGCGTCTCAGGTCGATTACTGCGGGACTCATGAACGCTGGGGTCTCGAGGACATTGGCAACCAGTGGACGTTTAAACGTGTCAGTTACTAGCTCAATTTATCGTGAAAAGCATTCTACAAACATTTAGAATCCAGTATTTAATTTTTTGAAGATTGTAAAAATATGGAGTAGCAATTTTGTTGGTGGGTTGGTTGTTTTGTTATTTAATTATTGCTTTTATTTGGAGAATTATGGGAAAAAAAGTAAAATTAACATGTGTGCTTGTATAACGGCAATATTTTTATGAGCATAGCTATTTTCTGTCTGCTGTATGTATGATAACTGTAAAACAAGCAATACCGTATGGGGTAATCACATACATTTTAGCATAATAAAAATGTCCAGTTCTGTCCGAGTGAATTGTGTTGACTTCTAAGGTATTTTCATCATTACAAGGTTAGGTGTACACCAGTCTACTGGTCCGTACACTGTTGAGGTAGAATCTATATATGGCAGTTGCTTAGATTAAAAAGCAGTGCCTTTTAAATATTAAATATGCTTATTCTTAACCCCAAATAGTGTGAGTTTTAAATATTAAAAAGCACACCTTAAAACTGTTTTTAGTATCTTTTTAAAACACAGAACTTTTAAAGACTTCAAGAAACAAATACAAGGAAATACAGGTGATTTACATGAATGTCACGAATTAAAATTTTGTTTTGACCCTCAACGTTTTACAAAACAACCTCTAACCAGATTCATTCCCCACTAAGAAAAAAAATGTATATAATGATAAACCTCACATCTGGGCGCAGTAAACACCTGTTGAATACTTTTGTGACACGTCTGATGTGTCAGCTTCCATAATTCAGCATAAATCTAAGTAATTAATCCTGCTAATTCTTACTTTTGCTAATTGACATGGTACCTAGGCTCTCTATATTTTGTACAAAACATCAATTCTAAAGCAGAATGCAGATTTTCTTTATACATAAGTCAACTATAACTATAATGAGAACTAATTATTTTACCAGTTGGGTAGACCTACAACTTGTAGAACAGTTTGCTAAAATTATTGTATTTATCATTACATTTCTCATTATAGGCCTACATCTCTTATCATTTAAAATAAGCTGCATTTATTTCTGGTTTCATAGTTTCAAATTTAGCTGACTGGGATGCTGCAAAGTGTAAAAATTTCTTATTTAAAAAAAAATCAATGATGTTTAATTAAATAATAGGTGTCAAGTATCAATACTAATTAGTTGGGGCAACAGGTTCACAAGATGTGGGATGGTAGGCTTGTCCCTTTAACTTGCCATTTTACAAAATGTCTTGACTTAATAAATTTCTAATTTATCATTATTATTTAAAATGTCTGAACAATTAATTTAAAGTTGTTTTAATGCAAAATGTCTTGAATTATTTCCCTTGAAAGCATAATACAAAGTGTCCTACCTATTTTCTGAATTTTTAAAAGTTTTTTTTGAAGTTGTTAAGACTTAGTAACATGACAGCCTCCTACATTTATTGAAGTGACAGTAAAATTTGATTTTCTCAACTTAAAGCTCTTAGATTAAGTCAAATGTGAAATAGACGTATGATAAAAGAAAGCAGTGAAACAAAAAAAGCAAATATGTGACTGACTAGTATTATGTATTTATTGAGAAATACATACATTGAATGATCAAAACAATAAACCATAACCACTAAAATGAAAACAGGAAAAAAATCAAACTAAATAATGTATAGCTAAGCTGTGATATTATACACAGACATCTATAAAGTTATTATTACACATATTCAAATGATGCTTTATCTTTATAATATATTTGAAACTTTACATCAGGGAATGTATGAAACTTTATGTGAAAACTTAAAACAAAGCTAAATTTTATAGTTTCATAGATATACTACGCCTGTAACTAAAATGAAAGATGCTGGCATTTTTGGACACCTAAGTGAGTGTTGTGTGACTAGTTAATGTTAACTTGTATTTTTTATTAAGTCAGTTAAAACAAAAAGTTACAAATGAAAGTATGAGAAAATTTTAATCAACCAACCACTTTTATGATACATAGAGTTTTACAGATATTTATTATATAGTTATTAAAAAAGTTTTATATTTTGTTGAAAAAAATTAAATTTCAAAAGCATTTATCATGCTGTGATCACAAGTTCTTGTAAACAAAATAAATGTTTGACATACAAGGAGCTGATAGAAAAAAATGCTACTTTAACATCTTTAAAAAATAATCCTCACAACTAACTAATGAAAATCTGAAACTGCAAAGATATTGACTTTAACACATTTGATGGCATCAATTAGCTGTAGCTTCAACAGGGATAAGGGTTAAAATCCCATCAATTTAATAAACAACATAGGACATAAATAAACACATGAATGCTAAACAATACCCACTGAAACAGTTCACTCAAGCACACAAGGTACAGATTCCATAACCCAACACTTAGCATACACATACAAAAAATGTGAATTTGATCTCCAGCAAGCAGTCTTCACACTTCACATTTAAGATTTTATTTTTTACAATTGGTGGAGTTTCACTTTAGTAGAATTCAAAATGTGACACTAATACATTTAAATGCTGTAATTATAATTGAATTAAAAGCAGCAACAAGTAGATTATGATGAACATATGCATAGACCAACAAGAAAGTTAGTACATAACTAAGAAGAAGGCAATCAAAATAAATGCTGAATTTATTTTTTTTTTTAACAAAAGAATATTTTTGTTGATATTTAATTTTTTAAAAACTTTTAATTGGTTCTAAATTGGAAACTTGAAGTTATCTACTAATTCAAAAAGGGAGCTAACCCCGCTTGCTGATTTTGACCCAGATTTCCTCTTGAGGGTGTGTTACAAGGCCGTACACTGGCTGGACAACTTGGTCATCCAACAAGCTGATGTTGTATCTACAACAAACATGTCATTTCTTGAGCTTACATACAACTGTGACATTTATTATTCATAGTGAAGTTAAATAGATAGATTCTAAATCTAAACATAAATGTTAACTACTATACCAAGATTTTAACTGTCTACCTTAAAGGTATCTTTTAAATACAAAATGATTTAAGCTATGTAAACAACATGAAAACAAATGTATTCTAGAAAACAAGGGTTATAAACAAGTGTTACTGATAAGATTTTTACAACATGTTATACACAAGACCTTTACAAACATGTTATAGACAAGAATTTACAGAATAACATGTTATAGACACAGCCTTTAAAAACATATTATAGGCAAGACCTTTACATACAAACTTTGTAGACAAGACTTTTACAAACATGTTATAAACAAGACCTTTACAGAATAACATGTTATAGACACAACCTTTAACAAGACCTTTACAGACCACCTTTACATACAAATGTTATAGACAAGACTTGTACAAACATGTTTTACACAAAACTTTTAAAGACAAACATGTAATAGCCAAGATTTTACAGATAATTTGACAAATTACAGACTAACATATACAGACAAGAACAAAACTAAATTAGCAGCGTTTCAGACAAGGCCTTTACTTACTTGCGTATCAATGTGGCTAGCAGGACAGTAGACTCTAGGTATGAAAATTTGTGGCCAGGACACTTCCGCTTGCCAGCAAAGCCAAAAGGACTGAAGGCGAATGAAGATCTGTTCTTGCTGTTTGCTGCACTGAAGCGATCTGGGTCAAACCTGTAACAAAACAAGATATGATTGAGTACAAAACCTGTCATCTAGAGATCAAATCCCATTGTGATACTGACTTGCAACCCTATTTAGTCATTGCAGAAAATGCTACATCATCATCTTTCTCCATTTCTGCCCAAGACACATGGGGCAGATGAAGTAGAGTTCATCTGTTTCTGGGGCCTGTGCATATGAAGGGATAGTGTGGTCAGCACTATACCCAGCCGCCTTTGTTTTCCCTAATGTGAGTTAGGTACTCATCAAGGATGGTCTACTGACTTGAACCCAGATTCGAACTCGAGACTTTTTAATTAGCAGTATAGCTTTCTATCACTAGGCTATGCTGTCCCCAAATGCTACATGAGTAAAAAATATACAAGTGCATGAAAAATAAAAGTGCAACCATGGTAATCCAAGAATCAAAAGGAAAAACAAAGTGGTAGGTAAAGAAAGAACACAGAACATTTAGAAACTATTCTACAACCAAGCTGTATTGAAATGACTTACTTATTTGGCAATGGCCAAAGCTTGGCATCCTGGAGCACAACACCAAATGCATGAATCACTGGTGTCTGAGGGAAAAAATAATAAAAATGCTAATTACATGATATTTTAAAAAAAATTTTAGCTTCTATTTTTATCCTAGCTGTCAAGGGTTTAGAGCTGCTGAAAAGTATTTACAATTGGATTTGTTAATAAAAGTTCTGAAATCAAGTAGCTTACACTTTTGGGTATTTTGTGTCCACCAAGCTCACTGTCAAAGTCTTGAACCCTGGCACCCCAGGGTGCAACAACAGCACAACGCAATGTCTCATTCAATACTTGATTCATGTAGCTAGAACAGAGATGATAATAAATGGTCAAACTAAACAAAACTTTGTTAGAAAATATGCAACTTTAAAAAAAAAATTAATAAAATCTTTGTATGGTTACAGAATGAAAATATCTACACCAATTTGTAGTTACAAAGTCTGATTAGCTTTACTTTATCTGTCTAAAGCAACCACAACATCCTCTGTATTGCTATATTTACATTGCAAATAAAACTAAGAAACTATCCCTGTTTAACTGAGTGACTGGCATCACGCTTCTATGAAAATGATACCAAAGAAGTTTGTTATGGGTCAGTTGTAGGTTAGATTAGAATAGGCTAGAATAGTCCTGAACAAGGGTCGAGGGCTGCTCCGTAATGTGTAAAGATGAGAACAAATAAAGCATTGAACATTTGCTTGGATCATTTTCTGCATTGAATAAAACCCAGACGTAACAGTTTTTTTTCCAAAGGTACTAGAAATACTCAAACCTGAGCTGTCCATAGTTTGTGTCACTGACACTGCCTTCATCACCCAGAACCTTCTTGACCTCTTTATAAACTTTCTCTTGTACGTCCTTGTGTGTGGCCAGAAAATATATACACCAAGATAGCACTGTAAGTGTAAAAAAAACAATTTTTAAATATGTTTTTCAAACACTTTTTTTACTATAAAAAAAAATCTACTTCATCTGCTCTTTAACCCTGTTTTGACAGGTCCTTACTATCCAATAAGGGTGATTATGCTTCAAACTATATAGTAATTGCAATTTTTTTCTGAATAATTTGAGCTTATCACCAGCTTTGCAACAATTCAATAATTTTTACATTTTGTAAGTAAGTTCCAAGCATATCTAAAACAAAAACTGGCTGATGTTTCACTCACAGTTGGCTGTTGTATGAAAAGATCCGACGAGATAGGTCAAAGCATCGCTGACTGTCTGCTCCTCGCTGGTGCTGAGCTCAAGGATCTCATCAATCAGAAGTTGACCCTGTTTCTTCAGGTTGTGCTCTTTACGATGTTCTACAACCTTCTGAATGGTGTTGTGCAAGTACTTCTTGGCTAAATTTTGTCAAAATGTTTTTAATTATGTAAATCTTTTATGTGTATACAAGTATAATTTTAAAACCAAATGATTACATTCTAAAAAAATCACTGTTTATAATTGTTTTTAAGCTATAATTTAAAAAAAAAATTATACAAAAAAAATATTTGTATAAAGTAATACGAATCCTAATAATTAACTTTTGTATCAATTATTTTATATATAAGTTAAACAAACAAATTAATCATATAAGTTAAACAAAAGGATTAATCACATAAAATATTGATACAATTTTTTGGATCCACACTTCTATAAAAACAATGTAAAACCCTGTCAGTTGTCTACAACTCCAGCTGCCCACTCTTCCTTTGAATACATGATCACATAATGCAGACCTACATGAGACCAGAAAGTACCACTTGGTGTTGTGGTATACATCTAGACTTGCCTTGGTTTGTACTAAACTGGAGCACTGAGTGTTTTTTGCTTTAACACATAAAGTTGCTGTTACCTTCATTAAACTGTTTCATCCTTGGGCTGCTCTCATCTGGTATAACAGGGTCAGTCAGTCTGTGTTCCATTTCACTCCAGGCCTAATTTTAAAAATATTGAGTCATGTACACACATGGTTATATAAAGGGTATATATACACTATCACAAATGTTATCACTCCTCCTCAATGCATAAGATTTCTTTTATCCAAAAAGGTTCTGCACATCACTAATCTAAAGATGATCAATGATTTTATGGTTACTCTTAATATGAATATGTACTTGGTGTAACTGAAGATGCACATTTAAGTGTATTGAAGGAGGCAAAAATAAACCCCTAATATATATGTCTGACCTTCTAATAATTTCTACATTTCTGTCTTTTCATTTGCCATTGTAATATACTATTTAAATCAAAAGACTTTATGGACACCCATAAGTTCAAGTTATTTTAAATAGGTTGTTTCTTGCTTAAAGTCATTTATTTAAAAAATAACAACAACAGAAAAACAATCAAAGTATTAAAAGTATAAGAACATACTAAATGTAAGAAAGGATGCTAAAAAAATTATACAGTCATCTCTTCCTCACCTTATCATATGCATTCCGTATGCTCAACACCAACTTATCATCCTGAAAACTTTCTCCCATCAACACAAGTAGAGCAGCCTTGATGGCAAAGCTGTACATATCTTCACACAAAGGGATGTGATCCTGCTCCCCTTTCTGAGCCCATTTCTTCTCTACTGTCTTGGCAACCTAAACAGTAATTTGAAACCATGAGTGTAATCTTGAGCCCTTGTTATAGCTGGACTTGGAGATAAAGAGAATTTTCCAAATGTTTTGTTGTAAAATACTCACTTTCTGAAAGCTTTCAAAATATGTCTGGAGCTTTTCATGCTCAAATGCACGATCATAATATTGCCTTCGCTTTCGCCCATCAGCTCCATTAGCAAACTGGATAGACAATGGCCCGATCATAGGCTCAAACAATTTAAATAATTCACCTAAACAAGGATAACTTTGATTAGCAGAAGTAAGGATAAATGTAGCCTCAATTCTTACTTTTAAACATTCTAAATACATCTTAACAGTAAAAGGCATAGGCAATATTTTTAAAACACTACCTAAAATAAGAAAACCAAAGTTAATATTTATAGTTTAAACCACGCAACAGTAATTAGCTAAATAATATATTAATATTTTATTAAAAAAAAACAATCATTGTCTTGAAAATAAATGAGAACTGTAAAGTAGACATAGATATCAATGTACATTAATACTTACAAGGACGGTCAAACACAGCGGAATGCTGTTTAAACAGATCTGAGGATGCTATGCTAACCACATACACCTGACCCCACCAAAAGCCAGTGATAGGTCCATATTGCTCATGAGCAGACACTAGAAATTCATGGAGACTTCCAGCACGTGCGATGTCACTTAAGTTGCCATCTCTACAGAGCAGAATAAAAATTATAAGCATTAAAATTCTAACCTTTACTTTTAGTATTGTTAAGCAAATTCAATTCTATTGCATTTGCTTTTTTTTCATGGTGATAAATCTATTATTATCAGTAAATAAACATGTAATTAACATTTTTATAAACAATTTAGTTCTTTTTTTTTGTTTAAAATTAGTTCTAAGCCCTAAATCTATCCCTAAAACTGTAAGAACTAATAGTTAAAGTAAAGCCAGCAACACTCAAGGTCAACATCATAAATACATTGTTGTTAATATGAAATTTAACATCATAGGAATGTAAACCAATACAGCAACAAATGGCAGAAAAAAAAACCCATGTTCTGTTCATCTAAAGACTGGAACAAAACTTTTGTCAAAAGTATAGCCCTGAAGGCACAAGTCAACTAAGTCAGTTGACTCTTTAAAATTAATATTTAATACTTACTCACAAGTCTGTTGGCCCTATAAAATTAATATTTAAAACTTACTCAGTGGTTGAGGGATCCAAGCCTGGAATACTTGTCACTTTTTTAGAGCTCTGTAATTTAATACAATTATTAAAATGTAATTTTATGTATGAATATAGTTTGTCATTATAGTCTATTATAATTATATAATTAATTAATTATAGTAAGTCTATAGTATAGGCCTACTATATTTAATATCAAAGTGACTACTCGGAAGAAGATTTTTCTCCCCAACGTCTCCACTTAGTCTGCAAAAGATAGCTATGCGCATGCGCAGTGACCTATGGCCAGGGTTAGGGATAGGATTAGGGCTAGGGTTAGGGATAGGATTAGGGATAGGGTTAGGGATTAGGATTGGTGTTAGGGTTGTGCGGTTGTAAACACACGCATGCGCATTACCATCAAAAACATCGCCACGATGGCAAGTCATAGTTTCTCTCCATTGCACATGCGTATCTTTTTCCGGCTAGCACCGGCCATTTAATATTTATTATTTAAGTTATTTAATATTTAGGTAGGCTAGGCCTTTATTATAATATTCAACTAGATTACTAGATCCAGGCATTTTTTTTCTAGGCCTATATCAAATTAAATTATAATAAATATTGGTAATCTATCGTTTTGGGTACGTAAAATCGCCCGCGACTTGTAATGTGAAAACCAGGTGACTCCTTAAATTTTAATAATTATTTCACATTTTGAGGAGGATTTATGTTTTGAAAAATACAAAAATGTTTCCTTGTTTCATTTATGTACCCGTTTTTAAACAATTGAATTAAAACTTTTCAGTAATAAATGAACACCAGCGATGTTTCCAACAGATGCAACCATGCTCAGTTACTATAGCAGCCATCTTGTTAAAGTTTTATTTTTATAGACTGTCTTATAGCGCGAGATTCAGGCGGAAGTCACTCTATTTTACAAATGGCTGCTGTTTATATAGCAAATCTTGCTTGCAGACACTGCTGTTTAAAGTTAATTTCTGGCCTATATTGATATAGTTAGCCATTGATTTAGGTTTATTATTCATTTATCTATAATATTTGACACAAACATATGACAATACACTTCTATCACAGCCTTGACAATGAGGTAACGTTTTTGTACATTAATAGCCGCGGGCGATTTTACGTACCCAAAACGATAGATTACCTAAATATTAAATTATAAATATAGATTTTATAGAATCTAGCTAGATTCTAGATCTAGATCTAGTCTTGATAGATCTAGATTCTAGATCTACCAAATCTAGATAGAAATCTATATTAAGTCCGAGTGAGTTTGAAGAAGAGTTGAAAAGACTATTTTTATTTTTTCTACAGGTTGCTCATTAATTAAATAATTAATAATTAAAGTTAAAGAAAAAAAACAAATCATTTGAAATTAAATAGAAATAATTTAATAATAGAAAACATGGCTTACTGGATATAGCCAAATAATGGCTACAAGTAAAGCAGTTAAAAATGTGACAGCGAAAATTGCAAAGTCGAGCATGGTGGCTCACTAAATTAATTTTCAAAACATACAAAAAAGTTATCACTATTTCTACTGCCTACGGAATGCAATGCAAGCAAGAGTATTCCGTTATATTTTCAAGATGCTCAGGTTTTGATAACAGAGTAGCCGCCCTTTGTTTACGTGGCTTCACTCGTCCTTGAACTTCAAAATAATAATTCCTCACACAAGCATTTGACTATTTCTAAAGCTATTTCCTATTCTCCACTCGCATCAGCATCCCCTTTCTTAACACGCACACACAGATCTAGGTGTCGTGAATGTTAATGTTTATCATCAGCCTGTCATTTCTAATCATTTGTCGTTACAAAGCGAAGTCTTCAGAGGGTGAAAACTATAGTGTGAATGTGAGTAGGGATGGGAGGAGGGGGTCGAGAAGAGTCAGAGGTAAACAATATCAACCGGGGAAAAAAATCACAGGTAGGGGAATGTGGGGCTTAAAGTCCCAAGGGCAAGTTGACACGAGAACCCTACAGAAATAACTTGATCATTAAATTAAGACTCAGCAAAATTTTAAAAAAGTTCAATTCCCTAGATGGGAAAAGCAATCGATCTAGGAGAGAAATAAAATAAAATTCCAAAAGCACACAATAGCTGATTTGCTATTGTTGTTCTTGAGTAGACAAAGGCTGTCGAAGCAAATTGTGTAGGAGGAAATTAACAACTTAACAACGAATAATAATAATTAAAAAAAAAAACAAGTGCCATATGTGTCTCTACAAGATATTTAATGAAAAACAAAATGAAGACTACACGAGACTTATACGTCACACGGAAGTAAGATGGCTTTCGAAAAAGAAATGCTGGAGACGATTTATGAAGCTTTCTGATACTCTTAAAGATATTTTAAGTGAAGATTGAACAATTTGTTTACAGTCGATGATAAGACATAAGTGAATGTTATTATTGATCATCTGAGAATGTTATCGGCTGATTTAAAAGAAAGATTGTCTCCGTAGAAAAAAATGGATTTCCCAATTCGGGTGATGCAGCAAGAGTGAGTACATTTCAAATATATAATTTTTTTTTTCAATATATATTTGAAATATGCTGAATCAAGAAAGCTAACAGAAGGAGAAAAGATGAGTCAGATGAGACCATCAAAAGGTTATTTTAACAGGTGCAATGGTAAAGGTTTGTGAGGAAACCAGACATCGCATTCAAATCTTCTTCTTCTTCTTCTTTCTTAATTATTAGTGTTGAAGGGGATCGAGATTTATCTGCCAGTGGGTTTGAACTCGAGACTTTGTTCGAATTTATCAACCATGAGCATGTCTCTCCTAGAAGAGTGGCTGTCCCCAGCTAACGAGCCTCATCTGCCCGAGGGTTCGAACTCGAGACTTTTCGGTTTAGCAACCATGAGCTTTACCGACTCGATTACCCCCTAATTCAAATGATATTGGCAAACTGTAGAACCTAGTGGGGAAAGGGAAAATTCCGCAAACAGGCTTAATTAAAAATTAAATATTTTACTTAGTTTTTTATTTTAATATTATCTTTTTCCCCCACTTATTGTAATGTTTTATACTAAAATGCTGGTAGTATTTCCAGCAAGTTGTATGTCGACTTAAAAAAAAAATCCACACTGGTTATATTTAGAAGTACTCGTATGCTAATTATGACGTAAGGTGTAAAGGGTCATTGTATGTCCAGAGGTGAAACATCACTGTCAATTGTCACAATTTTTGTGTGAAATATGTTGAGGGGTGGGGCAAGGATATATTTTTTCCCTTTAAAATCAGAATTTGTTTTTTGAAAGTTTTTGTTTCTTGTTGTTTTTTTTAAAATCATTTTTTATTTTATTTTTGCCAGTGTTTGGAACCTCCAGAAATTGGGATCCCTAAGCGACGCACAAAAAAAGGTGGACACAAGTTGACAAAGAAAATTGTGTCTGGAGTTACTGTGAGAAAAATACTCAAATCTACAATTAGAAGAGTTAAAAATAATAGGTTTTAACGAGGGGGGGGGGGGGAAATTGGAACAGTGTATTAGACTTTTTTTCTCCAGCGCGGGGGGGGGGGGGGGGGGCGGAACGGACTTCAAACTTTCTGTGTGGACTGAATTTTGTGTGTGTGTGTGGGGGGGGGGGGATATGAGGGTGGAGGATATTGGGGTGGTGTGGAGCTGACACTGGTCAAAGTATATATTTACTTCATAAATTTTATTTCGTTCGGGGGTAAGAAACAATACAACCCCCCCCCCCCCCACCCAAGAGATGTCTGAAGGAAACTCTGGACCGGAGAAAGAGTGAATCGCGAAACTCCACAAATAATGACTTCAAACAAAAACGTCCGTGACATTGTGTTCTGGTAAGAAGTATGATAGCGAAGTAAATAAAATAAAACTACCGAGGGCATTGGCAGGAAAGCAACGTAAAAATGAACGCCCTTGAACAGTAAAGTTTAAAACAAGCTACTTCATGCCAGCCTCCCTCGAGTCGCTGGAGAGTTCCCACCCCCACTCGACCAAGTCTCCATTGGTCAGACGATCACTCGATTATCTCCACGTTGACGTCACAACGTGAACAACGCCTTTTCATTGGTGGATTCTGTATGGCAACGGAACCTCGAGAATGGTATTTAATGAATGCGAGTGTTTCAACTGCAGTTTAAAAATTTGGCCTACACTCCGGCCAAATGTCGTGAACTATATTCTAAAGTAGATAATTGAAAATTTAAACCTTAACCTAAGAAAACTAACGAAACAACAAAACCCAAGATGCTTATTACATCAACACTGCTGGGCATTACAGTGCTTTTGGGCTATGTGTTTTATAGGTATGTAATGCTATATTTTTTGTAAAAATCTTTCCTTCATGTTGGTTTTATCATCATCTTTTCCTGTTCGTGCCCAAGACACATGATGCAGATGTAGAGACAATGATATCGGCCTTTGAGAGACAGTGTGGTCGGCACTATGGACATTTGCCTGTGCTTCCCTAACGTGAGTCAGGTACCCATCAGAGCTGGGTGGACTCAGAGACGTTCTACAGACACGAGCTCGGAATCCGAACTCGCGACTTTCGAGGTAGCGGCCGTGAGCTCTACCGTTCGACCACTCCGTCAACTCTTGTTGGTTTACTATACATTATATTAAAAAAAAAGATTTTAGTTGAATAAAAATGTCCGACCTTCACAAATTCAAAATGATATGCGAAGTGTATGTTGTTCTATATAGCTCAGTTTGTTTCATGCATATCTCCGAAGGGATTGAAGCAATGACCCCCATCCCCAGTGCCCACCGGAGCACATCCACCGCCCCCAAACAAAATGGAATATATATATATATATATATATATATATATATATATATATATATATATATATATATATATATATATATATATATATATATATATAATGTATATAGAAAATATATACTTTAATCAGTGTCTGTCCCCAGGAAAATGCAATTGCACACCCCACCCTAATACGTTTCTATTGCCCCCACCCCTTCTGAGAAAAAATGTCTAAAAGAAATTCTTATATAGTTAGATGGGTTACATTTTTATTTAACCACTGTACATGCATTTTTATATAAATAAACTCTCAATTTCACCCTGTAATGAAAAGAAAATCTCAGTGCCACATCTCTCTATCTCTTCAACACACCATCAAATGTCAATGAAAGTCTAGTTCGGTTTCTAGACAATGTTTTCTTTTATACTCCACAACTTTCGTCTATCATTCAATTCTTGCGCTCTTTGAAAACCCGCAGGCTCCGGAAAGAGACGATGACCATTTTCAAAAAGCTGGGGATCCCAGGCCCTGAGCCAAACTTCTTGTTTGGCAATCTATTGGAATTCCGGACAACGGTAAGGTCGAAACAGCTCACCCAGATTTACGGCAAAACGCCCTGGTGTTAGTGTAAGAGTTTTAGGTTTTGTGTGTTTATTTTAGACAGAATACTATTTGTAGCAAAGAAAAATGTTACGCCCATCCCATTATCAGGGACCTTTGGTTGAGCATTATCAGTGTCTATAACTAAAATTTATCCTGGACCCACATTTGAACATTATCCCAGTCTTCTGATTAATTAAACATTATCATTTCACCCCGTCTGAACATCTTCTTGGTCCTTGAAGAAAACTATAACATTTATTTATTTTTTAGTTATAAGAGAAAACGTTAAATAGTTTCAAAAAGTAAAACATGGCAGAATGTAAAGTCATATTGTTTATACATTTGTCTGATCTGTAGCCGCTGTACAAGAAGCACCAAGAGTGGCGAGTCAAGTATGGTGAGACATTCGGGTAAGATTTAAACAAACCTTGATGTGAAGGTAAAATGTAATTTTTAGAACTGTAGAGCCAACGTAAATGAATTCATGCATCTTTTAAAGCAGAGTAGCGCATGTATGTGGTGGTGGTGATATGACTGCGTGAATGTGGGGGATCATTGTGACAAAATGAGATGGAGGGAGTGTAAGAAAAGTGACGTCAAACAAAAATATATCACGCTCTACTCAGATGAGTCTGTAAAAACGCATCCCATTCTTTAGCTGCTTGTCCCAAATTTCAGGATTTAAAAAAAAAATACTTTCATTACTTATTAAAACAATATTTGACACACAAAATAACTTTTAAATAATAGTAAAAACTAAAACTAAAATAAAACAGAAATATATTTTGATTGCGCCATATGATTGCTATTAGTATAAACTAAGATATTTAAAATAAGAATATCGGTAAATATTGGGGTAGGCTATGCTAGGCTAGAATGTTGTACTTAACATTTTTAAGCTCCCAGTTTTAAAATGATGTACAAAACATTTTTCAGCTCTCAGTTATAGAATGTTGTACTTAACATTTTTAAGCTCCCAGTTTTAAAATGATGTACAAAACATTTTTCAGCTCCCAGTTAGAGAATGTTGTACAAAACATTTTTCAGCTCCCAGTTATAGAATGTTGTACTTAACATTTTCCAATTTCCAGTTTTAGAATGTTGTACAAAATATTTTTCAGTTACTAATAAGAACCGACTCGTTTTAGAATGTTGTTCTTAACATTTTTTAGCTCCTAATTTTATAATGTTGTACAAAACATTTTCCAGTTCCCAGTGTTAGAATGTTGTGCTAAACATTTTTCCGCTAGTAAAAAGGACCGCCACCAGTTATAGAATGTTGTACTTAACATTTTTCAGCTCTCAGTTTTAGAATGTTGTACTAAACATTGTTCAGCTCTCAGTTTTAGAATGTTGTACTTAACATTTTTCAGCTCTCAGTTTTAGAATGTTGTACTTAACATTTTTCAGCTCTCAGTTTTAGAATGTTGTACTAAACATTGTTCAGCTCTCAGTTTTAGAATGTTGTACTTAACATTTTTCAGCTCTCAGTTTTAGAATGTTGTACTTAACATTTTTCTGTTCCCAGTTTTAGAATGTTGTACTTAACATTTTTCAGCTACTATGAAGGACCGACCCCAGTATTGGTGACGTCTGATGTGGTCATGCTAGAGGAAGTCTTCATCAAACAGTTCAACAATTTCCACGCCCGTAAGGTGAGGTCCACTTTACATTGGTTCTCTCTCTCTCTCACTTTATGTGTATGTCTGTGTATTTAGGGATTGGTAGCATTCGATGTTAATTACAGAGAACAAAGATAAAACAGAGAACGTAAAGAGTAAAGAGTAGTGAATAGGAATAAATGCAGTTCTTTTTGTTGGTAGAGCGTGATATTTTATAAGCTAGAAAAATACTTTATAGGCAATTTAATGCCTGGTTTTATATATAATTATATACATATCCAGAACCAGACTGCACTTATTCCAGTTATCTTCTGGTTTTCTTTTTCGAGATTAGTACCTAAACAATGGTGTATGCTAAATAACGAAGGCACCATGATAAAACGATTCGTGGCAATGCAATGACTCCTATCATTATTACACAGCAATACCATTGCACCAAATGCCTAATCCAAAAATATTAAAGAAAACAACACTTTAGAGCCTTGAAAATCGGAGTTTAAATAATCTGTGGAAGAGATATACCGTAGAAATAAACAAACAATTTTCATTTTTCCGTTGGTGATTTTGTTTTTCTCGTCAGCTGTGGCCGGTCCAGGTCGACCCAGACAAAGACGAAGACGTCCACATGTTTTTCGCCAGGGGCAAGAGATGGAAGCGGCTCAGGTCCGTGGTCAACCCTGCCTTCTCCGCGGCCAAGATAAGAAAGGTCTGGAATGTTCTGTATAGGAAGTAGCTGTGGGTCTTTGCTCGACGCCAAGCGTATTGTATCACTAGTCATATTCAAATTTATTCAAATTCAAATTTATTCAAACAACGGTTACAATTGTAGGCACAAAGGCCTTTTTTCACATTGGCCGTTTAAACAAATAAAACAATTCATATTCGCATCCGCATCTTTGCATAGTAATTTAGTCCATCTAAAACTTAGACCTAATATTAAAAAAAAATAGGTAACTAGTTAACTATAGTTAATTAATTAATGTATTCAGGTAAGATACTAATAGCCATCTGTGGACGGAATTTACGTTTTTAAATACAAAACATTTCACGCGCCTAAACCAATATTGAGTTGTTTTTGTTTTATTCTTTCCCCACATTCCTCTCTAACCTTCACCCCCACCACTCCCCCACCCCGCCATACCCCCCCCCCAATTCCAGATGACGCCAACAGTAAACGAGTGCATCAACCACCTCCTTGACGTCATCAGGGACACGGCCAACGCCACGTCACACAAGACGGTCGAGCTTGTTGAGTAAGTCAGGTGGTCACTAGTTCCACCGGTTAGCCCTTCAGGTTACAAACTTTATAAAGGGTAACATTTCAATGTTATGTTGAGCAGTGTTTCTTTCAGACATTTTTCTCCGAAGGGGGGGAGGGGGGGGGGCACGTGAATTATCAGGGGGGGGGGGGGGGGGGGCGGAGTACATTTTCTGGAGGAGGGGGACGGACACAGGTAAAAGTATATATTTTCTATATAGATTAATTTCATTCGTAAGGTGGGGGCAGCAACCGTTCTTCGGGCGGGGAGGGGTGGGAAGGGGAAGGGGGGATGTCTGAAAGAAACTTTGAACACAACTCAGTTACGGGCAGGGCTAAGACTTTCGTACAACTGCTAGTTTTAGGGTCAGATTAGGCATGTTTACGGCATTAACAAGCTCGAGACCAATTAGTGTATTTTAAAGAAATCAAGTATTATTTTTTTAAAATAAAAGATCAGAAATATTCAGAAATGAAATTTTATTTAATAACGAACTATTAATTTTTTTAATATGAAAATGATCTTGAAAATATTTTTTACACATTATATTCACTGCAAGGATAATAAACCAAATAATTTTAAAGTAATTTTTTTTACTTTTTCGTCTTTAAATTTTCAGTCTATTCCGTCGCCTTACCCTGGACACTATATTAAGATGTGAAGTTGGCATTGAAAGAAACTCTTTGAAAAACCCTGACGACATGTTTTTGAAGCACTGCAAGGGTGTCATTGACGACACGGCCAAAATGCCTTGGCTCTATTTGTTGGGATGTGAGTTGTTTCTTTTATAAGTTGGAACATTCTGTCGGAAATTGCTTTTGACAGATAAAATATAATTTGAGTTTTAGGAAACTAAAATCGCAATTCAGTTTCAGACAATAAAAATCGAATTGAATTTTAAACAATCGAAATAGCTTTATATTTTAACAAAAAGAAATAGAGACATCTGTTAAAAACGTCTGATAAAGCAAATTGGATCTTATCGTGAATGATACATTTTTTAATAAATTGAAACAATATTAAAATTATCTGATTTTTTTTTATTAGTGTCTAATATAGAAATAAGCAGATTGCAACTTCTAATAAGCCGAAAGTGTCTGTTTGAAAGAGAGATCTCCAAAAATGTTGCAGCAGAGGCGTAGCGACCCTTCCCGGCGCCCGGGGACATACTTTCAATTTGGCGCCCCCCTCGGGAGCAAATTTTCGATTTGCACCCCCCCTCGAACTTTTCATTTGCACCCCCCCCCCCCCTCAAACTTTCGATTTGCAACCCCCTCTCGAACTTTTCATTTGCACCCCCCTCCTCAAACTTTCGATTTGCACCACCCCTCGAACTTTTCATTTGCAACCCCCCCTCCTCAAACTTTCAATTTGGCGCCCCCTAAGGTCGGCGCCCGGGGACATATGTCCCCCCCGCACCCCCTCGCTACGCCTCTGTGTTGCACGCCCCTGATCTCGGAAAACAACAATTAAAAAAACCTGAAAAAAAAACAAAAAGAAATATGGCGTTACGCAATTAAAAATAAAAGTAAAATATGCACATAATACAAAAATTTGTGTGGCATTATACTACATAAAATTAATTACAATATGGAAGGTCTAAGATACCCAATCAAAGAGGAGTGAACACAGTTAATTAACAACATTTAAAAATGTATTTCTCCCAGTTCTTTTCCCAACCTTGCACGTGATTTGGATCCACATTTACAAGTTTCTCCACAACATCCAGTTCAACCCGGTATTTTGGTTGGAGGACAAGATGAGGGAGGTTGTTGTCATGAGGAGAAATATGGCTGATGTAAGTGTTAGAATAGGGAGAAATATGGCGGATGGAAGTGTTAGAATTATGAGAAGTATGGCGGACGTGTGTTAGAATAGGGAGAAATATGGCGGACGGAAGTTTTTAGGGAGAAATATGGCGGATGTAAGTGTTTAAATAGGGAGAAATATTGCGGACGTAAGTCTTAAAATAGGGAGAAATATGGCGGATGTAAGTATGTAGAGAAAAATATGGCGGACGTGAGTTTTTAGAGAGAAATATGGCGGACGTGAGTTTTTAGAGAGAAATATGGCGGACGTGAGTTTTTAGAGATGGGAGAAATATGGAGGACGTAAGCTTTTAGGGAGAAATATGGCGGGTGTAAGTCTTAAAATAGGGAGAAATATGGCGAACGGAAGTTTTTAGAGAGAAATATGGCGGATGTAAGTGTTTAAATAGGGAGAAATATTGCGGACGTAAGTCTTAAAATAGGGAGAAATATGGCGGACGTAAGTCTTAAAATAGGGAGAAATATGGCGGACGTAAGTCTTAAAATAGGGAGAAATATGGCGGACGTAAGTCTTAAAATAGGGAGAAATATGGCGGACGTAAGTCTTAAAATAGGGAGAAATATGGCGGACGTAAGTCTTAAAATAGGGAGAAATATGGCGGATGTAAGTATGTAGAGAGAAATATGGCGGACGTGAGTTTTTAGAGATGGGAGAAATATGGAGGACGTAAGCTTTTAGGGAGAAATATGGCGGATGTAAGCCTTAAAATAGGGAGAAATATGGTGGACGTAAGTCTTAAAATAGGGAGAAATATGGCGGATGTAAGTATGTAGAGAGAAATATGGCGGACGTGAGTATTTAGGGAGAAATATGGAGGACGTAAGCTTTTAGAGAGAAATATGGCGGATGTAAGTTTTTAGAGAGAAATTTGAGGGTTTAAGTCATTAAAGTATTGAGAAATATGGCGGATGTAAGTGTTAAACTAGAGAGAAATATTGAACTCGATTTTGAACACCCCCCCCCCCCCCCCCCCCCCCCGCCTCTCATAACGAAATCCTTCCTACGCCACTGGTAGAATATGATACGATTAGCGATAGATGTGTAATTAATTGTTGCTGGTATTTATGACGGTTGAGAGTTAACTTAAGTGACTCTAGTCCTTGGTATTTTGATTTTGTAATGGGGGGGGGGGGGGGGGAGAGGGCCCAGCACCTCCATGCACCCATAAGCTGATGGCTTCAGACGCAGAGAACTAATAATTAGGCTCATCGGGTGGCCTATCTAGACGCTTGACAATAAAATATATGTGAACAAGGTTATGATTTTTGTTTACCTCCCCTGACATAATCAAAGCGAGTCATCTTCCTTTATTAACTTTAACTGATGATCATATTGGTCAAATTCTAGTTCGCCCTGAAATATTCACGCGCTTCGATGCATCATTGAAATTGTACTTTACGCCCAACTAATAAAGTATTCTTTATTTTTTAAAGAATAAAATTACCTTTTTATTTAAATGTTTTTTTTAAAACTCGCCTCTACAGAAGGGACGAGCCGACTTGATGCAGCAAATGTTGGACGCCCAGTTTGATGCAAGTAGCTTCATCCAACTGGAGACGGAGGAGGCGAAGATCAATAACCCGTACAAGAAAACTTTGAGATCTATGACAAACGAGGTATTTAGAAGAAAGTCGCCAAGACCTACGTATTGAAGCTGTTTCTTTTGTAAGAATCTTATCACAACCCCATCCCTGATTGCTATCTTAACCCCTAGTTAGGTCGTGAGCCTGAATAAAAAAAAAAGTCTTGGCAGGTCCCCTTCAAGTCATAAGACAAAAATAATAAAATACCTAGAAGTAAATTATATAACATGTGAGGTAACACTTGATAAGTGACCTCGGGTTATAAATCAGAGGTTCTTGAGCATTTTAGAGGAACTGAACTCCACAGAGGCGTAGCGATGGAGGGGGGGGGGGGGGCAGGGGGGGGACATATGTCCCCGGGCGCCGACCTTAGGGGGCGCCAAAAATGGGTTGGAAAAAGTAATAGAAAGTTTGAGGGGGGGGGGGTTGCAAATCAAGTCTGAAGGGGGGGGGGTGTGCAAATCGAAAGTTTGAGAGGGGGGGGGGGGGTGCAAATTGAAAGTTTGTCCCCGGGCGCCGGGAAGGGTCGCTACGCATCTGGAACTCCACCAGTTTCATTCACAGAACACTTCTAAATACTTACATCGTCCGTACTGACAAAATCCGATCGTGAATAGGGTGTGTACCAACCTCCGCTGAACCACTGAGATTGACCCAACGAAATCCTGATGTTCGATCGAACCTAGTTTAAGAACCACTGTTATAAAGGTATTGTATTGTTCGTTCAGTTTGCGCCAAGAGCTTGGTAGAATCACCTAATGACGTATGATTTCATCTCGGAAAAGTAAACGCAAGACATGTAAGCAATCGCGGGATCAAATTTCGACCACGACAACCCATGATTTTCTCTCCACCCCCCCGAATATCGAGTTCCACGCCACCCTCTAACTTTCTCTCCTCCCCCAGGTAAACGTTTCCCACGCCCTAACATTTTTTTACCCCTAGGAAATCGTGTCCCAGGCCTCACACGCCACCCCTAACTTTCTCTCCACCCCCAGCAAAACGAGTCCCACGCCACCCCCTAAATTTCTCTCCACACCCAGGAAATCATGTCCCACGCCCTACACTCCACCCCCTAACTTTCTCTCCACCCCAAGGAAATCGTGTCACACCCCCTAACATTCTCTCCACCCCCGGAAATCGCGTCCCACCCCTAACCTTCTCTCCACCCCCAGGAAATCGCGTCCCACCCCCTAACTTTCTCCCCACCCCCAGGAAATCGCGTCTCACGCCCTAACTTTCTCCCCACCCCCAGGAAATCGCGTCCCACCCCCTAACTTTCTCCCCACCCCCAGGAAATCGCGTCCCACCCCTAACTTTCTCCCCACCGCCAGGAAATCGTGTCCCACGCCACGCCCTAACTTTCTCTCCACCCCCAGGAAATCGTGTCCCACCCCCTAACTTTTTCTCCACCCCCAGGAAATCGTGTCCCACCCCCTAACTTTCTCTCCACCCCCAGGAAATCGTGTCCCACCCCCTAACTTTCTCTCCACCCCCAGGAAATCGTGTCCCACCACCTAACTTTCTCTCCACCCCCAGGAAATCGTGTCCCACCCCTAACTTTCTCTCCACCCCCAGGAAATCGTGTCCCACGCCACCCCCCTAACTTTCTCTCCACCCCTAGGAAATCGTGTCCCACCCCCTAACTTTCTCTCCACCCCCAGGAAATAGTGCCCCACCCCCTAACTTTCTCTCCACCCCCAGGAACCCTAACTTTCTCTCCACCCCCAGGAAATCGTGTCCCACCCCCTAACTTTCCCTCCACCCCCAGAAATCGCGTCCCACGCCCTAACTTTCTCTCCACCCCCAGGAAATCGTGTCCCACCCTCTAACTTTCTCTCCACCCCCCGGAAATCGAGTCCCACGCCACGCCCTAACTTTCTCTCCACCCCCAGGAAATCGTGTCCCACGCCCTAACTTTCTCTCCACCCCCCGGAAATCGAGTCCCACGCCACGCCCTAACTTTCTCTCCACCCCCAGGAAATCGTGTCCCACGCCCTAACTTTCTCTCCACCCCCCGGAAATCGAGTCCCACGCCACGCCCTAACTTTCTCTCCACCCCCAGGAAATCGTGTCCCACGCCACCCCCTAACTTTCTCTCCACCCCCAGGAAATCGTGTCCCACGCTCTAACCTTCTCTCCACCCCCCCCCCCCCCCGGGAAATCGTGTCCCACCCCCTAACTTTCTCTCCACCCCCAGGAAATCGTGTCCCACGCCCTAACTTTCTCTCCACCCCCAGGAAATCGTGTCCCACGCCACCCCCTAACTTTCTCTCCACCCCCAGGAAATCGTGTCCCACCCCCAGGAAATCGTGTCCCACGCCCTAACTTTCTCTCCACCCCCAGGAAATCGTGTCCCACGCCACCCCCTAACTTTCTCTCCACCCCCAGGAAATCGTGTCCCACGCTCTAACCTTCTCTCCACCCCCGGGGAATCGTGTCCCACGCCCTAACTTTCTCTCCATCCCCAGGAAATCGTGTCCCACCCCCTAACTTTCTCTCCACCCCCAGGAAATCGTGTCCCACGCCCTAATTTTCTCTCCACCCCCGGGGAATCGTGTCCCACGCCCTAACTTTCTCTCCATCCCCAGGAAATCGTGTCCCACCCCCTAACTTTCTCTCCACCCCCAGGAAATCGTGTCCCACGCCCTAACTTTCTCTCCACCCCCAGGAAATCGTGTCCCACGCCTAACTTTCTCTCCATCCCCAGGAAGACGTGTCCCACGCCCTAACTTTCTCTTCACCCCCAGGAAATCACGTCCCACCCCCTAACTTTCTCTCCACCCCCAGGAAATCGTGTCCCACGCCCTAACTTTCTCTCCACCCCCAGGAAATCGTGTCCCACGCCCTAACCTTCTCTCCACCCCCAGGAAATCGTGACCCATCCCCTAACTTTCTCTCCACCCCCAGGAAATCGTGACCCATCCCCTAACCTTCTCTCCACCCCCAGGAAATCGTGTCCCACGCCCTAACTTTCTCTCCACCCCCCGGAAATCGTGTCCAACGCCACGCCCTAACTTTCTCTCCACCCCCAGGAAATCGTGTCCCACGCCCTAACTTTCTCTCCACCCCCCGGAAATCGTGTCCAACGCCACGCCCTAACTTCCTCTCCACCCCCAGGAAATCGTGCCCCACCCCCTAACTTTCTCTCCACCCCCAGGAAATCGTGTCCCACCCCCTAACTTTCTCTCCACCCCCCGGAAATCGTGTCCCACCCTTAACTTTCACTCCACCCCCAGGAAATCGTGTCCCATCCCCTAAATTTCTCTCCACCCCCCCCCCCCCCCGGAAATCGAGTCCCACACCACTCCCTAACTTTCTCTCCACCCCCGGAAATCGTGTCCCACGCCCTAACCTTCTCTCCACCCCCCGGAAATCGTGTCCCACACCACCCTCTAACTTTCTCTCCACCCCCGGAAATCGTGTCCCACGCCCTAACCTTCTCTCCACCCCCAGGAAATCGTGTCCCACGCCCTAACCTTCTCTCCACCCCCCGGAAATCGTGTCCCACACCACCCTCTAACTTTCTCTCCACCCCCGGAAATCGTGTCCCACGCCCTAACCTTCTCTCCACCCCCCAGGAAATCGTGTCCCACGCCCTAACCTTCTCTCCACCCCCAGGAAATCGTGCCCCACCCCCTAACTTTCTCTCCACCCCCAGGAAATCACGTCCCACCCCCTAACTTTCTCTCCACCCCCAGGAAATCGTGTCCCACGCCCTACTCTTCCTACTGGCCGGCTACGAGACGACGAGCACCACCCTGGCCTACATCTTCTTCGAGCTCTCCCTCAACCCCCAGATCCAGCAGCGGCTACGTCACGAGGTGATGACGGTCTTGCCCCGGGGGTACAGCAACATCGAGTACGACGATCTGAAGAAGTTGACCTACCTGGATTACGTCATTTGGGAAACCCTGAGGAAGTACCCACTGGCAAGCACGTACGTATAGCTATATCAGTTTTTAGGCCTTTTTTACACATCGGTAGTATAAAATTTTGGACAGGGTTAGTTCTAAACAAATTCAAAGACCCAGATGTTGTTAGGATTGGTTTTAGTTTTGGTGCCATTGTTATAAGCAAAGTTTCTTCCAGGCATCTCTTCGCCCCCCCCCAAAGTCTACCGCACCCCTCCCCCTAATGAAATGGAATGTGTATAGAACATATATACTTTTAAACAGTGTCCCCCCCCCCCCCCGGAAATTTTAGCTAAAATAACGTAACTTTAGTATTAACTCTAACCCTAACACCAACCCTAAATTAAAAAAAATATTCGTAATTAATCATCATGTAAAATGTTTTCACGGTTTTCACAAAATCTTTGTGATTTTGTAGGACTATTAAAATTTATATGAAGACCATTATCTCAAAATGTCATTTTCGTTTATTTCCTCATACAAAAACTTAAGAATTTCTTATCTAACATGATTACCCATGTTCTCCAAAGCGTGACCGCTAGACAATGCATGCATGACTGCACCATCCGGAACTTGAAGATCCCAGCTGGGATGCTCGTGCACGCAAACCTCTGGGACGTGCAGTACGACCCCAAACATTGGGGCGAGGATCCACACAGCTTTAACCCAATGAGGTGAGACCATCTGGGTATCATGTTGTAGTTTTTCTTTTGGGTGTTATTGATCCACGCAGCTTTAACCTAATGTGGTGAGACCACCTGTGTATCATGATGTAGTTTTTCTTTTGGGCGTCAGGTACAGCTTCAACCCAATGAGGTGAGATCCTCTAAATAAACGATTAAATCACCTTTAGGTGCTGCACCAAGTGACACCCGACCTAGCAACACCATTAGCACTAGGTGAGGGATGGGGGTGGAGGGAATAAAAAAGTTTTAGCTACATTTTGGTCATATACTGACTTCCATATTTTACAATATAATCAAACCATGCTCCAAAAATTGATTATAAACATAACGTAATGACTGGTAATTTTGGCTTATTAAGAAGGATGGAGAAAAAGCTATGATACTATAATACACATTTTAGCTTACATTTCTTTTAAAAATTGGCTTCCATGTTTTTGTGTTTCCCGAAGCGCATAACCCGAATACTTACCCTAACCTTAAACATACATCTGAACCTAACCCGTATATTTGTCTAGATTTATGCCGGAGCAGAGAAAAAAACGCCACCCCGCCTCGTGGATGCCATTCGGCGGTGGACCCCGGGCCTGTGCGGGCTTGAGGTTCGCTCTCCTGCAGCTCAAGATGGTCGTGGCGAAGGTTCTCAGGGACTTTGATTTCCACCCATCCGATAAACTCACCGTGCCACTGCCGCTCAAACAGGGGGCCACCATCCTCCCGTCCAGCGGGGTTCATCTTTCTGCTATGAGACGCGGCTCGGCCCTGACCGAAACTGGATTAAGACGAGGGTCAGTCTTGACAGGCATCCCACTGGCGGATTGGATCAACATCAGAAGAGCTTCACTGAAGGAGGAAGATTTTGGTCTCGAACGCTGCCCGGTTGATGTGGAGTTTGAGGAAGTTGTGACGACAAGCAGACGGGCGTCGGTAGCAGACGGGTTATCGTTTGGTAACAGCAGACGGAATTCCAGAGAAGAACGCGCTACACGAAGGAGCTCGATTCTTGAGGAGAAGCTCACAGTTCAAGGATTTGAGTTACTACGCCGATTTTCTAAAGCAGGGGAGAATAATCTTCTGGGGAATTCCTTCAGCGAAATGGAGAGCACAACTGGAAAGAGTTTCATGTCTCAGCGAGACAATGAAACGAACGCAAACATGGGTGTGTCGACTATGCCGGAAGACATCCTTGGAGAGATGCCACAGTTGAGGTCAAGAATAGTTCTCCGTCGGGGCTCGGCTGTGCCTGATCTGGAATCAGTGTCAGAGGCGGCGACCATCGAGGAGTTCAAACCAAGGGCGGCGCCTGTCATCGCGGAAATGGTCGACGGCATAACGGATGACGTGGAGTTCAAGAAGAAGCTGCAAGCTTGCAACAGGCTGTACAAGAGGCGTGGTTCCGGTTAAGCAGATGACTGTCACATCCGGCAGATAGAGAAGAAAACGCAATCAATTTTGCCGGAAAATACACCAAAAAAATAATTTAATGTTTAGTTGATATGAATGTTATGAATATGATAAAATTTCTACAAAATACAATCGTCATTATTACTGAAAAGATTACAGTAAAAATGTACTGACTGGGCGGTGTGCAAAAGGGAACACACACACTTTAACAGAAATGTAGTCTATAAATAATCAAGGGAGGTAAATTGTCAAAAAACCGTGACGCAATTTACGGACCCTTTATCCTAAGAAATATGCAGATGACTACGAAATATATTTTATGGGATAAGAGAATATAATAGAGGCGCCAAGATAGTTTATTTTTCAGTGAGGGACAAATTTTAAGTTTTGGTTTTTCAAAGTAGGTTAGGTATCAAAAAGCTTAGTCGCTATAAAAGGGGATTAAATTAAAAGAGAAACGTGTGAGTTCAAAACAGTTTCAGAAGTTGCAGGTATATTTTGGTTTAAAATAATTTTTTTAAAATTGTATTAACTTTAATCATAATCTACATTCTGTTTGATGAGTAATTAAGACCTAGAAAATCCATATTACAAATACTATTAACCATTGTGTGACTTAAAAACACGATTTCAATTTTTTTTAAAATAGAGAATACAAGAGTAACTTGTAAAACATTTTTTTTAAATCTACAGTAAACTTTAAACAGAATTGTTAAGAGGCAAAAACCGCTTTGTAAAAGTTATTATGAGTTCATACTATTTTACTAAACAGACTATGTAACTTTGCTTTAATACTTAGTAAACATTTAAAAAAAATAGAGTGTAATGTAATATAGAAATTCAGTACTTTATAATATTTTGGCTAAATGAAAGGCCTTTAAAGTTGAACTGATTCATCAAGGATTCTAACATTGATTAAAAACATGATTTGAAATAAAAAACATTTCTTATTTTAATTTGAATTTTAGACGTCTTTTTTTTTTTTTAAATGGATGTATGTGATGTGGTCCAAAAGGCTGCCCTAAATGAGATCACCAAATGATAGGTGATTAATATACCTTAGTGAAATATGAAATAAAGCATAGATGGATCCAGTGGCGTAGCCAGGATAGTCTCAATGGGGGGGGGGGGGGGGTCCAATTTTTACCCGGGACAAACTTTCGATTTGCACCCCCCCCTCAAACTTTCGATTTCCACCCCCTCTCAAACTTTCGATTTGCACCCCCCCCCCCTCAAACTTTCGATTTGCACCCCCCCCCCCTCAAACTTTCGATTTGCACCCCCCTCAAACTTTCGATTTGCACCCCCCTCATACTTTATATATATATACCGAGGGGCCTATGGGGGGGTTATGGCCCCCCTAACCCCCCCACCTGCGTACGCCACTGGATGGATCGGATCTAGGCGAGACGTTCAACGCGGCATGATAGTTCTTAATGCTGGACGATAAAATACTAACCTCATTAGAATCGACCCCCCCCCCCCCTATAAAAGAAACACCCGTGCCGAAAGAAAGTGTCCGGCCAGTGTTTTTTTTTTTCAAACTTTTTTTCCAAGGGGGAGGGGGGGGGGGGGTCGAACACTGGTAAAAGAATTTATTTTGTTTATAAATCATATTTTGTTCATGACTGGGACAGTAGCGTAGCGAGGGGGGGGGGACATATATCCCCGGGCGCCGACCTTAGGGGGCGCCAAAATGGGTTGGAAAAATAAATTGAAAGGTTGAGGGGGGTGCAAATTGAAAGTTTGAGGGGGGGGGGGTGCGAATCGAAATCTTGAGGGGGGGGGGGTGCAAATCGAAAGTTTGAGTGGGAGGGGGTGCAAATCGAAATCTTGAGGGGGGGGGATGCAAATCGAAAAGTTTGTCCCCGGGCGCCGGGAAGGGTCGCTGCGCCTCTGGATTGGGAAAGGTGGGGAGGGGAGGGACTGTAGACGTGCTTCGGAGGGGGAGGGGTACGAGATGATGTGATGGTAACAGTTTGAAAGCGTTCACTGTGGCATGAGGTGGTAACATTATATAAGAAAAAAAAATTGTCTTCAAATGGAAATTAAAAAAAAAATAAAAAAAAAAACCTTCATAAAAACACGCGGTTAAAAGTACTCCAATAGGACTTTATTAGTAAGGAAGTTGGTCGCTGACACGTTTTAGCAACTATTTTCTTTAGAACGTTTTTTTAACGTTTTATTTTCTATTTTTTTGCATGCAGGCTTAGAATTTTTGGTTATGCTTGAAGTCTTCAATCTCAAGCACGTTTACTGATATGTAGGCATATTGGTTGTCTACCTTTACATTACAAATAGGCCCCTACATCAAGTAGTAGGTCTATATCCACAATTTTTTTACATGTAGCCAGTCTATTGAAACATTTTTATTACAATTTAAAAAAAAAGCAACCTTTAAAATTCAAAATTTCTGCCGAGATTGTTTTTATATTAGTATTAGTTATTTAAAATGCAATTATGACATCTCATTTTACTACGCCACTCCCCCCCCCCCCTTTCTCCGTCACTAAGGTCCGCACCCATACTCCAAGATCATAAGGTAATTCAGTGGCGTAGCCAGGATCGTCTCAAGGGGGGGGTCCAATTTTTACCCGGGGACAAACTTTCGATTTGCACCCCCCCTCAAACTTTCGATTTGCACCCCCCCCCCCCCCCTCAAACTTTCGATTTGCACCCCCCCCTCAAACTTTCGATTTGCACCCCCCCTCAAACTTTCGATTTGCACCCCCCCCCTCAAACTTTCGATTTGCACCCCCCCCCCTCAAACTTTCGATTTGCACCCCCCCCTCAAACTTTCGATTTGCACCCCCCCCCTCATACTTTTTCTATATACCGAGGGGTCTATGGGGGGGTTATGACCCCCCCTAACCCCCCCCTGCCTACGCCACTGAGGTAATTGATATGCTTTTGGATTTCCTTAAGCATTCTGTGTACAAATACATATTTAAAAAGCATGGTAGGGTTTATTGGCCTTGTCAACACAATCTCAAAAGCACCTTCCGTGTGGGGGTCTACGTCATTACACAAACATGCCCAAACAACGGCCTGTTTTAATCTTCAACTGCGGAGAGCGCACCTCACAAGAGGGCGTTATCACTAATGTATGTACAAGTAAGATAAAGGGGAATAAGTAAACTGGAGATTTTCTAAAGCACTTGAGATCATCTTCAATTGAAAATAAAGAAGTAAATAGCTATAAATAAAATATGAAGGGCTATCAAACAGAATAAAAGAAAAGGGTGTAGAGAATCTACAAGTTTTTCTTTTTCCTTGTCATTCACTTGTAGAAAAACAAAAGCAGACTTTAAAACTAGCTTTAAAATTAAAATAAACACCATGAATAGTATCAATATATCTCTTTATTTATGCATAAAATGATTAGTGTTTTATTGACAGACACTAATGATTTGACAATAAAATATGTACACATTTAAAAAAAAAAAAGAAACACAATGTTTGTTGCAAGAATCTGAGTACTCAAAAACATGTTTTTAGTCTAGACAGGCTTAGAAAAATGATCTGTTTAGCTAAGACTTAAAACCAGTTGTTTTAAACAAGTTATACACACACGAAAAATGTTTTTATAGAGAGCTTTGAACTTTGTTTTTAAAATGGTAAAGGTGTGTTGAAACTGTTTTAAGTTGACTTAATGAGACATGCCATAATGCAACGGTTTAAAGAAGTTGTGTGATGCCTGATGGGATACACTCACCCCAAGAACATATACAAATATATATACCCAATAATTGTTTTTTTTAATAATATTCAAAACTATATAATACACCATCTTTTTAAAAATTTCAATTTTTTAAATTTATCTAGCTTAATAAAGTTGTGATAAAAATATACCTATATATAAAACATCATCTTTTGTTTTTGTTGTGTATAAAAAAAATCTCAATAAACTTTCAACATAATAGCTAAAAATATTTAAAACAGACTGACCCTAGACATATCTCGGAATGATTCCAGTGGTGAAAAAAATATTCATACCTGTTGCCATATTAAATCAAGACAATTTTTCAGTTTTGCATGTTATTTTTTAAATTTCTTATTAAACAACATAAGCTGGGATGAGTTTGACCATCCATGCCATTTAGGTATTTCTTGTAATGTTTTACAACATAAGAAATCATAAGTGTATCTGATACTTTAAAGTAATTGTGCAGATGGTGAAAGGAAAACCATAAAAAAAATATCTAATAGACTTGTTACATATATTTGAACAGATTTTCATTTTAAAAATTCAGATCATGATTAAGACAAACTGGATGTGGATATGTTTGAAAAGATGCACTCCATTTAATGTTATACATCTGCAAAAGTTATTGAATTTACACTTATTTTTTTTTTAAATTAATAAATAAAAAAAAAAAGCTCAGCCTACCAATTTTAAATCTAAAAATGCCTTAAAACTATTGGTAATTATGTTTAGATGACGTAATAATATTTTAAACAAAGGAAAACAGGTTGATGATAAAAAAATATATATAATACATTTGATAAAACTACACCATTTAGTCTGTGTAAAAAAATCTGGGGTTTACAATAAAAAAGAGGCTCTATAGTTTCACAGATGTACTAATATCAATAAGTAGGAAATATGCATATAATATCAAGATAAATAGGAACATGGGGAAATCTGTACGTACCTAAACAGCAACAAAACAATTGAAGCAAGTAGAAAAATAAAATATAGACATCTGAAAAAAAAACAACCAAAAAAACAAACAATGAAATGTTGCAAAGTTTGATTCACAAATTTTGTTGTAACAAAATGAACATACATGAATGTGAATGAAGAGTAGTTGGATTCACCATTGCTTGAAGTACTAGACAGAATTATCACAACATATTGCATTGGATTGTTGCTTTGCTGTAGCAGTGAAATAAAAAATTATTGATGGTTTCTACATAAACGTATTAAGTTAACACTAGTTGTCAAATATATATTGACAGACTTTTTTTTTTATTATATAAACACTTCTGGGCGTTTTACCTAAAAAGCTGAATTTTTATGCATGGTACAAAAATAAAATTCCTAAATAATTTTTAAAAAAATCCTATAAACAACATTTAAGCAAATAAAAGTAATTGAATTGATACACGACACCCATTCTTGCCTTAAAAAAAATTTGGCTTCGTCTTGTTACAAGACAGGTAGAGAAAACATCATTCACTGTCACACAAACAATAACTTTCTCCCAACTCTATCATGGCTTAAGTATTGGAAAAATGGATACAGTTAACAAAATAAAATTATAACGAATATGCAACCAATGTATGTTTACTGTGGTTATCAACATTCACTGTCTAAAGCATTTATTACTGATGTTATATTCAAGATGAAGGCATTTTAGGGAAAGTGTAAATATGTTGCTTTTAATAATTAGCTATCACAAAATTCAAGCAAATTTCTTTCTATAATTACATTTATGATTAAAATTTCTAAATATGACAGCAGGTGACCACAAGAGAACAAATATTCACTCTGAAAATTAGTGTTAGTAAAATTCTTTATAAAAATATTATATATCTTTGCTGTATTTAAAAAAAAAAAAACACATTAAACAAAAGTGGTTTAAATGGAATTTTGATGAGTTAAAATTATATTGAAGTTTTACAATAAGAAAATAGGATTTTTCATAAATATACTTTAATTTTGTTATTTTTAAAAATGAACTGTTAATTTTTGCATTAATGCTATTTGTCCTTGTCAGTAAGATATACCTCTTTTATTTGAAATACCCATAAAATGAACTTTCAAACTATGATATGCAAATTTAATCAAGGACCTAGTCAAATGCAAACCTTTTAATTAACTAGTAAAACAAGTATCTTAAGATTGGTGGTAGGGGGTAAAACCTCAAATGTATATCACTTATATAAAAAAACTTGTTTTTAAAAAACAAATAAAGATGTAACTATTGTTAACAAACTATCTGAACATTTTTTTATGCCAGAAAACAAGATCTATAGCCAAAAGATTTGTCATTTTAATTTTAAATAAATAACTTTCCAAAAAAAAATAATAAAATAAATTGAAATAGCTAATTATTAAGGAAAACCTCACTGAGTTAAAAAAGTACTAAGGAAAAAACCCAGCAAAAATAGACCCTAAGACATCAAATAGCATTTAGATTATATCTGTGTTAACATCTTTAGGAGCCATAAGATATGAGGTACTGTGCTGTTCTATAGCATCACACTGCTATTGCTAACTTGTTAGTTTGAAACAAAAAAAAAACAATAGGTTAGTCAAGAAGCATTATAAGCACATGTTCATGCATAGTTAACTGCATTAATTGTCATGACAGTGTAGGCAGACAAATAAAAAGCTTTAAAGACCATCTTAGAGAAGACAACTTTTCTTACAAACTAGCATAAACATTTCTTAACTAAAGTAAACTTCTTAGTAAAACATTTTTTACCTACAAAAATTAATCCTAAACATCTGTTTATTATGCTGTTATGGTAGTTTACACACTATTTGACTAAACATGACTAACAAACTGTCCATTTTAGGTAGAGGTTTTTAAAAAAAAAAAAAACTATCAACACACAAGCTTAAGACAATGAATCGGTCTAACAATCCCAGTACATTGCCTGACATGGTTCGCATTCAGGTGATACATAAACTTTACATTCAGCCAGCTCAAGGGACATAACACACTTGAAAGACAAGATGGTTTAGCCTGTACTCCAGAAACAAGAAATGTCAAAATTTAGCATCTATTTCTGGAATTATTTTTTTTAAAATACAGAAATATTTAGAAAATAATCTCATTACCTTTTTCTGAAGTACAGGCTATTTTAAAACGTCAGCACTTCCATTTTTTCCCCCCCTAAGTCTGGGCGAATCCCAAACATGAAGCAAAGTTCCTTCCCTTGCCATTCATACACAGCCATCAATCATTTTTTGTTCCAGTCCATACATGACTCAAATAACAATTGAGTTAGTATAAATGCCAATAGGTGTAAAAAAGGAGACGCAGCCTTTAATTGTTTTAATATATTGAGCATGAATTTGTATACATATGTTTAAAATAGTGAACCTGATGATTAGAAAATCTGCTGACAATTTTTTCAAAAACAATTAATTGAAAATGGTCTATTGCTACCAATGTATTTAAAATTTCATTTTTGAGAACTTGAAATAAATAAAAAATTACTCTTTTCTTACACTTTTTTTTGGAATTGATAACCTTATTTTTTAATAGTTAAGCTTAGTGTATAATTTGTTTTAAAAGAAGCAAAGAACGCTGACACAAACTTAAAATTTAAAACCATTTTAAGTAGAAATGAGAAAAAAAATAAAACCTCCAAAATGACTTTGCAACAACAGGTATATTATTCAAAACTAAAACAATTTGTGAGTTTGAATTTCTTTAAACTTAAAAAATATAAAAGACTACACAGCAATAAGTCTAGACAAAAACTACAGTATTAAACTACAATGTACATTGACTTTTCCAGTACAAGAATTGATTACTTTTGGATTTCACAGACTATTTGTAAAAAACTGCATATAACCTAAGATGGTATGCTTTGATCATCTGCTCATTTGTAATGAGATGTGTGATCTGGCTCAAGTCAAAAATACATTATACATAAAATATAAAATATTTCTGAAAGGCCAATGTTTTCTGAAGGCATTTATTTAAAAAAAAATAATTCATTCACAGTATAGTAAAAATTAATTTGAGGTTTCAATTTTTTTCAGAATACATGCGCTTAAAATAATTTTTAAACTCTACAACTAAAAACTCACACTGGCTTAAAAAAAGTATTCAAATATATCTTCTTCAAATTCTATTGCTTCATTGTTGAAACACGTAAAAGAGGCAGTCTCACTTTCATTCAAGACTCACTTAAATCACTTATATCACTTAACCCACATTCACTAGAGCTATCTGCTAAGAGACACTGTCATGGAGATCTTTGAAAAAAGCATGCACAGAATGAAAGCCTTTTTTGTCTATAAACATCCTCACGTTTTCTATTTCTCGGAACAGTTGATCTGCATTGATATCTTCTGGCAGTTTAGTGAGGAACTGAGCTATGTGAATGAAGTCCATCTTTAGCAAAATCACTTCAAAGATGTTGAGGATGGCTGAAGAGTTCAAAATTTAAAAAAATTAAACATCCTTAAAATACTAAAGCTATTGAAACTAGACATTTAGAATTAGTAAGATGGAGTACAAGATTATTTTAGTGTCATTACTGCTAAACTTTCTTAATATGCTAAATAATTAGTTGAATAAAAAAAGGAAAAAGGTTTAAATTTCTACTTCTTGTTATATTAATACCGCGTTTACACTTGCGACATGTATACTATAATAGGAGATAATAGGAGAGCCTACTCAGTTATTGCGACGTTTTTTTTTCAAGAAAGGTATAGTATACATGTCGCAAGTGTAAACGTGGTATAACAATGTAATGTAATGAAATATGTGGGCAAAATTTTCTTAACTTTTCTTGACTAGCAGCATCTAATATTAGTATAAGAGCTTAAGAAATCTTACGCGCCTGAAAAATGTGCACTACTTTTGTTTTTGGCACAAAAAGGGAAATCTAGTAGGCAACATAATTTGGAAACAACAAGGATTTAAAAACAAAAAGAAATCAAGGACACTATATTTGAAGAAATCTTATCATTTTCCTTTTGAATCCCGAGGGAAAGAGGTTGAAACCACACATTGGGCTTCAATTATATTATAATTTAATTAATTGTAAAGGTATGGTTTTAAAAATATTTTTTAATATTAGATATTTTTAAATTTGTTTTTATATAAAAATGAATGTCCTTCAAATTTAGACACAATAGATAATTTCATATATAATTTCATTATATTGCTTTTAGTTTTAATATTTTAATGTATGTGAATATTGTGAACAAAAAAAAAGTATGATGATTGAAAAATGGCAGTATTTGATTCAGTTGTATGTCAAGATAATGTCAAGGTAATACAAAAATGGTATGTAAACAAGCTGGATTGAGCTATTACCAAGAGCTGTTTTGAATAGAAATTCTTCCCCATCTCTAAAGAAGACATCCCACACCCTACAGGCAACATCAAGTGGCAGAGATTTACTGTACAATAAGAAAACCCTGAAACAGTTTGAGGAAAAATAATCAGTACATTATACAGAACTTACTTCAACATATGTATCCAATGCAGTTTGTAAAATATAAACCCTGGTTTCTTTATTCTAATAGCCAAATGTTCAATCTACAAAGAGTATTCATTATGACTTACCATTCCATTAGATAAAGATTGGGAGTGACATTTTGGGCATGAAAATGGGCATGAAGATCTGGCAGATTTTCTTTGAAAAACTCCTCAAATGTTCTGTAGTAGGCAGTCATCTGGAAAGAGCAATATTATATTCAATTAAAATGTTCCCTGCTCATAAAAAATACTTCTAAATCTTAGCCATTTGAAAGTAAACAACATTTAAATTACTTATAAAAGGACACAGCTTTAAAACTTGCTTAAGAATCAAATATAAAAAAAATGTAGTGCAAAATTTTTTATTCAAGCATTCTACTCGACAAATAAGTTTTTACTTTAAAACTTACCAATGCCTCATCCATTCTAAAGAAAGCCAGCTGGCATGGCCGATTGAGCAGATTAGCAAAGCAAACAAAGGCATCAGCCACATCCATATTAAGTAATAAAATTGCGGCAATAAAAGACATGCCCTGGACCTTGAATTCAAAGAAATATTAATTATTACAGGAATAAAAATTATTGTGTACATTCTAATTATTTCATGAATACTAAATGTTTGATGAATACTAATGAATTCAAGCAAATTAATTTAAATTTCAAAAATATTATAACTGTATTAGATATTTAACTGTTAATAATTATTCAATTTCAAGGGGTTTTATTCAAGAATGTAAAATAAATTGAATCTAATAGCTTTTGTGTTATACTATTTTTTATGTTGCAGCAAAAAGCTTTCATGATATAAAAACAAACAAACAAACAAGCCAATTCAACATTTTAGACGTGAAATTAATCTGGTTACAGATTCTTAAAATTTATTTTAAAAATTTCATTTCAGAACACTGCGTTCTTGTAAATTTAAACTATATAACAAGCCTGAAAATATTCATTTTGCTGAACATTAGTTTGACTGATACGTATCTATGAAGGATCTCAAGTAAAAATACTTAAAACTCACATAGCCAACATCAGGGCGATAACAAGCATAAGCACCTAATAAACTGTGTAGCAGGTCATAAAACGGACCACCCTATAAAACAAAATAAAATATATATAATTTTAACTGTTAAAACGGCAATAAAAAAATATCTGTATTATGTATGCTGTATTATGTAATTAAGAATGAATAAACAAGCTTAGAAAATACAAAGACCCACTTTTTGGAATATACACAACTGTGGGAATGTTCTTGATACATCAAGTTTTATAACTTTGACACTAGATTCCTTATTGGACGGCTCTTGCAGTGTGGCAGCACCTACGATAGGTCAGCAAGTGGTCAAGTTATACAAGTAAGTCCTAAATAATTCACAACTATTTCAGAAATGGTACTATTGCAGCTTAAATTATCTACAATAAATTTTACAATATCATTTTACGTCAATTTAAAAAAAAAAGTTAAACTGTTTTAAATATAATTGTACTTTTTAGAAAAGAAATAGAAGTTTTTAAATTTTATCATTAACTTTTTATCTACAACTTTTTTATCTACCTTCTGCACACAAGTTGGTAAAGCTTTCCTCTCTGACAAGTTTTATTCTTTCTTCCGCTCGTTCATGGCAGATGTTGTACAGTGCTAAGAGGAAAGTGAACAAGTCCATAATTAAACCAGACTGATATATATTTTACATGAGTACGTAATTGGGAATATTTAATAAAAAAGACAGTTAAGAATGAAGGATGATTAGAAAGAACAAAAAATAGTAAAGTATTACAAAATATTATGTAATCAAGAAGTATAGACATGAACTTTATTAAAAAGTTGATATTTAAATACAAATATATCATCAATCTTTTTGACTACAATTACATTGTCTTCTCTAAGACACATGGGGGCAGATGAAGAAGAATTAATCTGTTTCAATTACCTCTGTATACAAGTGTCAGCATTAATCAAACATACTAGAGTTATAAAATCTTATAAGAGGTATCCAAATTATGAATTACCATGAGTAATGTTCAGATCATTTCCTATTGCCAACTGCCACACCTTTCCCCTGACATTAGGTGGTAACCCTTGCCACCACAAATCCCTTGCTTTCTTACTGTGCCGCCTGCAAGAAGAGATACATCAAACTTTTCTATTACACTGTTCTTTTAGAGGCTTATGCTTATATGTCATTTGTTAATCAATTAGTGTTCAATGTCTAAGAATAGGCTATCTATTTTAATTGATACTTCAAGTTTTTAAAGTACATTTTTCTAGACATGTGTATACTTAAAAAATGTAACTATTATGATAATTAAATAGTAACATTTTTAACAGCATATATTATTTATAGTCTCTCAGTATGCTGAGAACATTTACAAATTTAAAAAAACAAACATGTATAGCAATCAATAATTTTTTTTACACAACTGTGCGAAATATTAAAAACTGGCAGTGTTTTAAGGGAAATAACGGTTACAACAGATGTTGTTTGAGATTAGTTCGCATTTTAATTAAATATTAACAATGTTTGCCGCCATCATTGTCATTTAATCAAACTGTCAATTAAAGCATCTGTTTTATTTTAATAACATGTGGAAGGCACAATTATAAATGAAATGCTTGTGCCACACCTGTTTTGAAGGTTTTGAAAAATAACAAGTGTAAACAGCTATGTGGGAATTCCCAAAAGGTTGAGTAAACACCCTCTTCCTAACGCCATTAGCAAAGAGAATGTAAACATTGCATTAGCAGTTTTGAAAGAAAATAAACAGAGAAGCAGACACATCCATTAGGCAGGTCAAAATAGAGGCCAGAACTGAACACTAATTGCTTTTTTAAATTATAATTAGCTCACATAGCCTCCCAGTTGGGCAGAATGTCTGTATCCCATGCACGGGCAGCAGCCATCAATTGGTCTTCAAGCTTTCTCTGTAACTGTAGTTGCTTCTTCTTTTGTTTCATATCTTTCAACTCTAAAGATGAGAAACATGTCACTGTTACACATGCCTAATTTTGTTAGTCATGAGCCATTTTGTTGCTAATTCTTTTCTAAAAAAAACAACAACACTTTCTTTTAAATTGGGCAAGTAGCCAGATCTGAATTAACCAGCACACAATCATCTCACATCAATTCATTAAATACCTATCAAACAAGGGAGTTTGAGAACTACTGAACCAAATTACAACAATTTATTTTTACATTTTTTTCACAACTCCAGAATTAATTGATGTAATTATCAGGGTGCTGTTTAAATCTGATTCAAATTATGCATTAAAATAAAACCAGTAATTTAGAAACAATGCAATAAAAATTAGGAACATTCACATAACTGAAATTCATATTGTTTAAAAAACAATTAAGTAATTATAACAGTAAGTGGATACGAATGTGTAATGAAAGAAATGGTACCTTTTTTCTTTGCTGCTTCTACCATTGCTTCATACTGCTGCCTATGTTTTTCTGCTTCTTCTGGGCTCTTAGTGGGTAAATTTCTGAGAATAAAATTTTTAAAACAAGTTATTTGCTATGATTTTAAAGAATTAAACAACAATGTTTGGAATGACTATTATTTAAAAAAAAAAAAAAAAAAGAAAAAGCAAAGCAATTTCATAAATTAATAAAATCAGTGGAAAAAAAAGCTGAATATTCTTAGTAATATATCTCATAAGCTGTTAAGGAATATAGTTGGACATATTGAGTTTAAATTGTTTACGTTTTTCAAATAAATATATAAACTCACGTAGGGCGATTTTCTAATATCAAAGCTGTTGTTGACATAACTTCAGTACTCTGTTTCTTTGCTGGGAAACTTGGCTTTTCAACCTTGCGCTGGCGTGCTTGAAACTCAGTAGTAATCTCATGGGGGTCTCGGATAGTGACAGCTTTGGGAGGTATCCTGCCAAAAAGTTTCCAACCTGGAGGACTTTCTTCCTTTGCTCTCTTAGAGAACAGGTTTCTGAGAGATTCATTTGACAATAAAACTTGTTGAAAAGATTGATTGGAAAATAAAACATGATCAAAAAAGTTTATGGACAATGAGGCTTAGCATTTTCTTAGCTAGTATCACATTTAAAAAAATAAAAATCAGGTAAGGAATGTATCTGATGATTAACTATATTAAAACTTGTTCTCTTAGTATAATTTATTCTATTGCTAGTATATCAGTTTATTAAACAAACCAAAAAGTTTGATATTAATTAAGTAATGTATATTATCACATACGAGCCGGCCCGCGGCATAACATACGCCGCTATTTAGTTGTTTCTAATTTTCAATAATTCATAATTTGTGAATTCGGCAGTACCAACGCTGACACTGAAAATATTTCTTTAAAACACTATAAGTAGCTCGTTAAGGACCATAACCCCCCCCCCTTCCTTCCCCCCCCTCCCCCCCTACCTTTAAAATTGTTGGCTCTGCTTGTAAACATTTAGAGTGAACACAGCTCACTAAAACCATGTAGGGGTGGGGAGGTAGGGAGAGCGTTTGCAGCTTGTTTTCTAACGGCTCCCAGAAGAGAATTATATATATAGATGACAGACAGCTTGAATGCAAAATTATTCATTAGAGTAAGATGTACTTGGAATGTAATTCACACCCAACATATATCCTTTAGTTGATAATTTTATATTAATTAACATTTTATGATAGTGTTTTTATTTATAGGCTGTGATTACAAATGTCACAAAGAATATTTAAAAAAATGTAAATCAGGGCTACTTGTATAGATGCTGGTAGGGAATTAAGAATCTAAATGAGTTTTTTAATAGAGTATTGCTTTTAGAGTAACGGTAAGCATAATGGGTAGCAACACAAGCTAAATATATCTTTGACCTACAAGTGATTTTATAAGCACCATATTATTATGTTACAATTTACTATTATAGCGTGCAGTAAGGGAATGCATGATGAAGTAGTAGGGGACATGACTACTGACTACACATCCTGTATGCTGAGGTCACAAGGAACAGATAAACTTTACTTCATCTGCCTTATTGTCCATTCGATCTGAAAGGGAACTTAGCTAATTTAAAATTCTTTCTTAGCACATCAACATCATCAACACAATGTCATATCAAGACATGTGGCAAACTACATAACAACCAATAGACAGGGGCATTAAAAGCATACGGAAGGGTTTTGCATACCATGAGAAGGGTAGAGGATAAAATAGCGAGGAGAGCTTTAGACTGGAATCCCCAGTGGAAGAGGAAAGTAGGCTGGCAAAGGGAATTGGAGAAGAGGCAAGGGTTACAAGTGCAAATTAAGAGAGCTGCCTAAAACAAAGTCAGATGATGAGATGTGGTTGCAGCCCTTTTGCTCCCCACAAAGGAACAAAGAAAGATGACACTATCAACCATAATATAATAGGAATATAAATAAACACAAACAAGTAAAAACTTACTTTAAGCTTGTAAATGACTTCTTTTTTGCTGTCTCTTGAAACTGAGGGGCTCTTTTGTCCCCATAACCACTATCCAAAGAAGAGGAATTATATCCCTTGTCAAAAGAGTTTCTAGAATGCAAATTGATATCCATGAACATAGCGTCGTCAGACACATCGTTGGATTCAATGTTGTACTCCTCACCCACAGAGACAGCAGATACGGAGAAATCTGTGCCTGTACTGACACTAGATAGACTAGAATTATCTGCAAACAAATATGGGCTGGGCTCAAAGTTGTGATGGTAACCTGGATAGCTGTCCAAACTGTGAAGAGTGCATCTGTCACTGTCTGTATATTTGTAACCAAACTCCTGTGCGCTATGGGCTTTGTGTATGGACGAGTGTGGGCAAAGCAGTTCGCTAGATGACAGATCTAATGTGGAGCTGGCGGATTCTGATTCATTGCATGAGCAGCCTTTTTCTGGTGTTAACAATAATTTATAATCTGTATGTACATTATTAGAATCAGCATTAAAAGACTCTGGCAACGTTCCATTGCTTTTGACCAGCTGCTTTGTCGTCGGTATGTACAACAACGGCAATGAAATGTTCTCCAGAACTTTTGAAAAGCGTGAGCTGGAACCTACGTTCACTGGCAGGTCATCAGTAAACACAGGTGAAGGCATAACTTTATGATATCCTGGATGTGCATTCTGCTTTGTCTTGGCAGTATCACTGCTTATGTACCCATTTTCAAACTTCTGCTCCCCATTTAATGTTAATTTGCTTAAGCTGCCTTCTGCTATCTTCGTTTGACTGTCCGATGGATCATATTCAATAGTATTGTCACTGGAAATAGATAATGTAGCATCTGTATCATCAAGACGACAGTCTTGAGATTTGAAAACTGTACTGACATATGTTAAAGACTTATCAAAATCCTCTTTGAGTTCTGGGGCATCCAAACGATCCCTCAACTCTTCTGCATGACAACCTAAGGCTCTGGCTTTTATTTGACTTTTGAGTACATCAACTTCATCTAACTCGGCTGTTGAGACCACTGGCAAGCCATCCAAATTACAAATCCCAGAATCTGGGGAGTTTTTTCTTTGGTTACTCATAACTTGTAATCTCATTGTCATTTTTAACTGAATTGGTGTGGGTGTTAACTGCTGAGGAAATGATTTTCCCATGGCTGTTACATGATTTTGTAAAAAACTGCATGTTATCTTTAATTTGAGTATATGGACAGCTACATACAGATGGCAGCTTATATAAAGACTAACAATGTTAAGATTGAAGCTGCATTATAAACTTGACTGCCATCTTATTACCTGCAAAACATAAAAGAGCAGAATAGGAAAAAGATTAACACAGACCGAGATTTATATCTCACATGCAAGTTTTGCTTAAATTATAAATTGTTTAAGAATTTTACAAAAAATATAAAAATAAAAACACAAAAAATTCAAGCTAATGAACACTGTAAAATGGGCTTACTGTTACTAAATAAGCTTTAAAAAAAAGACTGTGAATCTTCATAAATTAAAAAAATTACATAAAAACTAAGGCATAGGAATTATAAATTACGAACCGACCCGCGGCGTATCATATGCCGCTATTTAGTTGTTTTATTTTCTACTTTTCAGTAATTCATAATTTGTGAATTCGACAGTACCAATGCTGCCACTGAAAATATTTGCTTTAAACCACTAAAACCCTCCTTCCCCCCCCCCCCCCCCACGTGAAAGCAGCCTCCACTTAGTTACTTCCCCTAAGAATAAAATAGTTTTAAACTAAATTATCTGCCCCTAATAGCCGTCACTATACCCGGCTCTACCATGTAAATATTTAGTGTGAACTACAGCTCACCAGACCATGTGGGTGTGGGGGTGGTTGCGATATGCATAGAGAGGAAAAGAGGGGACTGCTCGGCGCGCTTACAGCTTGTTTTCTAACGTCTCCCAGAAGAGAATTATATATACGAGCCGACCCGCTGCATATCATACGCCGCTATTTAGTTGTTATTTTTTCTACTTTTCAGTAATTCATAATTTGTGAATTCGACAGTACCAACGCTGCCACTGAAAATATTTCTTTAAAGCACTATAAGTAGCTCGTTAAGGATGATAACCCCCCCCCTCCATTATAGTAAACTCCACTTAGTTACCCCCCCCCCCCCTACGTTTAAAATCGCTTCAAACTAAATTATCTGCCCCTAATAGTCATCACTAAACCCGTCTCTGCTTGTAAACATTTAGCTCACCAGACCATGTAGGGGTGGGGGTGGTAGGGAGCGCACTTACAGCTTGTTTTCTAGCGTCTCCCAGAAGAGAATTATATATATATAGCTAGTCTGTCTTCTGGTCGCAAATCTGAAATTGACCTCTAACCCTGTAAAGTATCACTCTGGTTTCTGGTGATGATTTGGTTTTTTTAGGGTCCTATCTCAACAAATGAAAACACTGCTCATCTCACTAAATCTTGTCATGATTTGAATGCGAGACTATAAATAAATGAATCATAATTATTTTATGACTATTAAAAAGTATTATTATTGAGCCAATGCAAAGCCTATTATTACTATTAGGCTCAATTAATTACTATTAGGCTCAATTAATTACTAATTAGGTCATTATAGTTAGGCCTAGGGGCCTATTTAATAATTATTCGTGGGCCGTATTAGTTTGTTAAATTATTAATATTATTATTCTAAGCAGTGCCCTCAGCCTAAATCCATGTGTGTTTTAATTTTATAATAAACAATTGTATAGGCCTAATTGATTGTGTGATAATAAATATTCGAAGTGTCTATTCACAGTCGACTGTGACACTGAATAGCCCCAATACGGCTATTCACAGTCGTATTCACGTGACCGTTTTTGATAGATTTAATGATAAAAATACCTAACTAGGCATGAAGATGTGTGGTCGATCGGTCATTGGGAGTGGCTGCCGTGCCAGAAGGTGTGGGTTCAAATCCATCAGATGTTAATTTGTTAATTTTTTTTTTTGTGACGTTATTCTTGGCATATCAGAAAAAAAACAAAAAAAAAACAAGAGAGTGAGAGAGAAAAAAACACAAAAGTGTGATGGAAACTGTGAATTATAGCTAATTATATTCTAGTGTATAAATTTAGAGTGCATAATTGATCATCTATGACCTACGTAGCCTGTAGCAGATATGTCTGATATGAGCCTAAAAGCTAAACTAAACTTTAATTGTAATAACTTTTTTATAACAAAATAAAAATAGCACTGCTCTCTTAATCTATACCTCATTCCCCAGTCACAATAAATGCTTTTATTATTTTAAGATATTATTCAGTCGTATTTAGCATGAAATGACAGCCGACTGTGAATAGCCGTATTGGGGCTATTCACAGTCGGCTGGGAATAGCCTCAATACGGCTATTCCCAACCGGCTGGGAATAGCCTTGGCCATAAATATTTAACCAATTAATAATTAGTAGTAGATCTAGATTCTAGAGTCTAGTACACTAGTAATAAGTAGTAGATCTAGTAGTAGCTGTACTTAACTACTAAAGTAGTAGGCCTATAAGTTATTATTAGTTAAGTAATAAGTAGTAGATCTAGTAGTACTAAGTGACTTAAGTCTAACAGTAGAGTAGAGTTAGTTTTGTATAGCCTACTAAAAGTACTAGATCTAGATCTATTACTAATTTATTTCCAATTGTTTACTACTAGATCTAGATCTAGTCTGATCTAGTCTTAGAATTAGATGCTAAGGTCTATATACCACTAGACTAGTATTATACTTAGTATATAAGCAGAATTGGTCTGTTGCTTGAGTGGCCTGGCCAAGCTTCAGTTTTATACTGATCATTGTCATTGATGATTGAGTGACTCATGGAGTTTTTTTTTGTAGCTGTGTAAGTTGACCACTGAGGTCCCGAGGTAGAAGTCTAGATCTAGATCTAGTCATTTCTAGTGGTAGCACAGTCTCCACAGTGAGAATGTTGGTAAAAAGTTTATTATTAAAAAGCTGAAACAAATACATTTCAATGTTGGTGTACTGAGTTGAGAAAGAAGTTACGAACACTTTTGCACAAACGATAAACGTGCGAGGTTACCTTACACTGAGGACATTTTTAAAGTTATAACCTATTCACAGAAATTGTGTTATTGTTATTGATCTTCTTCCACCAAGTAGCCATAACTATGCTAATTAGGGGGAGTAAACCTGTATGAAACAAAGCTAACCAATATTTTAGTTTGGAATAATTAGAAAATAGACAAATTTATTAATAAAACAGGTTCTAAACAGATTATTAAGTAATTTGAAACGTAAAAATAGTAAAAAATAAATTCGTTCAATTACGTAATACGAAAATAGTTACACAGTTATTTATTATCGTTATTTGTTGGAAAACATTGTAGTTTACCGGAACGCGCCTTTAATTTTAGTAACAGTTCATATACTAAATTAACTAGCCTACAGGCATTTGTTTGTTACTTATTAAAAATTGACTATTGTCACAACAAACTAAAATACAATTACTTCTTTTTATGTCTTTTATGAAACCTTAAGCTTATTGCACGAGAAATGTATAGTTTCTTATGGATTGTCAAACAAGAAAACGTTGAACTTTTCCTATTTAAAGGCATTAATATATTTAACCCATCTATTGAATATTTGCATAATTAATATATTCTATATACAATATATTCTTTTCTCAATGTTTCTTAATGGATATTAATTATTTGTACAATTATGAGCAGACCTCGGGGGGGGGGGGGGGGGGGAATAGCGACGTAATATAAAATATAATAATTATATTTCTATACAGTAGGCAGGAATTCTTCATGGCGGATATATATATATATATATATATATATATATATATATATATATATAGTGACCCTCCACATAACTTTAAAACTGTCATGAAGCCCAGTGAAAAATTCTGCAGTTGCCCGCCCGATTCTGGATAGCTCTATTTGTCTATTTTTATATTTAATAGACTTTTTCTGAAATAGTCTCATTTCATTCCCAATTCATTGAATACATAAGTTAACATAGTTCACTTAAAAATAACAACTCTTTAAGAAATAAAATGCTGCGTAAGATACAATGTACAGTAGGGATAAGTATTAACTTAGTATTAGCCTAAGTAATGTGAATTGAAATGATTGCTCATAAGCTGATAATAGATTAGCTGATATTTAGGGAATTTAGTATGACCTCGATCCGCGGGAGCAACGGAAATAATCCTAAACAACAAACGAAAGAATTTTTCATTAAGACTAGATCTATCACAGATCATGATTTTTTAGACTATTCTAGATCTAGATCTAGATTCTAGTTTATTTGCAAATCTAGATTTAGATATCTACTTGTTGCTTGGGATGTGTGGTATGGAGTTTAATGGAGGCGGCCTAATAATTTAAATTTAATTAAAAAATTTCCCAATGCCAACGAGTTAGCATAGGTTGAGAGTTGAGACCATTCATTTTGACTTGTTTTTGTTGACAAATTATTGAAATTAAGCCAAGGTAAAACTCCATTTTAGCGTATTTTATTCCCCGCTTGACAATCACCTCCAGTTCATCGTATTTTATTATAAACACAACCGAAACACACAAAAACGTTAGGAAAACACCGATCTACTTATTTTTTTTTATGAATGCGATTTTTTATTAGAAAAGGTAAAAAAACATAAAAAAGCATTAGAACTGTTCCAATTAAATATCGTGTGATCGTCAGCGGGAGAAAAATCCCTACACGGTCGCGGGTTCACCATGAGTTCACATTGACAATAATTATCAGCATACGTCATAGCTCGGGCAATAGCTGTTTGAAATTGTGTTGGCCTCAGTTTTGGGGTCATTGTAAGTTCATTAATGTTTATTTATAGTATCATGCCTGGGAGATACTTGTAACAATACAAACTTAACCGCCTTGCAATTGTGATGTCTTTGCTGAAATTGCTGGATGACCCTGAAACATCACTGCAATAATGCATTAAAAAGAAGAAAAATAAATGAGTTTCTTTAGGCCTAAATATAATAATAAACTATTATTTAAAATTAAGTAACTAAAAAGAAAAGTGTGGGTTGCTATATATTATAATTAGGCCTATATAATGATTATTATAATAATGTATTGAATACCTTTACTAGAATTTAAGAAGTGACTCACTTTTATTCTATGATTCAAGTGTTTTAATGGTGAATATTAAATGAAATATATGCCAGTTTGTTGATAAGCATACATCACCACAAAAAAGAACATATAGACTACACATCTGCCTTATTTTTTTTTTAAGTGAATAATTTAGCTACAGCTCACTTCTCCTTCTTCTTCGTTCATAATTTTTAGTGTTGGAAGGGAGCGAGTCATATCTGCCTGAGGGTTTGAATTGTAGACTTTTTTCGAATTTATCAACCATGAGCTTTTGCTGACTCGACCACGCCTCCTCACTAATTTCATCTTTGTTAAAATTCATAAGAAAGTTTAAAATAAGTTTTATATTTGATTTTTTCAGATATTTAAGAGCAATTACGAATCTTCGTTTTAAGTCAGAGGGAAGATTTTTTTATCACCACACATTTGAAAAATGAGATCAGGTCGAAAGCCCCGCAGCTTAGTTGAGTTTAATGCTGAAGATGAGCAGGCAGAAAATAAATTGTTGGAAGGTCAGAAATGTTGATTTCCGTGTAGAGTATTTAATTTAGTTTGATTTTAAACTTTCAGACTGATACAATCTTAAAACTCATTTCACTTTTTGACCTAAATCAGATGCAGGGATTGATGGGTATTCTCAGAATCAAATGACAGAAAAGGAAAAAAGAGAGTTTCTGGTAAGACATCATTAAATATTATTTAATTAAAGACGATTATCCAGAGAAGCTCATTGCTGGTGGGGTTTTGATGTAACATAAAAAATAAAATCTATTGTATGTCCATTAAAAATACTTATGCAGTGAATACTTATGTATTAATGATAATAGAAACTTATAATATATAAATTTAGGCACAATTTATACTGGCTATTTATTTCAGGCTGCAATACTTGAAAGTAAAAGAGAAAGCCCTGGACCTTCAACTGTATGTTTTATTTAAATCTTTTGGATTTTAAAACATTTCGTATGTGTTTAGTTTTTTATAAAACTCTCCAAAGCTTGTACCTTCGTCTTTGGTTACCTTCTCATCAAGTTGCCTTCATATTGAATTAAATTTAGTTTTTAAAAAAAAAAATGGATCATCATTTAGTAATAAGGTTAATAATAAATGAGCTAATTAGAAGAAATTACATTAAATACAGAGAATTTTTGTTTTACTTTTTAAAACCGTTCTTTAAATTACCTTTTCCTTGTTTAATTGCGGTAAAGTTGGTACTTCTTTTGTCTGAGTCCTACATCAGAGCTGGTTGAAATAAAGTTGAATATGTTATGCACCTTTAGAACTGTTAGCTTTTAGAAAGTCTTTAGAGATAGCAAATTATATTTCTAGAAAAATTCTAACCAACAGATAAGGGAGTGTAGGCCACATGGTGATGCTCAAGTAAAGGAGGTCTTGGAAGTTCAAAGGAAATCAAGTAAAAGAAGTTTAAAAGGTGATGTTGAAGTCTCTAGAGAAAAGCTTAGGAAGCAGACTCCACTTAGTGATGAAGATGATTTTAAAAAATCTCCTGTTAGCAAAATGTCGATTGGTAAATCGAAATCAGATAAGCAGTCTAAAGTTAGCTCAGCAACCAAGAAAGTAGATTTTCACATTACCCAGGACAAAGAACTTCAGGAAGGGGCTATTGAAAACACTTTCTCTGGTAAAACATTGCCTAGAAAGAACATGTCAAAAGATACTTTTTCTGAACACACTGATCCCAATGTGGGGGGAAAACAACAGTGTGCTGGAAGAACTGTTAGATCTAAGAAAGCTCTTTGGACAGATTCAGGATCACTCTTTAACAAGCAATTTAATACTGATGTGAAACAAGATTCAGCTGTTCTAAAACCTCCTACTTTAGATACAATTAATGAGACATCAGAAGATGTTGCCTGTGGTAACAAGGGTGGAAAAATTGATGCCAGAAAGAATGCTGTTCAGAATGAGAGAGCAATGAAAAAAATGCAGTCTCGAACTGTGCAAATCAACTTATGTCCGTTAAGTGAAGCTGGTTCTAAATGTGAGAGTATCAAATCTGACACCACTACAAAATGTGATCCAAACTCCAGGTCAAGTCGTAGAGGGGCTATTGAGCAGTTGCAGCCTGCAGCACAGGTAGCAAATAAAGACATTTTCATCTATGCCGGTTATGATTTTACTAATCTTCAGATAATATGCATGTTTTTTGTTTTTTTAACTAATGAATGAAATATTTTAGTTTTTCATCTACTCTGGTTAGTAATTTAATTCTTCTTAGATAACATGTAGTTTAATTGAGTTTTACAGTTTTGAATTGTTTTCGTGTTTTTCCTCACAAATTAAGAAGTATTCCCTTCTCTAATGCCTATATAGGTTTGAAGAAATGATTCGTTTATATATAGCAAGAATTAAAATAATGTTTTTCTTTTAAATCTGTATGTTGTTCAGATCAAAACATATACATTTTTGACTTATCACACTCTTTATTTCATCATTTGTAAACTATAGTGTAAATAAAGCAATAGCATTGTTGCTATGAGAATTTATTTTAAAAATAATTTTATATTTTACTAAACTTGTATTTTTATGATCTAATATTAAATTAGATTAATGCCATTATAATATAATATCCTACATTTTTAAAAATTTTAATTAATGTAGTTGTAATATTAAATAGAAAAAGCCTAGATTTTCATGCATTATTTATTTTAAATTAGACTCTTAACTTGGGTCTTTTAACCTTTTAAAATGTACAACAGCTTCTGTTTGAATTTAACAGGCTTCTCGAGGAAGATCAAGCACTCAGTCTGCAGCTGATTCTCCTGAAAGTGTTTACTTTTGTGAGGATGAGGATGATGATGATGATGATGATGATGATGACACTCAACCACCTGATGACCTCATGTCAGATGATGCCATTAGTGTTCCTTCTAAGTCTCTCAGTTCACAGCACTATGCCCAAAAGTCTGACCGCCACAACGAGGAATTAGAAATGGAGGAAGATATAGATGAGGAAATGCAGACTAATGATAGTGATGGAGAAAAAGCCAATACTGCTACGTAAGTGTTAATTTTCTATCAGAAATGTTAACTGCTTTACGCTCTGCCATCTAGGCTATTGAGTGGCAATTTACTTACAATGAACTGATATGATTTCAACTTATTTCTCAATCTGTGACATATTTTGTATTTGTTTAAACAGAAAAAGGTAAGGGCTTTTTGTACATTTAAAGCTTTATTTTTTTTTTTTACATATTTGCTAGCCTAACTTCACCTTGTCATTGATCTTAAAAGACATAAATGTCAATACTTTAAGAATATATATTCAGAATATATTGGGAATTTCCAAGAAAACAGTAAAATGATTAGGAAACAGCTACAGAAAAGATAATTTGGAAGTAAGGTTCAAGCCAGAAAGTTATTGGAGGTATCACCCAAAACTGAGCGCAAGTTATTGGAGGTATCACACAAAACTGAGCGCGATGGAGAGGTGATGTGGTCTCCCTACCACAGGAATGACGATGATGTCAACTACTTATCTCAAGAGATCTACTAAAGGACAAAGATGGTTACTTGGCTTATCATGATTATTATAACAACGAGAAAAATGGCCCGTTGAGGAAGGATACAATGGGCGCTAGGCTGATAGTGCTGTCTCTTTTCTCTAAACTAAAACCACCCCCCCACACACCACCCCCGACCACCCCCCAAAAAAACATGTCTACCGTCCCATTCAAGGAAATATAATTATATACTTTTTTCCAGTGTCCGCCCCCTCCCCGAAAATTCTACCCCCGCCCCCGAAAATTTCAAGTACCCACACCCCTCTCCGGGGAGGAAAAAGTCTGAAAGAAACACTGGTGTCGCGCTCAGCCACTACCCGAAGAATTGCATTAAAGAAATTGCAAGAAAACCACTTTTTAGATTAGACACATTAATTAGGCGGTAATTTTATTATAGAGTATCGATGAAGAAATTTCTTTTGAGTTAGGGAGGGGCTCAGACGTTCTTACGCGGGGGTGGGGCTTCGCCCCTACCCGAAGAATTGTATGAAAGAAACTCTTCACGCAAACCACTTAGATTAGACAAAATTTCCTTTTTATTCAATGTTTACTCGAGAATCAATGACGTCATATTACTGTGTGCACTCTCCGGCTTGAGATTATTTTCTACTCTGTGCTAAATGTGACGACGTCATACTTCGTTTTTCAAATTACTATGCATGTTTTTAATTTGCTTGTGTTTTCTCTAGAGCGTTCTTGTCAGATAGACAGACAGCGAAACTATTAGTATAGATGTTCTCAAAATTCTTTTGTAGTTAATAAAAATGCTTTCTTTCTCTCACAGTTTGTCAGCAAATGCAGTCCCAGACTTCTCCAAGCCTGGAAGCTCAAATAAAATGGCAGAGGATGTGGTCAAGTTACAGCCTGCTCAACCTGCTTTTTCTTTCTTAGAGGTAGGTTATAAGGGAAATGTATTAAACTTGTAGATGAATTTTCAACAACGAAATTTAATAAGCTTTGTTGTAAAAAGTATTTACTTTTACTGATTAGAAAAAGGATATTAACATGACATTATGTTAATGCACAGTTTGTGCTCATTAGTATTCTTGTATATGAAATATGTAGCAGCATTATTTATATTAAAAAAGTTTTTTCATATTTTATCAGCAATCTGGTAACGATCAAATGGAACTTAGAAGAATATACCCGTAAGTTGTTTTCAAGTTTTTCTCTGGCTAAAGAGCAATGGAATACAAAATATGAAATTATAAAAAAAAAATCGTATAGATCACTTAATTTATTAAATTGCCGGTCTTCTCGTACAGTTTTTTATTTAAATGTTTAGGAATAACATGCCTATTTCAGTAGCTTGATTGTATAAATTCTGGTTTATTTCAGAAAACAGATAGAGCAGAGAGATGTGAGAGACCTCTTTGTTCTGTGTATATTTATTTTATGTCATCTAATTTAAGCAGTAGTTAATTGTTGTTGTTTAATAAAACGGTTACAGAATTTAATTTTCATATTTAAGTCATACTCTCAACCATTCAACTCATACACATGATTTTTATTTTTTTCTTATTGAAAACTAATACTGTATAACATGCCTAATAAGTTTCTATTGTTTCAGATGGGTATATGGAAGTATATTTTACCCCCTGAGGGTGTGAAACACCCTGATAGACACGCTGAGGTTGTCAAGTTGGTCTTTGATATTTATCACCGGCGTCTTCGACGAGCACAGGAACAACATAAAGGTGAACTGTTGCCCTGGGGGAGGCCGGTGTTGCCTGGCCCTCACCACGAGGGTTGTCTGGTGGCCAAGTTCAAAGGGAGAAAAGGCCAAAGTGAAGAAGAGAATGTCCGGATGTATAGAAAAAAACATTTTGACAACCTTGCATCAAGGGACGATAATTCATGGACGTCTAGAAGCAACACTGAGCATGTTAAAGGTTTAGTGGATGACCCAAAACTTAGGAAGCCTAGAGGTGGGCAAAATACTCAGCTGAAAGAGAATCTGGATCACCGGAGACACAGGGCAAATGACAGGGTTAGCAATGTCAGAAGGGAGAATGAGAATGCTGGAAGTGTTTTGAATAATAGAGGAAAGGAGTCGGCCACAGATATTGATTCACAGAAACACAAGTTGGCTATTGAGTGGAAACAGACAGAAAGGGGTGTAAAGCGGAATCGAGAACATGGTGAAACAAGTGCTGTGTTAAAAAGACAGAAAAAAAATGATCAGGATAACGGTGAAAATTCTGACGAAGACCGTGATAATTTCCCGATGAACTACAGCAATAATTACTCCAGTAGTGGCCCTGCAAATTCTTTCAAAGTAATAGATCCTAATCGGGTGAAATTTGTTTGGTCTGATGATGAGACTCTACCAGAAATTCCAGAGCTTAATAAAAAAACTGACCTTACGGCAGGTGTTGGGTTAATGTCACCAAAGAGCAGACGTCACCTTAATGAAGTGTCGGCTAACCTGGGTAATTTTCACTTGACTCTAGATGATGATTCTAGTGATGAAAACATAGGCGATAACTTGAAGTCCTCTAATCGCACTGAAGAGAAAACAGTTGAGGACAATCCTGAAAATTCTAAACAAAGCTCTTCATCTCAAGAGCTCAGCAGTCAAAGTTCTAATTCTTTGTTGGATCCTAATGGCTATGTCTACAGCACACAGTTGACCAATCACAGAAGACTGAGGAATCAACGAGATACTAAATCTTCTCACAAATCTAGAGATTTATCAAAAAATAAACATGATACTAGTTCCCCTTCTAAAACTAGAGATTTATCCAGGAATGAACGTGATACTAATTCCCCTTCTAAAACTAGAGATTTATCCAGGAATGAACGTGATACTAATTCCCCTCCTAAAGCTAGACAATTGTCCCATAAACTGAAGTTAAAAGATAGTGAGAATGAAAAGAAAACAACTGACCTAGACAATTTAACTCGCTGTGACAAGAAAATGAATAGAAAGGTTTCCAAAACCACCAAAACCAGCCTGAAAGGTAAAGATATACAAGAGATTGTAGATGATGTAAACATGCTGGATGTAGCTGGGCCATCACATGATGCAGAAAAATCATCGGCACTGTTTAAAGACAGAAAGAAGGTGGTTCATATTGATAATGTGAAGGATGTGATTACAGCTCCTTCTGCCCAACGTCAAGGTAATGTTCTAGGCACCAAAAAACATGATTTTATAAATCTGGAAACAGATGAAATAGAAGCAGCGGATCCAGTTGATGAACAGTTACGGGGAACATCAGAGAATAAGACCATGAAAACAAAAGGAAAAAAAAAAGCTGCACTGAAGACTAAGAAACTAGGTTCAGTTTATTTAGATGCTGGAGACACAAGCAGTGCAGAAGTGTTGCCTGAATCAGAAATAAATAAGAGTGTTAGTGTTGAGGCCACACATTCCAGATACTTCAGAAAAATGCCAGAAGAGGCTGTAGTTCCAGAGGGTGCCAGGGTGGCCAGTCCAGTACCCAAGATGGTGAGTTCTAATAAATATCTTAAAATTTAAGATGTCTCATTTGTTGGAAATGGTCTGGCCATAACTGATTCTAACATGCATTATGTTTTTATAAACATACATGTAGCTTGTTAACTCAGTGGTTTACAAAGATACATATTATAATGCAATCTAATTAGGCTGTTGAAAGGGATGAAGACATAACTAAATCCATGAACCTATGCTCTAGTATAACCTTTCGTATCCTATAATTCCATGCTATACATTTTCTCTGTTGTTTATTTTCTGTTAGAAACAATGTCTCCAAACTATTTTTATGCTTTACATTTCCTGTTTTTCCATGCTTTACAGTTTCTCTGTCCTTTAGTATTTCCATGACTCATAATTTATCTATGTTTAATATCCTAGTCTCTATCCAATATTTCCATGCTTTACCATTTCTCTCTCCTATAATTCCATACAGTTCCTCTATCCCATAATATCTCCATGCTCTACAGTTTCTTTGTCCTATACTTTTTTCATCCTTTACAATTTCCATGTCCTAATCTCCAATTATTACATTTTCTCTATCCCTTATTTCAATGCTTTACATTTTCTTTTTTATGTTTCCATGATTTACATTTTCTGTTTTATATTTTTACACAGTTTCTCTATCCCATAATATTTACATACTTTACAGTTTCTCTCATGTATAATTTGACTGACAACACCCAAAAGCTAACTTGTCCTGTCATAATATAACACATATTACCATACTTCACAGGAGCCCTGCCCTATCTGTAATAAAAATTTCAGCTTGAACAAGATAGAAGCCCATGCTGCAACTTGTGGAGAAGGTTGGTTCCTTTTTGACTAGTACAAGACAGTTGGAGTTTTATATTTGTGCTTTTTTCTATAACTAACAAATGTAAAAAAAATTAGATGATTTTTGCTTATACAGATCTTAATATTTTACTTAGAGCCACAAGAAGAAGTCAATCCACTTAATCATTCCAGGTCAGTAAGTCTATACTATCTTGATAATTCTGATTTTTTTTTCTGCATGATGTGTAATAAGTTTTATTTTTATACTTACAATTTTTCTACTAAGATTGCACAGGAAGTTACACAAAATTAATTTTAAAAAAGCATCAAACTTTGAATGTTCCATTTATTCTTTATTTATTGTTAATGGAATTTGCTGGTTGTGAACCCATTTTTGTACTAATTTCAACTTTTTGCTCCAGTTGTATAATTATAATTTGTATCGGTGCCACCAGCTGCAAATGCAGCTTAATTAAAAGTTTAACTCAGCTAGTTACCACCTCAAACAGTGTTGACATTTAAATAAATACTTTATTGGCTTTTTAACATTACCATCCATGAAGAAAAATGATGCGAGAGCAAGAAATAACAACCAAAAGTTTTTTCTAGGTGTCTTTATTGCAATTCAGAGTTCCCGAATGAATTGTTGAAAGAACACCAAGCCCAGTGTGCCCACGGCAGTAACCACCATAGGGTTGTCACACGCAAGACCAGGTCACACTATAATACTCTCAAAGGTTCGTAAGTTATCTTTTTTGCACCACACTTGAGTGGATGACAACAACATTTTAAAATACTAAAATACTTTCCTGGGGACTAATGCGTCATTTTAACATCAGAATAAATGAAAATACTCTCAAAGGTTCTTAGGTTATCTTTTTATATGACAATAACATTTTAAAACAAAAGACTGCAGACTAATGCATCATTTTAACACTAAATATTAAATTAAAAAACATCCAAAAGGTAACAAAATGTTTAGTAGACCACTTATACCTGACGACATAAGTAAATTGTTTGAAAATAGCCTACTGTATTAATAGAAGTATGAAAGTATTATTTATGATTTCAAATCTAAAAACTTGTAATCTACTGGATTGTCATTCTGTATTATTAACAACTGTGAATGTTTTAGCATTAAAAAACTATTTGTACCATTAACTCTTTATTTCCCCTTCAATTTTATTCATATATTTTTGTTCATTCTAAACCTACACATTATATGTATAAATTAAAATTGTAATTAAGTGCCCTACACACTAAAACAAGTAATTCACATGGTTTATATTGTTAACTTAATTTGTCAATTTTTTTTATGAATACTTATTGCATTTGTTTTTTAACATGATATGAACATATTTTGTTTAGTTTTTAAATATATTTTCACAAATTTCAGAAGGATTTTTCATGTTTCTCAAACTATTTTTCTCCACAGATCCATTTAGTGTGGAATCCAGGAAAAAAGAGTAAGTTTCCAATTGTTTCTTTTTATAAAATAGTAACAGGCATAAAACATATTAGTTTTGTTGTGTGGGTTTTTGTATGTTTGTGTAAGGGCAGCTGTGTGTTTTTGTCATGGGTTTTTAGTTCAAGGGGGGGGGGGGGTTAGGGTGGTGCAGGGGTTATATATCCAGGGGCTTTTGTCCTAGAGCAACCAAAATATCTCAAGCAAAATCTCAAGTCAAAAGATATTATGAGCTGAGTACGTATATGTTACGAGCAAGGGAGGTGCTCTGTATATCATGTTTGAACTAAGCTATGGTTAAGATTAAGATGCTGTTCAGAAATATCACATCACCAAATGCTTTAGTTATTAGAATCTTAAGAATCAAATTTGTTGGGTGTAATAATAAAAACACAGTGCATGGCAACAAAAGTTGTTTTTAACCATTAAAACCTTTTTTTTTCCAGAAAGAGAATGGCTTCCCCTGTATCAGACATCGATGAAGATTTTGAAGAATTAAATATTGAAGTCGTTAAAAAATCATAGTAATTTTTAGAAGCTCCACATTGTCACACATTTTTACTGACTCAGAGAAAATAAAACTTGATAATTAAAGCCTGACAAATTATCAGACAAAATGTAATCACAAAAATTAACATTAAAGACAATGTTCTTAGATAAAAAAAAAGTTATATGACACAATGATAGTTGTAGTCAATGTATATTTAGTGCACTTAACATCTTTATTTGTTTGTTAATTTAAACCAATCATTTATATAGCAGTTATTTCTGCTTCTGTTTTAAATTTATTTACATGCAAAAGTTTAGACACATTTCCTTATTAGTTTTTATGTTCTTCAGAACATAGTTGGCAAGTTGTATTTACATTTTTTACTCTGAGGTATTACATGAATACATTGTTTCAGACATCATTGAATATAAGAAATCTGTCAGTTGCATTAAAATTACATTATAGATAGTTGTATTTTTGATCCCTGAATGTTTGAAGCAAATAAAATATAAATAAAATAAAGTTGTGAATTTGTTAAAAATTTAAATTCAAGAATTGTTGAATTAAGCGCCTGATTGTCTTTGAAATGTTGAAATATATCATATGATATAATGCTGTGTTCATGTTGTTGCTTAAAAGAATGTTTTGTTTTTTAAAAAAAAAAGGGTATGGGTGAAAAAGGGAAATGTATGCAAAGTTAAAATAACAAGTTTCCCCCATTTGTTACTGGCTTGATTCTTATTGTACCACAACGCCCCTTGTTAATGAAATTATGGATTATGAAGGTTAAAATGATTACATTGCTGTAAATGTTTGAGCTACATCTGTGTGAGCAAGAAGCTGTTAACTTATTCCTTGTGGTTAGTGGATTGCATTGGGAAAGGTTTACAAAGCCTTCAGCACAAGCCTGGATGCTGTTTCATGTAGAAGGCAAGTTTTCTTATCTGGCAAGCTTTCTTATCTGGCAAGTTCCTTGTAGTATAAACTGGCAAGCTTTCAATAACTGACTAGCTTCTCTTAACTGGCATTTCACTTGTCTGATAAACTTTCTTTAAGGAGCCAACTTCCTTTAAAAGTTAAATGACACTTCACTTAACTGGCAAACTGGATAAAGGTCTCAACAGTATTATCTGGCAAGCTTCCCTTAGTTGAATAGCTTTACTTACAAATTTCCCTCAACTAGCAAGTTTCCTACAGTATTATCTGGAAAGCTTCCTGGCAAGTTTTCTGATTGCATGCGGCATTCCAGATGTTCATTTGTCTTTCAGTTACTTCCTTGTTTCTTTCATGCATCTTTGTGTCAGAGCTAAATGTCTTTACAAGAACTAATCAGTTTGGTTTTCTGGTTCTTCGTTTTCAATGTTTGTGTTGGAAGGGATCTCCCCCCAACACCAGTAAATGTGTCATCTGGTTATGCGGTATTTACAGTGTTTCTTCCAGACTTTTTTCTCCGGGGGGGGGGGGGGGGGGGCACTTGAAATTTTCGGGGGGGGGGGGGGGCGGTCGACTTTCTACGGGGGAGCGGACAATGTTAAAAGTATATATTTTCTATATAAATTATATACATTTCATTTCGTTCGGGGGGGGGGGGGGGGCGGTACAAAATTTAAGAGATGACTGGAAGAAACTCTGGGTATTTAGCTTTGACTCCGATTTCAGCCTGGATTTGGATTTGCTTCCATAGCCTTTATCTCTACTAAAAGAGTTGCTGTCTCCAACTATCGAGCCTCATCTGCCTGAGGGTTCGAAACTTTTCAGTTTTAGCAACCATGAGCTTTACAGACTCGACCATGCCGACCCTTATCAGTTGGACGGATCTATTTTTTAAATTAAAAGACATTTTCTACTTAACCGAGTTATAGTAATATATCTCAAAAGAAAGTATTTTTTTTTTAAATATATTTTTTATTGGTTTAAAACATTCCAAAAACGCATCTATAAAATTGTATAGGGTATAAAATTTTGTAAAACAGTTTTAAAAAAAATGGTAACCTTAATAAAATGGTAACCTAGAAGTATTTACACTTCAACATTTTGACATACCAGTTACTTTGTTTCATAAATACACAAACATCTGGACATAGGCTCGCCAATACAAGATTTAAAAGCAAAACCTTACTAGTTAAATTAGTGCAAGACATTTCAGACAATTTTGGGTTTGTAATTTTATATTTTAAATGTAAAAATAGGTCTTTTGAATAGCCTCCAACCAATTTATAGAAACCCACTGAATTATTTAAAAAAAAAATTAATGAAGATATTCATTAAAAAATATAGGCTCAGTATTAATCGCCTGCTGTGGAGCCTTCTTTTTCCCCTTCTTTCTTTCCCCCTTCTTTCTTTTCCCCTTCTTTCTTTCCCTCTTCTTTCTTTCCCTCTTCTTTCTTTTCTCCCTCTTCTTTCTTTTCTCCCTCTGCAGTGGCTTCGGCGTCTTCCGGTTTCGCTTCGGGCTTCACCGGCGGTTTCTCCTTGGGTTTCAAAAAGCCGGGAAGGGAGATTTTCGGGAGAGGTATTCTCGGGAAAGGTATTTTTGGGAATTTCGGGCGCTTAATCTTCTTGGCGTATTTCCTCATTAAAGGATAAACGCCCCTGATTCCCCGAGGGATGTGGGGTTCGCAGGATTCCATTGGAGCTCTATAAAATGGACCGTTGGGGCCGTATGGACCAGCGATGCCGTAGGGTTTGTACAGGGGCGAGACCCATGTGGGGAGTTCGACCTGCGCGCCCATCGCCCAACCCATGCTTGGCTTAGCCTTGACTTTGGGAAGCCTGACGACGCCGACGGGCTGCTTGATGCCCGGGGCCTCGTACCCAGGGGTCGTGTAGGGGGGCTCGCTGGCGTGACGTACGGGGTAGACAGTGCCGTTGTGTGGGTGACGAGCTGGGCGCCCTGGTGAGAAGACACATGAGTTGTTAGAAAGGTGGCCTGGTTACAAGACATACGACAAAGTTGAGGACTAATCACAAGAGGACATAGAATAAGGTCTGGTTACAAGAGGACATACAACAAAGATGGCCTGGTTACAAAAGGACAAAAAACAAAGGTGGGCTAATTATAAGAGGACATACAATAACGCCTGGTTACAAGAGGACATACAACAAAGGTGGGCTAATTACAAGAGGACATACAACAAAGGTGGCCTGGTTACAAAAGGACAAACAACCAAGGTGGGCTAATTATAAGAGGACATACAATAAAGGTGGCCTGGTTACAAAAGGACAAACAACCAAGGTGGGCTAATTATAAGAGGACATACAATAACGCCTGGTTACAAGAGGACATACAACAAAGGTGGGCTAATTACAAGAGGACATACAACAAAGGTGGCCTGGTTACAAAAGGACAAACAACCAAGGTGGGCTAATTATAAGAGGACATACAATAACGCCTGGTTACAAGAGGACATACAACAAAGGTGGGCTAATTACAAGAGGACATACAACAAAGGTGGCCTGATTACAAGAGGACGAGCAATACGGTTGACCTATACGGTTGACCTAGTTACAAGCGCAATACAAATCCGACCTAGTTACAATAAGACAAACGACAAAGTTCAAATAGAAAAAAAAATGACCTAGCTACATGAGGACAAGCATCAAAGCTGACCTAGTTACAAGAGGACGAGTAATATGGTTGACCTAGTTACAATAGGAAGACAGAGCAAACCTTTTTACAAATAAGACAACCAATAATGCTGACCTATTTTTAAGAGGAACAGCAACAAAATTTTTCCTGCGAATGTTACATAAGAAAACTTCCCAAGTCAACCGGTGTGAATGTTTTAAGCAGTGTTTCTTCCAGAAAATTGAAGTTTTCGAGGGGGCGGACTAAAATTTTCGGGGTGGGGGGGGGGGGGGGGAAGGCACTGTTAACCATATTTTCTATATAAATTCCATTTCGTTCAGGGGGCCGTAGACTTTCTTTGGGGGGAGGGAGGGGGGGGGGTGGCTCTGCCTGGAAGAAACTCTGGTTTTAAGGGACCTATCCAAGTCATGGGTGTGAATTTATTAAGGGACCCACCCGGGTCATTGGTGGTAATGGGTGGGCATTTATTAAGGACCTACCTGAGTCTAGAGGCGGAAACATCTCATCAAAAGGCACAGGTGGGATCCTCAACGGTGGACCTTGAATAACCGACGTCTTGGTCGACTTGAACGTGCCCAGGTTCGACACGGGCGGGTGGAGGCGGGTTTTGACATCGTACGAGCCAAACTGGAAGAGAGCCTCGTTTTGGCTAATGGGCGGCCGTCTGGTATCGTCAATCAGGACGGACAGGGACTGGTAGCGGTTCTGGGGGAGCTTGTTCGTTTTTCTCAGCGTCTCCAGGGCCTCCCCGTCGTCCGTGATGATCCCCATGATGTCCTCGTCTTTCTTTTTTTTACCTTTAACAGGCGGGGGGAACTTGACGGACTGTTTTGGAGAAGATGAAAAGGGAAATAAGCGGGTGTTAGTGTCTTTAAGGGAAATAAGCGATGTTGTAATGGAATATACTATAGCAAAAACTATTGTTGATAAGTCGACCATTAATAAATAACATTAAGCTATTTAAAATACTAAAACAACCCTGCTCCCACTAAGGCTTTCACGACTTGACGTAAAAAGCAATTGTTATTAAATAGCGTTATCAAATTTGATTATCTCACCCCTTAATTAACTACAATTCCAAAGTGAATCAGGTAAAGGTTTACAAATCGAATGTACTTGTTTAACCCTTCATCGTCAGATAATAACTTGATTTAATCCAAAAAAAAAAATTCAAAATAATAGTATTAGAAATAGATAATAACAACCTTCAACTAATAATTAACTAAATATAATATAGCAGCTGACATCTAGAACTTTATCTGAGAAACCCAAATAAAGATGTAGATTCTAGATTATTTTATCCCGCAACATGTTCTTTTTTAGCATGAAAACTTTCATAATTCAAACATTTAAAAATAAGCTTACCATCATTTTCAATGAATGTTTGTGCTTAACTCGAATGTGTTCAACGAACTAATAATATTTTCTTTTTTATTCTACGCAGATGTTTCTGATATAGTCCCCTGTAAAAGGTAAACAAAATATTTTAATACATTAAGCATTAGTAGTTTGATACATTTTCCTCTCTCGTTTAGCAAGTCTTCAATGGAATATCACAGACAGTGGTAAATGCATCACAAAAATAAACTTAACAGCTGTCTTACATAATAATGGACAGGGTTTTTTTTAATTTTTTTCAAACCAGTGACAAATATTAGCCTACGTTAGGGTTAAAATTGGTTTTTGAGTGTATAGAGGACAAATGCATTATGTCAAAAAAACAACAAAAAAACCTAATCTCTAGAAACATGAGTTTATAAATCTCATTCCAATATTAAAATAGTGCAAAATATTATGTTTTAACATTAATAAAATAATGATATTCTACTTTTCTGACACTGTACATAAGTGTTCTTGTAGGTTGTATTATTGACAATATAATATAAGTAGAAATATACATCGATTTCACAAAAAAAAAGTGGACACTGCATTTGTCCTCTCTATACCCTCGTTTTAGTATTTTCCCTTGTTTATAGTGTGAAGCACCCGTGGAGCAAAGGGCTGCAACTACACTTTTCCAGAGTTCAGATCCGGGGATCTAGTCCTTCAGACGTCCCTGAGTCCACCCAGCTCTGTTGTGTACCTTGCATTAGGGAAAGTAAAAGACTACAATATCCCAAATTGTACCGAGGTCACTGAAACCGGTGAACTCTACTTCGCCTGGATCGTCAGGTTCGAAAGGGTGCTTTACTTTTACAGATGTGCGCTGTTTTAGTATACAGCTGATGTTATATTTCGTACACATCAATAGTAATGTAAAACCTTAACCGCACTAAACCTGCTCTAAGACTCTATGTTAAGAGACAAGGCCAGTTCACTTAGGTTAGACTAGGTGAGTATTGTAAACAGCTATAGCTAGATATAGGTGGTTATCGTTTTCCATCTTGAAGAACTATCTGAACACTTTACCATAAATTAAAAGATGTTAGATAAGTATTATACTAAAGCCTTGATGTTACGATTCAGTTTATTTCTTTGTTTGTTTACATCTTTGCAGCCTACTCTGATCGCCGCTTTCAAAATGCTAAAATATTTGGAATTCCCGATAATGCCTAAATATAGTAATTTTTAGCTGTACTGCAAATAAAAAAAAAATTAAAAAATTAAAGAGAAATAGATAATTTTCTTTCCGCTTAAAAATGAAGATAAAATATTTAAACATTTGAATAATTTAGATCTAGACACTGCCTAAACAGTTATGAAATTATATTAGTTCAAAGAAGTATTTTAGAAAAATTCAAAGAAAAAAAAAACGAAATGCATCACAATTTCAGACTCCCCCCCCCCATCCCCGAAAAAAAAAAACAAAAAAAACCAATCGTATCAAATAACACTAAAACAAGCTGCTAGATTTAATTAAAATAAAGGATGAGGTAAAAATGGCTTTATTCCACATTATAGCTGCTTCATAGGTGACCACTTATATTTGACTCTAGCTCATGTTCCTATATGATTTGAAATGATATTGATCCGAGGGGTAGGTAGTAAGGGAAGCAACACCTCCACTCCCACCCTTCTGGTGAAAATTTAGTTAGGGAACGCCGTTAAAAAAACACGAAAACTATCAATCACTATAGGAAAAATTGGTCTATGTTTTTTTTATAATCATCTTTTCCCGTTCTTGCCTAAGACCCATAGGGCTGATGAAGTAGAGTTCATCTGTTTTAATGACCCTCGGCAAACGAGGGGATACTGTGATCAGCTTTAGTTTCCCTAACTTGATTCAGGTACCCACCAGGGCTGGGTGGACTCAGGGATGTCCTGGTGATCCGAACTTGAGACTTACGGGTTAGCAGTCGTAATCTCTACCTACATCGTCCCACTATGTTTTCATGATTAAGTAAAAAGTGAACTCCACTTTATACACTTGCCGCTTGGCTACACAACTGAGTACAACAAATCCCACCGCCCCACCGACTTCCCAAATTCTACCGTCCCACCGTCTTCACAACAAATCCCACCGTCTTCACAACATCCCACCTTCTTCACAACAAATTCCACCGTCTTCACAACAAATCCCACCGTCTTCACAACATCCCACCTTCTTCACAACAAATCCCACCGTCTTCACAACACCACACCTTCTTCATAACAAATCCCACCGTCTTCACAAAAAATCCCACCGTCTTCACAACAAATCCCACCGTCTTCACAACAAATCCCACCGTCCAACCGTCTTCACAACAAATCCCACCGTCCCACCGTCTTCACAACAAATCCCACCGTCTTACAACAAATCCCACCGTCCCACCGTCTTCACCTAAAACACCTACCTGAACTCCCAAGCCTATGGCATAAGAGCTCGCAAAGCAGGATCTCCTGGCCTTTTCTTCACTCCAAATTCTCGACCCCTCGACCGTCTATCGACCTCTTCCAACGACCTGTACGACCCACGACCACTGTTGTTGGAAACATCACGCCGGTGATATCTTTTGGGTTTTTTAGTTGCCGGGTAAATGTAGGATCTAAGCGAGAAATCAGATTTCTCTTCTCTCGGACGTCCGTTTCGTCTCGATCGCTGGGACTTCTTCTCTGGCGGATCAGACGCTGTGGGTTGACGGGCAGCTCGCTTGATGTCAAACTGGTCTCTGTGGTCGAACCTCATGATGCCGTCTTCCTGTAGGAAGGAAAACGGGTAGGGGGTGGGGGGGGGGGGGGGGGGGGGTCAAGCACAGGGGAAAGGGAACACATTGGGTGTGTTCTAGTCGTAGATTGTGGGGTGTATGTGTAAGGGGGAAATGACTTAGGGGAGATAACACATGCTCACACACGCATAAACTCATACAAATCTATATATATAAAGCAAAGTGGTCAGGTGCCCGATAGGGCACTTCCTGGCGCCGCAGGCGCGTCAAATTTGGCACGATGGTGCCTTGGGGCGATAGAACACGAGGGCCGGTGACGGTTGGCCGAAAAGTCTACGGACAAGGGGTCAAAACTGACCTCGACTGACCGGCGCCTTATATGGGCTATATTACGAAAAAAAATTTCCTCCGACGATCCCCCTTGACATTTTGTGAGGTGGTAGGAGAACGCCTTGGGGTGTCACAAAAAACTCGGAAAATCTGGGAAAACTTCGTAAAGGTGTCAAAACTGACCAGTTGTATTTCCCTATATAATCTTTGTATTTTATGGGAAAAACAGAGGGTAATTTGAAAACGGATTTTAGGTCACTAACCCTCTTTACATCTGGCTAATTTTTGGTATGCTTATAGTTAAATGGCTTGACCTTTAGGGAAAACTGTCGGTTTGACTCAAAGCCCTCGAAGAGGGCTAAAAAGTGACCGCGAGTGAAATTCTGTTTATATGAGCTCTATTACGAAAAAAAATTTCCTCCGACGACCCCCCTTGATATTTTGTGAGGTGGTAGGAGAACGCCTTGGGGTGTTACAAAAAACTCGGTATATCTGGGAAAACTTCGTAAAGGGGTCAAAACTGACCAGTTGTATTTCCCTATATAATCTTTGTATTTTATGGGAAAAACAGAGGGTCATTTCAACGCAGACTTTAAGGCACTAACCCTCTTTACATCTGGCTAAGTTTTTGCATGCTTATAGGTAAATGGCTCGACCTTTAGGGAAAACTGTCGGTTTGACTCAAAGCCCTCGACGAGGGCTAAAAAGTGACCGCGAGTGAAATTCTCTTTATATGAGCTCTATTACGAAAAAAAATTTCCGACGACGACCCCCCTTGATATTTTGTGAGGTGGTAGGAGAATGCCTGGGGGTGTCACAAAAAACTCGCCATGTCTGGGAAAAATCGGGAAATGGGTCAAAACTGACCAGTCGTATTTCCCTATATAATCTTTGTAATTTATTGGGAAAACAGAGGGTCATTTCAACGCATACTTTAGGGTACTTAAACTCAGTATATCTGGCTAATTTTTTGCATACGTTTAGATCAATGGCTTGACCTTTAGGGAAAACTGTCGGTTTGACTCAAAGCCCTCGACGAGGGCTAAAAAGTGACCGCGAGTGAAATTCTCATTATATGAGCTATATTACGAAAAAAAATTTCCTCCGACGACCCCCCCTTGAAATTTTGTGAGGCGGTAGGAGAATGCCTGGGGGTGTCACAAAAAACTCGCCATGTCTGGGAAAAATCGTGAAATGGGTCAAAACTGACCAGTCGTATTTCCCTATATAATCTTTGTATTTTATGGGGAAAACAGGGTAATTTCTACACAAATTTTAGGGTACTTACTCTTTGTATAACTGGCTAATTTTTTTGCATACACCTCTATAGATGACTGGGCCGTATGGAAAAACTGTTGGTCAGCATCAAAGCCCTCGAAGAGGGCTAAAAATGAATGCGAGTGAAATTCTCATTATACGAGATTTGGTCATTTTGTTTATGAACAGGGGAGGTAACTTTTTAATGTAACAATTTTTTTTATATTTTGTATACTCTTTTTAAAAAAAAACAAAAATCATAAAGTGCAGCATTGTTTTAAACGAATATTTTGTTATAAATTAAGTTTTGTATTGTATTGAAATTGTAAAATTAATTGCAAAAGTAATTTAATATAATATTTGATTGATAATTTTTATGAAAGCCCTTTCAGTTCTAATAACCTTGCGAGTAATAAGTTTGCGAATATTCCATCAATTTATGTATAAAACAAAAGTACCACACTGAATAAATTTAGGCCCTAAGCATTTAACATAACAGCCAAACACCTATTAATTAATCGTTCAATTTCTCAACTTTTTTGAAAACCTAAGCGAAGCTAGGCAGTATGCCTAGTACACACATAAACCCATACACGCAATTACACAAACATGTACTCTGACATTAATACACACACACACACATACAGTAAAACCGAACAAAGTCAAAGATGCCTCGTGACCTTGCCCGTTCCCCCCCCCCCCCCCCGCTTGTATCACCCCCTCTCCGTGGATTTACTAAACTTTGAAGAGATCGCCATCGCGTACACTGAACACCAGAGTATATTTTTTACTTACCTCATTACTTTTTATAAAACTTCCATAGACCACTACCTCTTCGCCTCAATTTTTATAGAGGATGAAATTTAGTACAAAACCCCCCCCCCCCCCCACGATTTCCCATTGTGTGCGCGGGTTGTGTGTGCGGATTGTGTGTGCGGGTTGTGTGTGCGGGTTGTGTGTGCGGATTGTGTGTGCGGGTTGTGTATGCGGGTTGTGTGTGCGGATTGTGTGTGCGGGTTGTGTGTGCGGGTTATGTGCGCGGGATGTGTGTACTGGTTTTGAGAGGATTGTGTGTGTGGGTTTGTGTACGGGTTGT